GCGTACCGGACCGCAAACGGCCACAGAAAGTGGGGGGCAGCCGCATGGATCAAGGAGGTACGGGCGACCTCCATGACCAGGCCAATGCGGCGCTCCGCAATCCCATTCTGCTGTGAAGAGGCCGGAAGCGTGAACGATTGGTCAATGCCGTGCTCAGCACAGTAGGCTGCCAAGAGGTCGGAGGAGAACTCACCACCTCTGTCAGAGTGCAAGCGCGGGACAGGAAAGTCCAAGCGGAAACGCTCGCTGAGCTGGAGACGAGCTCTGCGGATCCAAGGGATCAAGACATCAGGGACCTCACCCTTGGTGCGCAAGGGGAAGACCGTGGTGTAGCGCGAGTAGTCGTCAACAACTATCAGGAAGTACCTCTCCTGACCCTGACCACGGACGCGGGTTGGGCCCCACACGTCCATGTGGAGCGTCTGCAAGGGAGCAGTTGTTGGGGGACACGAGGAGGAGTGAGGAGCGGCGCGCTGCCGCCCCTCAACACAGGGAAGACAGGGAGGAGCAGGTGAGGGAGGGAGGGGAGGAAGGACCCTGGGAAGGCCAGAGACAAGGTATCGGGAGTGCATGGCACGAAGCCACTGCACAAACGGGTGGCCAAGGCGGTGGTGCCAGAGGACAGTCTCGTGTGCCAGAGAGCGACACGAGCAGGGGGCCGACAGCTGACCTGACGCGGACGCAGACGCAGACGCAGCGACCTGAGGGGACTCAGTGGTCAGTGTGTACAGGTCCGACCCGAGCTGCCGAGTGAAGGTAGCCAAGTGACGGCCCGTACGAGCACACGTGCAGTGTGTCACTCGCTCGTAGGCAGGGGTGAACTGGTGAACACCCCCGTCCTGGAGCGCACATCCTGCCACCAGGTTCGTAGAGAACGAGGGGAGGTGGAGACCTGACAGTGTGCCCGACGGGACCGCAGGACAGGGGAGGACAGTGGAGGAGGTCGCAATGACCGGACCCCCAGAGGGGTCAGCGAGGGAGACAGCAACTGGCCGAGCAAGCGGCTCAAGGGCAGTGCGGTCACGAAAGAAGCAGCGAGAAGCACCTGAGTCCAGTGTGCAGTGCTGCAGTCGACTCAGTACCGGGGGGGGCAGACGCACAAGCACCTAGAGCAGCTGCCTCACCAGCACCTGGGGTAGCAGACACGCGAGTACGTGGAGCAGCAGACGCACTAGTTCTAATGCCCGGGTCGGGCGGCACACAGAGGTACTCAGCACCCTCTCCACTAGTAGACATCACATACATAGCAGTGAGAATAGCATCAAAGTCTAGAGCATAGATATCAATCCCCTTCTTCAGGAGATCAACCCAGCGGGGCAGCTCAGTGGCCTGAGGGAACTGAACACGCCAAGCGTCGTTGAGACGAGCGAAGCAGCGCTGTGTGGCGTGCGGTCCCCCACACTGCTGACTAGTGCGGTCACCAGTGCGAATGACGTACGTGCAGCTAAAGCCACCCCCCCCCCCCCCCCTGCTAAGAGTACCACTCACGGACCTCCTGGGGCAACGGAGTGTGCTGCTGGCCCTGGCCACCGCCAGCGCCTCCACGACCACCACCGCCGCCGCCACCTCCTCGACCACCCCAACCCCTGCCGCCGCCGCATCCACCGCCACCCCCACCACCGCCTCCGCCCCTGCCACCTCCCCCGCCGCTGCCGCCACCACCCCCACTGCTGCCAGTAGCCCCTCCAGTCGCGCCACCACCCCCACCGCCGCCACCGCCCCCACCACCGCCTCCCCCGCCGTCACCGCCACCGCCCTTGCCCCCTTTGCCCTTGCCGCTGCGGCGCCCGCTCGAAGCAGACGCAGTCCCGACCTTCTCAGCACCAAGGAGGTCGACAGCAGCAGCAGAGGCGACAGAGGGAAGAAGGGGGGAAGGAGAACACCCCTCAAAGAACGGGGTACGGGGGTCGCCACGAAAGGCACCTACAACGACTATGCTAGCCTCAGCTGCAAGCAGTTCCTTCTCGAGGAGGGCAATGGTGAGCTCAGTGGGGCAGCGAGCTAGGAAGTGGTCCCTGATTGAGCGCAGAGTGTAAGGGAGGCGGGTGACTAGGTGGTAGAGAGTGAGCCAGAGCGGGGGTGGGTTCTTGGCAAGGAACTCATCAGGCATAGTGGCGCGGAAGCGAGCCTCACTAGTGCGGAGGTGCGTAATGAGGTCAGCGACTGTGTGGAAAGAGGCTAAGTCGGGGAACAGGTAGGGAAGAGAGAGACGGCCTAGTGCGGCAGAGGCCGATGAGGAGTAGCGGGCAACGACAGCTGTGTACAGTGCCTGTGCAGTCTTGTGCTGCCCAAAATGCTCGCGCTCATCTATCGGCAGGGAGTTGCGAATAGCAAAGCGAGCGTGGGCGTCATGAGTCTGCCACTGTGAGCGGGCAGTGCTGTCAGCAGTAGCAGCAGGGGCAGTGACATGGCCTAGGGCGTGGTCGTACAGTGAGATGTCGTCCTTGGCAGTGAGGTGTACATAGAGGTGCAGGTCATCTAGCCAGGTGTCAAACTTCACTGGGCGGCCCTCAGCATCGAAAGCTAGCACAGGTGGGCTAGCCATAGGAGCAGTAGGAGCAGCAGTAGGAGTAGGAGGGTGAGACAGGTAGGGCGGCTCGAACAGTACGCGCAGCGCGGTTCAGTTCAGGTAGGGCGGCGCGGCTCGGTTCGGGTCGCGCGACTTGGCTCGGACTGGGCGGCTCGGTTCGGGTCGCGCGGCTCGGCTCGGTCCTGGAGGGGCTGTGGCGGTCACGGGCCGTTCAGGGCCTCTAGGGGCGAGCGCGGGGCCGTTCGGGGCCTCTAGGGGCGAGCGCGGGGCCGTAAGGGGCTGCTAAGGGCGAGCGCAGGGCCGTTCGGGGCCTGTAGGGGCGAGCGCGAGGCCGTAAGGGGCCGCTAAGGGCGAGCGCGGGGCCGTTCGGGGCCTGTAGGGGCGAGCGCGGGGCCGTAAGCGGCCGCTAGGGGCGAGCGTGGGGGCCGTTCGGGGCCTCTAGGGGCGAGCGCGGGGCCGTAAAGGGGCCTCTAGGGGCGAGTGCGGGGCCGACGCGGGCCTCTAGGGAGGTGAGCGCGGGGCCGACGGGGCCGTTAGGGGCGATCGCGGGGCCGACGGGGTCGCTAAGGGGCGAGCGCGGGGCCGTAAGGGGCGAGCGCGTGGGCCGACGGGGCCTTAAGGGGCGGCGCGCAGGTCGCTAAGGGGCAGATCGCGGGGCCTTAGGGGGCCATGAAGAACGAGGCGCCCGAGGGCGCAGTTTGGTAGGTAGGTAGGTAGGTAGTGGTGGGCCCTAAAAAAAAATGGTCCTAGCGAAGGACCTGCTCTATACCATGTTGGAATGAACGAACAGGAATGATTGAACTAACAGTGAAATCAGTACAAGTACCTAACCCTAGAATTGTGTACCCCCTATAGGCTAACCCACTGTAGCCTAAACAAGCACAACATATATAATGTTTGACAGTGCCAAGCCATGAAATCGACACGTCAGCGGCCAGCTGGACTGCTGCAACCCCTCGAGCCACCGGAACGACCGTGGCAACAGGTGACGATGGATTTCGTCACGGGGCTGCCAGCTGGGCCGTCAGGCAACGACGCTTGTTCTCGTCGTCGTCGATCGCCTCACGAAGATGGCGCACTCCGCACCGTGTCGTACAACAATCACAGCCGAAGAAACTGCGCGCCTCTTCATCTCGACCGTTGTGAGACTACACGGAATCGCCGCAGCGATCATCAGCGACAGGGACCCGAAGTTCACGTCGAAATTCTGGAAAGAAACGTGGGCGCAGTACGGCACGAAGCTACAATTCTCATCGGCATACCACCCGCAAACGGACGGCCAGACCGAGCGAACCAATCAGACGATGGAGCAGCTGATCAGAACAAACTGTTCCGACCCCACTCGCTGGGAAAACTCGCTCGCCATGCTGGAGTCCGCGTTCAACAACGCCCCGTCCAGCACGACTAATCACTCCCCGTTCTTCTTAAATTACGGGATGGATCCGACGGTGCCTACGACGACTACACTCGACAACCCGGTCCCGAGGTCACAAACATTTGTGACGGAACTTCAGGAAGTTCGCGAAAAGGCTGCGGATGCAATTCGCAAGGCGAATACCACTTCCCGTAAATACACCGACCTTCTACGACGGGAACTCGTCTTGGCAGCTGGGCAATTAGTGCTACTCGACACGAAGAACTTGCACCTGCCCGGCCCATCAAAACTCCGGCCACGATTTTGTGGGCCTTTCAAGATCATCAAGATGGTGACACCTGTCACCGCGAAGCTGCTGCTACCCGACGATTGGCGTATACATGACGCCTTCCACGTCAGCCTCCTTCGCAAGTTCGTGCCTGCCACGACTAACATCGCGCGCGAGAACGCTGCCCCGACAGCCCGACCTGTCCCAGAACCGACACTTGACCCGTCCAAGATTTTGGCGCATCGTGTTCGGCTCGACGCTTCTGGACGCCACGTGGATTTTTTAATCCGCTGGACTGACCGCACCAGTGAGGACGACACTTGGGTGCCATCCGCCTCGCTTGAAGCTTCTCCGCTTCTTGGTGATTACCTCGCCCGCAAGCGAGTTGCGGATATTGACCACCTTTCTTAAAGGGGGGGTAGTGTAAGGAAAAACCCTTTTCCTTACAGGGGTTTACTCAACCGCGTACAACCCCAACTTTCGGAAGTGCACGTTCGGCCACTTTGCTTGCTGCCGAAGCAACCTCGCGTCGCCTTCGGCCTTTCCTTTGCCCAACCTGCACCCAACCTCGTGTTCCCGAGGATCCCGCCTAGCTAGGTTGGCCCACTATATTAGCACGTGCCTTCATTGTATTGTCAGTTCATTGAGTCACATCTTCGTTATTCGTTATTCCGCGCACTCTCTTTCACAACTCATAACAGTCGGACTCCGTAAGGAATGCCGAGAAAATTCCTTACACACACCCTCTTGCTTCCTCTCGCTACTGCGAGCTGTCATCTTGACCCATTCCGTCCTCTACCTCTCACCTTCCTTTCCATTTCCCAGCTATGGCCGTGTTGTCTGAAATCGAAGAGCCGCCGCAGCCGCCGCAACCACCGGCGGAGAGGCCAGCTTCGGGCGATAGTAGCTCTCGAGCGCGCGAATCGGGCGAAAGTGGTAACGGAACGGACGAGTTTCCGTACGATGGCTCGCTGACGTCGCTGCTCAGGCAGCACGACGATCGACCGTTGGATCTGCTTCGGACGGTCGTTGGATTTTTGCGACGAAAGTCGGATTTCTTTGCAGACGCGGTGGGCTAGTCGTGTACTTCTTCCCTTGCTGCTTCTTTTATTGCGCTATGTCTTCCACAGTATTTGTACAGCCAATATTTGCTAATTCAGTCACTCTTACTCTCAAACTCTTCGATCCTAACCGAATTTCCTCGAACCTCTTTTCCGTCCCATCATTTAGTCGCCCAAAAAAGTATCTTCTCGGTTCCACCTTCCCACCGCCCGAGGAATCGTCCCTTGATGTAATATTCTCTTGTTATTTCTTTCCTTGTCCCACTCCCTGCCGACCCGCCCCCGTGCCAAAGCAGCGATCGGAGACTGAAGCGGGGAAGCTGATTTCATCGGCGCGAGTTCAGTTCGAGCGGGAGAGGCGAGACCGCGAGCAGCGGAGAGAGCAGGAGAAGGCGGAAACGGAGAGACTAGAAAAGGAACGAGAGAAGGCGAGAATAGAAACCGAGAGGAAAGAGCAGGAGAGGAGGGAGAGGCAGGAGGCGGCAGGAAAGGGGAAGGAGAAGGAAGCGGTTGGGAGTGGTGAAGAGGGGAAGGACGGTGCGTCTGCGATGGAGATAAGCGAAGGGGAAGGGAAGGAGATGGAGGAGGACGGAGAAGAGCCAGTTGCGAGCGGGAAACTGAGTGAGTGTAACTCCTTCACCCGTCTTCACCCTGGGGTAGCAGATTGCAACTCTGTTCCCTCGCTTCCGCTTTCCTCTGCTCCTCCACTTGCTTCCCATCCCACAGAGCCATTCCCGGGCAACGGAGCAGATCTGGGGCGATACTCCTTCACACAGACCCTGGCCGATCTGAATGTGGCGATTCCCCTTCCTATCCTTCCCTTTCCCCCGTTCCCCCGATCCCCGTTCCCCCGTTCCCCTCAATCACTCCCCGCAGAGCGGTCCTTAGGCAACGGAGCTGATCTGGGCCGATACTCTTTCACGGAGCGGTCCTTAGTCTCTTTCACAGAGACTTTGGGAGAAGTAGATCTGGCAATCCCTTCCTGCCTACCCCTCCCCTTCCCTCTTCCCCTGATTCACTCTAAACAGAACCATCCCCAGGCAACGGAGCTGATCTGGGCCGATACTCCTTCACACAGACTTTGGGCGAGCTAATCTCTGGCGATCCCCCTTCCTTCCCTTCTTCGTCTCCCATTCCCCTCAATCATGCCCTATACAGAGCCATCCCCGGGCAACGGAGCGGATCTAGGGCGATACTTTTTCACACAGACTCTGGGCGAGTTAAATCTGGCGATCCCCCTGCCTGCCTGCCCTTCCCTCCCCTCTTTCCCCCACCCCCCCAATCACTCCCCGCAGAGCCATCCCCAGGCAACGGCGCGGATCTAGGGCGATATTCCTTCACACAGACTCTGGGGGAGTTGAACCTGGCGATTCCCCTGCCTGCCGTCTGTTCCGCTGCCCTCTGTTCCCCCTCATTCACTCCTTCCTCCTAACAGAACCATCCCCGGGCAACGGCGCGGATCTAGGGCGATATTCCTTCACACAGACTCTGGGCGAACTCAATCTGGCGATCCCCCTGCCTGCGGGCACCAAGGCACGGGGAGTGACAGTGGAGATCAAGAAGACGAGGCTGGTGGCTGGGTTGAAGGGGCAGGCGCCCGTGCTGGAGGTGAGTGGAGGGGAGGGGTCATAAGGAGCTGGGCCAGGGGTATGCACTAGAGGGATTGAATGGGTGTGGCAATTCTCCTGCCTGCCTGCCGACACTGGGAGTGACAGTGGAGATCAAGAAGACGAGGCTGGTGGCTGGGCTGAAAGGGCAGACGCCTGTGCTGCAGGTGAGTGAAAGGGGGAGGTACTGGGATGGATTGGGCTGGGTGTGGCGATACCCCTGCCTGCCTGCGGGCACCAAGGCACGGGGCGTGGCATTGGAGATCAAGCTAACAAGGCTGGTCGCTGGGCTGGGCTGAGGTGAGAGTGCAGGAATGTTATGCAGGGCAGGCAAGGTATGTATGGCCTGTATTTGTGCTGAGATATGGGCTGAGTGTGCACCCCTTCCTGCCCGCACCAACCAGCACTTGCCTGCCTGTGCTGGAGGTGAGGTTGCACGAGTGATTTCCTTCTGGGTAGTGAAGGAAGTGTTGGCAAGGGTGAGATCTTCCCTTCTCCTCCCTCACGCCCACCCCCCCCCTCCCCCACTCCCCCTCCCTCCTACCTCAACCCCCCTCCCTTTTCAGGCCCCTAAAAATTCATATTCTGCGTTCCTTCTCCCCTCCTCCGTTTCTTTCTCAGGGCGAACTATGGGCGCCAGTGAAGGTGGACGACTGCATCTGGAGCATTGGTAAGCTCTCTTCTTCTTCATATCCCCTCCCCCGTTTTGCTCTTTCTATGAGGCACCTCAGACTCAGGACGTGCCTCCAAGATAGGCTCTGGGCGCCAGTGAAGGTAGACGACTGCATTTGGAGTATTGTTAAGGTCTCTTCTTCTCAAACCCTTCTCGTTCAAACAGAGGTGCCACAAGTTTGTTTAGGTGTCTCAAGAGGAGACTTTGGGGCCAGGCAGATTGAATGGCGTGTTGTGTAGTGAGGTTATTTTTGAGACGTCTCAAAAGAACCTCATTACACGTGGCCAGGCAGATTGAATGGGGTGTAATGAGGTCAGGCCAGGCAGACTGAATGGCATGTAATGAGGTCAGGCCAGGCAGACTGAATGGCGTGTAATGAGGTCAGGCCAGGCAGACTGAATGGCTGCATTTCGAGCAGTGGCGAAGTCGCTTCTCCTCGCCACCCCTGCTTGCTCTTCCTTTTCCCCTTCCCATCTCTCTCTCTTGATCCTTCCCTCTCCATATCTCGCTCCTATGCTGTTACATCAGGTCATGCGTTCTTGAGTTTATGGGTGTATATTCGACGTTTGCTCTTTCTCACTCCCCCCCCCCTATACTTTCAGAGGACAACCCTGGGGGCGGTCGCACCCTCTCCATCCTCCTCACCAAGGTCAACCGCATGGAGTGGTGGAGTGCGGTGGTGTGGTGGATAAGTGGAGTGGTGAAGCGCTTCGGCTTGTGTGCCCCCTTCCCCCCCACGCCCCACCTTCTCCCTCCCTCCCCCCCTCCCTCCTTCCCTCCCTCCTCCCTCCTCCCCCCTATACTTCCAGAGGACAACCCTGGGGGCGGTCGAACCCTTTCCATCCTTCTCACCAAGGTCAACCGCATGGAGTGGTGGAGTGCGGTGGTGAGGGGCGAGCCGGAGATCGACACTCAGAAGGTGGAGCCTGAGAACAGCAAGCTGGGCGACCTTGATGCTGAAACGAGGCAGACTGTAGAGAAGATGATGGTGAGATATTGAGGGGTTACGCGCGTGTGCGGGGCGAGGTAGGAGAGGAGAGTGAGGGAGTGAGGAGCAGAGGTGCTGTGGGGCAGAGATAAGCAAGCTGGGCGACCTTGATAGTGAAACGAGGCAGACTGTAGAGAAGATGATGGTGAGAGATGAAGGGGATGAAAGCTCTTCCGCACCCTCCTTCCCAACTCCCCCTTTTTTCTTCAGTCCCTCCCCCGCCACTTGCCGCCACTTGCCTGCCACTTCCCCACTTCCCCCCCACAGTACGACCAGCGGCAGCGGCAGATGGGGCTACCAACGAGTGAGGAGCAGCAGAAGCAGGAGATTCTCAAAAAGTTCATGGCTCAGGTGGGTGGAATCAGGGGCTCAGGTGGGTCTTCACGTGGGGCTTTGTCAGTTCAGGTGTGTGGATTTTCGGGCTCAGGTGTGCGGCTTTTTAGGCTCAGCATCTTTCCTCTTTTGAGGCGCCTCAAAGGCTTTTTAGGCTCAGCATCTTTCCTCTTTTGAGGCGCCTCAAAGGCTTTTTAGGCTCAGCATCTTTCCTCTTTTGAGGCGCCTCAAAGGCTTTTTAGGCTCAGCATCTTTCCTCTTTTGAGGCGCCTCAAAGGCTTTTTAGGCTCAGCATCTTTCCTCTTTTGAGGCGCCTCAAAGGCTTTTTAGGCTCAGCATCTTTCCTCTTTTGAGGCGCCTCAAAGGCTTTTTAGGCTCAGCATCTTTCCTCTTTTGAGGCGCCTCAAAGGCTTTTTAGGCTCAGCATCTTTCCTCTTTTGAGGCGCCTCAAAGGCTTTTTAGGCTCAGCATCTTTCCTCTTTTGAGGCGCCTCAAAGGCTTTTTAGGCTCAGCATCTTTCCTCTTTTGAGGCGCCTCAAAGGCTTTTTAGGCTCAGCATCTTTCCTCTTTCAGCATTGTCTTTCCTCTTTCAGCATTGTCTTTCCTCTTTCAGCATTGTCTCTCCTCTTTCAGCATTGTCTCTCCTCTTTCAGCATTGTCTTTCCATTCCCTCCTTCCCCACCCCTTGGATAATGGGCGTGTCACTCACCGTTTTCCTCTTATGACCTTCTCACTTACCCTCTTCCTCTCTCACTCCTCCTCCCCTCTCACCCCTCTACTTCCTCTCGCACCCCCTTTCTCACTCACCTCGACTTCCTCTCACACCCCCTTTCTCACACACCCTCTTCCTCTCGCTCACCCCCCTACCAACTCACCCTCCTCCCTGTGTGCAGCACCCTGAAATGGATTTCTCCAACGCCAAGTTCTCCATGTGAGCACAAGACCCAAAAAAAAGTGCGTGTGATGAGCAAGGCTTCAAAGCTACTCAACAATCTTGTTCAGTCAGCAGACTCACAGAAGCATGCAGCAGCACCCTGAAGTGGATTTCTCCAATGCCAAGTTCTCCATGTGAGCATGAATCCCACAAGAAAGCAGCTGTCAGCGTGAAACAGCGTGTTTAGAAGAAAAAAAAAGGGACGAGGGGACTGGAGGGTCTCATCCCAACTCAAACTTACGGTGGTAGTAGGGAGCAGAACGGTAGCAGTCAGGCTGATGCAGTGTGTAATGACTAAACTAGAAGGCTCGCCAAGTTTGAGAACTAGCACCACAAAGAAAGGGCTTTCATCCACTCACTAATGCGCCCACCCACCAGAAGTGGAGCTCGCTGACTGGAGCAGGCAAACTCACTACAGTGTGCTGCAGTAGCAACAGGCCCTATGATATCAGGAATTTTACCCTGAAATTCCTGATTTTCAGGGTTTTTTTTTACCTACCCTGAAAATCCAGTGTTCAGCTTTTCCTAGGGCTGATTTTTCAGCCTTCACATGCCACATGACTCTGAACTTTCAGCAATTTTTTTGAAGTGACACTGATGCCTTTACGTTGTAACAAGTTCGACCCTGAAAGCGAATCCTACTACGGTAGGTACGAGTGTACCGTACTTGACCGGAAGTACTGGGAAAATCAGATTCCCGCGGTGTCAGCAGGGCCTGTCGTTGACTATCGTACAATTTTGCCCACACTGATGGCCCCTTAGTTGGCACGTCTGGTCCGTTCATTGGCCACATTTGCAACATTAAGTGACTTGACCAATTACCAGGTTGCAGCACAGAGATGCTGGCAGGCTGCGCTGCGAGGGATTCTGGCGGTCTAGGTCGTGCTGGCAAGCACTGATGCATCCACACCTCCCAGCCGTGCTACCTGCCATCCAGCCTCACATCCCGTTCTGCTGTTTGCTTCCTTCCTAGTGTTTTTACTGCTAGTAAAATAAAGACTACTAGTATCAGCCTTTTTCTGTAGGGAACACTGATGCATCAGACTTTTTTTTTGAAGTACCGTAACACTGAACTTTCAGGCTTTTTTTTAAGGCGACCCTGACGATCAGGGTCTAGGGTCAGAGGGACCCTGATACCCTTACGTGCCTAAAAGTGAATCTGAGGGCCTGAGTAGCAAGCAGATGCTACATCTTAGGTAATTTCTAAAAAATAGCGAATGAGCTGTGGTGCTGCACTGCATTGCAGCCAGCCAGGAGACGGTCAGCTGGCTGGCGGACACCACCAGTCAACAAACTTCCAATGAATGGTGAGATTAGCGAGAAGGTACCTGCATGTGTGGATCATGCGGGACGGGAGCTCCAAGATAAAGCGTATCTAGGAATGGGATGGGATTAGAACCCTTGACCATAAGCTGAAACTGGCGCCTTAGACCAGTTTTTATTCACTACACAGTGTTCCTTGCCAGATGGGTTTATACAATATACAGTATGTACACGTACCGCAGTGTGCAAAGAACTGATAAACTAAATGCAGTGCATTGCCTTTTTTTTTTGTGTCATTTTTTTTGTTACATCATTCTTTCAAGAGCTTATCTGTGGTAGAAAGCAAGCATGTCACTTCGTCATCAGAGGCTATTCCTGAAGCACGCCATCGAACACGACCTTTCCCATCCACTAGGAATGCATAGCTGCACGCAAGAGAATAATGAAGCAGAGGGAAGGAATAGGAATGACGAAAAAAAGGGTGAATGAAGGAATGCTAGGATAACAAAACAGCAGAAAACTAGGCAGAAAGGGAATACTGTAATCACCCCGTCAGCCGACGGAGTAGGTGCAAAGGAGAACTTACCCTGTGAGCCTGTTAATAATGCCCAATTTCTTCCTGAAATCCCACGTGTCACCAAATGCATATACATTCGTCAGAACCCTATCCACTCCCTCTGAACCAACACCATCTGCCAAGCGTGCCTGCTGCTTGGCCTCAGCTCCACGCAAGCTGCTGAGCAGCCAGGATCGAACGGGTCGGGTTGACAACAGCCAAGACTCGATCCACGAGATGTGCACCGCGCACACAGAGCCCGGTGGAAAGTGGTAGGGTGGGATATCCGTGGGTTGAGAGGAGTCAGGTGCGGTGGAAGCCAGTGCAGAAGTTTGGGTAGGAGTCGAAAGTGAGGGAGTGGCGGAAGATGAGCTGCTGGAGGCGTGCTGGAGGAAGGGTTTTAGCCATGATTCCACCATGCCCTGACCAGCAAGGAATGAAAATGTTTAAAAACAGAGATCGAAAAGAGTTAGAATGAGAGTTTGATGGGAGTGGCTTGAGAGTGAGGCACAGTGGAAGTGATATCAGTGAATTGAAAGGGGAACTTTCCACAACAGCGGATTGTCAGCTGTTTCACAAAGGGCAGGAAGATTCCCCAAGCCACTCCAGACAGAAAGAAATCCTGTTTTTTGTGAGACACTGCTCCCTGTATCCACCTGACGTTTAGCGGGAAGTAGAGCAGCAGACATAAGTACCTGAGCGTTTGCACGGAACGCCACGCAGACCAGCACCACTCGACACGTGTCACCCTGCAGATCGAGAGGCAGCTCCACTGACGCCCTGGATGACGTGGTTCCCGTAATTTGCGGGAACAACGCGGCTCCAGCGGCTGGAAGCGGCGACGCGGTGGGTAAAGGGCCCAGTTTCCCGGCAGTTTCCTTGAGCTCCTTAAAATCGTCGAAGTATCCGCGGTTCAACTCGTCCTTCAAGCGTTCTATCTCCTTATCTCGCGATTCTTTCCGGAAAACAGTGAAGATATTGAGAGAGCGGACGGGAACAACGGCTGGCGATGCGGAGGAGAGATCTGGACCGTGGATCGTTGGTCGGGCAATCCGGGTTGCTGAATGAAGCGAATGTAAATGCCAGTGATTATGACGGGTCGTTGGAGCGGAGATGAACCGGGACGACACATGGCGAAAAGGTGGCGATAGTGACAGTAACGGGCGCTGAACCGATTCGTGGGGATGTAAGGAGCTCGGGATGCCGTGGCTGCAGGAATGCGCGAGTTGTTGCACGGAGTGTGCTCGGATCGAAGCGACAACCAGACCAGGATCTCGTGACGAGGCCTGGAAAGCCGAGCGCATGAAGGACGGAGACGCTGCTAAAACCGCCTGTCCAATGCGCCGCGAGCTTGAACTAGACGCCATTCTGCAACTGCCGCTCGCAACAGGAGTTGGAAAACAGGCTCTTTCTGTTTTCTAATCTGACTAGTCAATTTTCAGTTGTAGGAGCTATAGAGCGCCGTATCCGAAGTATAACGAGGATTTCTTCCTTACCTTGTTCCGATCTCAGATTCATCGTACAGAGTGAGACGATGCCACGTGTTACAACCGCGAAAATTGAACCTATCACAACGAGCACTGACAAGCTACCAGGTTGTTCGCGCTTGGTCATTGGTCACCCAGGAAGTTCGTTACTGCTCGGTACCCCACCATACCACCTTGAAATCTCTTGTCAGAGCTCTGAAACGTAGATAATTATATTCAGCCACATCAAAACCAATCTCTAGGGAATTCCGTTTTCGCTCGAGACAAGCACCAGTATTTCTGTTGATGTGCATTTTCTGGTCACGAAACAGGCGGCCATTTCGTCTGGTCAGGTAATTCTGGCTAGAGCAGTTTGTTATCTGAAGCTCTACTACGCTTGAAAAATATGTTTCTCTGAACCGTTTGTGAAGCCATTCCAGAAGTCGTGTATCGTTGAGACAACTCCATCGTGTCCGCTGGTCTTCTCATACAGCAAAGTGCATTTAGGAGGAATGGCTGAACTGGCGGCAACAGGCCGCTCAACTTGCGGTAGTTTGGCACTGAGTAGTTTCTGTACCGCTCGGCAATCGATCGCCTCCTCTCCTCGTGCTTCTCATCAGTCTTATCAACCCCGGTCCTACCAACCTCCCCAGAAATCGTCCCATCGTAGTGTCCTGTATCGGCAGTCGCTGGCCTCCGAATTCAACGGCCGGAGTTTCGGAAATCAACGGTTAGGATGCAATGGCCTTCGCCAATCCCGGGGGAGACGATTCAGCTGCCGTGCGAAGTCGGTCATCGAAGGCGACGACATCCGAGGTGTGGTTATGAGGTAACCCGGTTTCATTACTCGCAGAGCCATTTCGGCTTGGAGAGCCAGCACAGAACATTGATTCTCAAACCTACCTCACTCACTTTCCTCCCCTATGCTCTCCATTCCTCCGCTGTCACTCCTCCTCACCCTCTCCACCACACCCCTTTTCCCCCTCTCCTTACCTCGCAACCTACAGAGGCGTTTCCTGACGTACCACCACGCAAGCACAAGCACAAGCACCAGCACGAGCAGCAGCAGCAGCAGCAGGAGTCAACAGACGCTTCACAGCCAGAGAACACGAAAGCTGATGCCAACTTGCAGAGAGCCGACTCAAAGACAACAGGGAAGCAGACAGCAGGGGAATATACAGCAGGGGAACAGGCAGCAGGGGAACAGGCATCACCAAGCGGGGAATTCTCCGCTCCTTCAGAGCTTTCTCTCCGCGCGCTCTCCGCGGGGGTGCCTGCGTGGGTGGCGGAGAGAGCAAGCGCCGTCTCCCCGGAGGTGGTGGCGATCGCGAGTGTGTACTTCGTGCAGGGCGTGCTGGGGCTGGCCCGCCTTGCCGTCACTTTCCTTCTCAAAGACGACTTTGGGCTTGATCCTGCTGAGGTGAGTGCATGTCTGTGTGTGCGTGACTGTGTGCGCTCTGCTCTGCTGTGCTCGCGTGAGGACTCCCCGGAGGTGGTGGCGATCGCGAGTGTGTACTTCGTGCAGGGCGTGCTGGGCTTGGCGCGCCTTGACGTCACTTTCTTGCTCAAGGACGACTTTGGGCTCGACCCGGCTGAGGTGCGAACGAAGCATTGCCATGGTTCATGTGACAAGTGTGTTGTTGCACTCTCAATGTCTTCTTCTCAATTCCCTTCCCCTCTCTCGATCCTTCATTGGCCGAACTAACAGTGATTTCATCCCTCTCCTCCCTGCTATGGTAGCCTGTCTACCATTCCATCTCACATCCTGAAATCAGCACTTACTCCCTTCTCTTCCCCCCTATTCGCCGCACCCCCAGGTAGCGGTGTTATCGGGCCTCTCCTCCCTCCCCTTGCTCATCAAGCCCATCAACGGCTTCATAAGCGACGTCATTCCTCTCTTACGATTTCCCCCCGTCCGTTTCACATGTCCTTCTCTCTCCTTTTCCCAATTCCCTTCCCCCAGGTGGCAGTCCTATCAGGTCTCTCCTCGCTCCCCTGGCTCATCAAGCCCATCTATGGCTTCATCAGTGATGGCATCCCTCTCTTTGGCTACCGCCGGCGCTCCTACTTGGTGGCGTGTGGGCTGCTGGGGTCCCTTGCATGGGGTGCACTGGCGACGGTGGTGGGGGATAAGTACTCTGCTGTCGCAATGATCCTGCTCTCCTCGCTCTCTGCTGCTGTCTCTGATGTGGTGAGTGGTGCTATGCGGTGCGCTGTGGTGGTACCTGTGGTGTTATCTGTGGTGGTATGCGGTGCAGTTGCTGTAGTGGGGGATAATTACTCTGCTGTGGCCATGATCCTGCTCTCCTCGCTCTCTGCTGCTGTCTCTGATGTGGTGAGTGGTGCTATGCGGTGCGCTGTGGTGGTACCTGTGGTGTTATCTGTGGTGGTATGCGGTGCAGTTGCTGTAGTGGGGGATAATTACTCTGCTGTGGCCATGATCCTGCTCTCCTCGCTCTCTGCTGCAGTCTCTGACGTGGTGAGTGGTGTGATGCGTGGTGGAGTGCGATGCCCTGTGGTGCAGTGTGTGGTGGCTGCAGCGTGCCGTATGGGCTGTGTTCTATACTTCCCACACCCGCACTCCTCTTCGTTCAACTCCCACCCTCTCCCCCTCCTCCCTCCTCCCTCTTCTCCCTCCTGGACACAGGTGGTGGTGCCTAAAAAAATCGCCTGTTCTTGTGTGTTTCACACCCCGCCAACCTCCCCTCTCTCCCCCGTCGCCCACTGTCCCCAGGTGGTGGACTCAATGGTGGTGCAGAGGGCGAGGGGCGAGTCCCAGGCCACATCTGGGGTTTGCCTTGCCCTTTATACGCACCCCTCCCATGATCGATTCAACCACCCCCAACCCCTCCAATGCCCCCAGGTAGTAGACTCAATGGTGGTGCAGAGGGCGAGGGGCGAGTCCCAGGCCACATCAGGCGGGCTGCAGTCGCTCTGCTGGGGGTCGTCAGCAGTGGGGGCTGTTCTCTCTGCGTATTTCAGCGGCTCGCTGATAGAGAACTACGGCACAAGGTGAGTGAAGGGGGGGGGGGGGGGGGTGAAGGGCAGCAGGCGGGCTGCAGTCGCTGTCTTGGGGGTCGTCAGCAGTGGGCGCTGTGCTCTCTGCGTATTACAGCGGCTCGCTCATTGAGAATGACGTCACACAGGTGAGTAGTGAAGGGGGGGGGGGGTGTGAAGGGCAGGCAGGGCACACAAGGAACGGCACCCATCCCATCACATCACATCACATCACATCACATCACATCACATCACATCACATCACATCACATCAGGCAGGCTGCAGTCGCTGTGCTGGGGGTGGTGAGCAGCAGGGGGGCTGTGTTCTCAGCGTAATATTCTGTTGCCTGTCACTGCCTGCCTTGCTTCCCGCAATATCTACCCTCCCCATCCGTCTCAAACCCACGTCATCCCTTGTGCTCTTCTCAGCTTTGTGTTCGGAGTAACTGCCCCTCTTTTCTCATCTCCTACCCTCCCTCCCCGCCCATCTCAAACCGACCACACCTCTAGGTACCCCTCCCATCCAGGTTTGTGTTCGGAGTGACAGTCCTACTGCCTCTCATCACCACTGCTGTTGGATTCTACGTCCCAGAGAAGAGGGTTACCACAGGTCCCGTGCTCCGCTCCCCCCCAATCATCCACCTGCCCCCCACAGCACACCGTACTCAACCCCACTACACCTCTGTGTACCCCTCCCATCCAGGTTTGTGTTCGGAGTGACAGCCCTGCTGCCTCTCATCACCACTGCTGTCGACGTCCCAGAAGAGAGGGTTACCACAGGTCCCCTCTCCCCCCCATCATCCACCCACCGTCCACAGCACACCGTTCTCAACCCCACATCACCACTTTGTACCCCTCCCATCCAGGTTTGTGTTCGGAGTGACGGCCCTGCTGCCTCTCATCACCACTGCTGTCGGATTCTACGTCCCAGAGGAGAGGGTTACCGCAGGCACTAGGGTTACCACAGGCACTAGGGTTACCACCAACAAGGATCGTACAGCCACTGGCACAGCAGTAGGAGGGACAGGGGGGGAGCTTACAAGATTAGAAGAAAGCCGAGGAGACAGAGAAGGAGGCAGAGGAGGGGAAGGGGGAGCAGTGGGAGGAGTGGAAGGAGGAGGGGTTGGAGTGGTAGTAGCAGCAGGGGGCGGGGCGAGGGAGACGTGGGCGTGGGCGTGGGGTCAGGTGGTGTTTCTGTGGGAGACCATTCGCCAGCCCGCCATTCTGCTGCCCACCGCCTTCATCTTCCTCTGGCAGGCCACTCCCCACTCTGAGACTGCCATGTTCTTCTTCACGTGAGTGCTTGCTGTGGGTGTTCTCCAGATGAGCATTTGCCTGAAGGCATGGCGGGTACGGCCATGGGTATGGGCACGCGTGGGTGTGGGCATGAGTAAGTGCTTTCATCTTCCTTTGGCAGGCCACACCCCACACTGAAACCGCCAGGGTCACCAGGAGTCAACAGGTATCAACAGGGGTCACCAGGGGTCAACAGGGGTCAACAGGAGCAACAGGGGTCAAACGAGTTCCATGGGGGGTATAGCCATGGGGTTCTCTGAGGCCGGCATATTCGTTTTGCACGTGAGTCAATGGGAGTCAACAGGGGTCAAGGAAAGTCAACGGGGGTTATTGGGGGTCCGCCCTGAGTCTGTTCATTGTCTTTCTAATTTTGACCCACCCACTTACATTCTCCACCATTCCCCCCCCCCCCCCCGTCTCAGGGCTTCGCTTTGGCCCTGAGTTCATGGCCCGCATGAACTCAGGCTTCATGGCCCGCATGAACTCAGGCTTCATGCGGGCCCATGGTTCATGGCCCGCATGAACTCAGGCTTCATGCGGGCCCATGGTTCATGGCCCGCATCCATGATGCTGCAGGGTGTTTTTGAGAATTCTCAAAAACACCCTTTCACAAAATACCCTTAGTTCAAGTTCCGCATCCGCTGCGTGACAACCCTAGCCTCGCTGCTTAGAGTAGGAGCCTTTCCGAGCGCCCATAACCTTCCACACTTCCTCCCACCCCAACCCCCTCTCCCACTGCAGCACCAACGAGCGGGGCCTCAGCCCTGGGTTCCTGGGCCTTGTCCGCCTCGTGACGCCATCGCCTCCCTACCCCAAACCTCCCCAACAGCCCATACTCTTCAGCACTCCCATTTTCCCCTCTCCCTCACCGCAGCACCAACGTCCTGGGTTCCTGGGCCGCGTCCGCCTCGTGACCGCCCTGGCCTCCTGGCAGGGGTGGGCGTGTTCAACTTCTCTCGCCCCTTTTCTCCCCCCATCTCCCCCCCCCTCTCTCCCTCTGCCCTGCAGCACCAACGAGCTGGGCTTTGGTCCTGAGTTCCTGGGCCGCGTTGGCATGGTGCCAACCCCAGGGCTGAGTCCCCATAATGCGAAAGACTCGCCTCCATAATCTTCCACTCTCGCCCAACCCCCCCTCTTCCCACCGCAGCACCAACGAGCTGGGCTTTGTTCCTGAGTTCCTGGGCCGCGTCCGCCTCGTGCCAACCCTAGGGCTGAGTCCCCATCATCAGAATGACTCGAGCCTGTCTGGGCGCCCATAATCTTCCATACGCTCCCCCAACCCCCCCTTTCCCACCGCAGCACCAACGAGCTGGGCTTTGGCCCTGAGTTCCTGGGCCGCGTCCGCCTCGTCACCGCCCTGGCCTCCCTGGCAGGGGTGGGCGTGTTCAACTTCTACCTCAAAGAGGTGCCTCTCAGGAAGCTCTTTTTCTGGACCAACATTGCTGGAGCCCTTCTGGGCTCCACACAGGTGAGAGAGAAAGGCTTCCCCCCCCCACCCCAGGTACACAGTACGGTACATCCCTATGGTTGGCTCGCACAAGGCTACAAGCACTCCTCGCCTCGCTCGCAGGGGTGGGGGTGTTCAATTTCTACCTCAAAGGGGTGCCACTCAGGAAGCCCTTTCTTTGGACCAACGTGGCTGGGGCGCTCCCAGGCTCCACACAGGTGAGCCATTAAGCAAGCAGACAAGGCAACAATCAGCCTTGGCCCTCCCTGCCGGGCAGGGGTGGGGGTGTTCAATTTCTGCCTGACAGAGGTGCCTCTCAGGAAGCTGTTCCTCTGGACCAACGTGGCTGGAGCCCTCCTGGGCTCCACACAGGTGAGACGTGGGGTGGGGGGAGAGCCGAGTCTAGTGAGTCTCAGCACCCGAGACAGTTCTGGGTGGGTGCGAAGTCACTGTTGGCAACTCTCTGAAGTGACTCCATGCTGCATGACTCTAGCTGCATGCTGCTACACGCCCTTGCCTCACTCACTGCCACCTTTCTCCCGCTTACTCTTGCTCACCACGCATTCTCCCCATGTATTGTCCACCTCGTCTCAGCTACTCCTTGTCACCGGTCTCAACCGCTCTCTGGGAATCAGCGACCAGTACTTTCTGCTGGGGGACTCTCTCATACTCACCGTGCTGGGACAGGTGAGACCTGGGGCAAGTAATAGCTGGGACAGGTGAAGACTGGGGCAGGTAATAGCTGGGACAGTTGAGAGCTGGGGCAGCTGGGACAGGTGAGAACTGGGGCAGGTAATAGCTGGGGAAGGTGAGACCTGGGGCAGGTGAGACCTGGGTCAGGTGAGACATGGGTCAGGTGAAACATGGGACAGATGAGACATGGGTCGGGTAATATCTGGGGCAGGTGATAGCTGTGGTCTGTTTCCTCATACTCTCTGTGTCGGGGCAGGTAACGCCACGCACACGGTTAACCGACCGACCTCTTTGGCACAACGCTCATGCCTGTCAGCAACGGCGCGAGCATCTTCGGGGGGGGGGGGGGGGGGGGGGGGGGGGGCGGTTGGTGGTGGGGGTGATGGGCACTGCGCTGGCCAACCCTTTCCTTGCTTCCCCCATTTCTATTCCTGCCCCCATCTCAGATTTCCTTCATGCCAGTGCTGGTGCTAGCAGCTCGAGTCTGCCCCCCGGGCATCGAAGCAACGCTCTTCGCAACACTCATGTCTGTCAGCAACGGGGCGAGCGTCTTTGGGGGGGTGATGGGCGCTGGGCTGACCAACTGGCTGGGAGTGACAAGCACCAACTTCACCAACCTGCCCACGCTCATCGCCATCTGCAACTTCTCCTCTCTGCTCGTGCTGCCGTTTCTCAACCTGCTGCCTGCTGGTGTCGGCGCTAACTCCGACTCTGAAGAAGAGTAGAACTTGTACAGTAACATCTGCTCTGTAGAAAATTCCTCAAGTAACAGCGATCCACTGTCAGTATCAGTTTAATTCAAGATGGCACTCCAGCCAGGTTTTCTTACCCAAACGCAATGTACTCTATCAAAAATGTGTTCTATTAAAAATTTTAGGATATAATTAATTTCTTTCACTCACCACGTCAGGATGGCCGAGTTGGTCTAAGGCGCCAGTTTCAGGTACTGGTCCGAAAGGGCATGGGTTCGAATCCCATTCCTGACATTTTTCCGACGCGTCTTATTCCCCCCGAACCTACGATCGAACCTGCGAAATCGGACCTCCACCGCACTGAAATCCTTCTTCGGACATTTAAAACTATCGGAAATGTTTTTAACCCCGGACGTGTTCATTCCCTTGATCGAACCTGCGCAGGGTCGATTTTTGGCGGGGTCAGAGAAGGTTCTGCTAGTTGTTGAATGCATCAGGCGGGGTTTCAGTGCGGTCGATATTGCACGATCAAGTGAGAGGGGACGCGTGCTTACTCCCCCTGGCTGGCAACCTGAAGTCCTGATTGGTGGATGGAGCGGCACCCACCACGTAGTGCGAGCGACATGCGATCGTACGAACGGAGCAGCAAAGCAGCTCCCCACCCCGAACAGTACGCGTTACAACTGTACCACCTCCACTCTTTCAAATGTCCGTCTGTCCGTTCCCCCGTTTCCCCGTTCGCCTGCACGCTCGCTAGCCTGCAGTTCCCGGTGAAGCAGAAACCCTAATTTCGAGCTTTTCCGTTGGTCCTCGCGAACACGTCACTTACGCAGCACACATCAGAATGGGGTCAGGTGTCAGGTTGTATTTCATGGCTGACACAGGCAGGCAAGGTCCCACTTCTGTCGGTGAAGGGAAGAACCTGCCTTTGGCTAGTTGTGAGTTTGTTCGTAGGCAAACGTTTGAAGTGGTTCTATCGTCTAGACAAGGCTGGCTAGTTGTCTCTTAGCAACAGCTGTGAACTTATTCATTGGTGACTTTCCCGTTGGCGTAAGAGTCACCACAATGCCGTCCTTTTCTCGATAGCTCCAGTAGTCTGAAATATTATTACTAATTTCTCCTGCCGTGTTTGTTTCGAAAGAATAAGGCCCATCTGCAGCATCCAGCTATGGTATCGCGCTTCACAGTTGCTAATATTATTTACTTCAGCTACGACTATTGCACTGACTGTCACCTTTACGACTTGCCTGATGTAAATTAAAGTCCGTACTCGTTAATAGAGACCTCGTTTGTGGTAGCAAGTCCAGTTGTAACGCCAAGAGCCATGGTTTCGTGTTTCTCCGTCGCTCCCATACACAACGACAAGTACGACTATTACATCGACGATTACATCTCCGATGACGACCCGAACCTCGACCCGGACGTACGTACGCTTCGCAAGGCGAAGCAGCGGCGGTACGAGGAGCGGCTCGCGAAGGAAGCGGCGAAAGCGGCGGAGGAAAGGGAGCGGATACGGCAGAGGGTCGGGGGAGTGGTGGTGGTGGGTGTGGATGTTAATGAAAGCGGCCAGAAGATCGTGGACTTCGCGATTGAGAATATGGTGAAGCGAGGCGGCAAGCTGGTGCTCGTGCATGTCGCCACCGTCACTCCCCTCGTACAGCCGGGCCCAGGTGAGTCACTCCGTCTGACCTGGTCTGCAAACGCCCTAGTTCCAAAACGCCCGCCGACTGCCTTGGCCTGAGGCCCTTCCAAAGGTGGTGGTACGTGGAGTGGTGGAGGTGGGTGTGGATGTGAATGAAAGCGGTCAGAGGATGGTGGACTTCGCGATTGAGAACATGGTAAAGCGAGGCGGCAAGCTGGTGCTCGTGCACGTCGCCACCGTCACTCCTCTGGTTCAGTCCGGTCCAGGTGGGTGAAGTGGTTTGCGTCCCGTTTAAGAATGGTTCGGTAGGGTGGGGAGAGGGTGATGATAGGTGAAGGCCAAGAAGAGCAGTCACAGACGTGTGAGTGGCTCGATTTGAGTCCCGGTTTCGTCAAGAAGAAACACAAGACAGTACATTCAGTCTTGCAGAGAGCAGAGGGGATAGGGAGGGTTTCTTTGGACGCACAAGGTAAGGGCATGGTGGGGAGGGTACAGCCTGCACATATCGCATGGTGGGGAGGGTACAGCCTGCACATATCGCATGGTGGGGAGGGTACAGCCTGCACATATCGCATGGTGGGGAGGGTACAGCCTGCACATATCTCATGGTGGGGAGGGTACAGCCTGCACATATTGCATGGAGGGTAGTCACCTCATTGCAGCTTCCTGTCACTTCTCTTTCTTCAACCCATGCCCGTGCAGGCCGCAGCAACAAGCGCGAGGTGAAGAGCAGGGAGCGCGTGGTGGGGTGGGTACAACCTGCACATGTCACACGAGGCCATGCTTATCCCCTCTCCACGCCCTCCCCCGCCTCCCCCGCACTCCCTTCTGTTTTCCTCCCTCTGCGCTCCCCCAGGCCGCAGCGACAAGCGCGAGGTGAAGAGCAGGGAGCGGGCGTGGTGGGGAGGGTACAACCTGCACATGTCACACGAGGTCGCACGCCTGCTCAAGCCACACAGGCGGCAATGCAGAGCGGCTGGGGTGAGTCTAGTCCGTCAAAAGCTGCACAGGCAGCACTGTAGAGCCTCTGGAGTGAGTCCCTCCTTCCTTTCTTCAGACAGACGGCACTTGTCACACGAGGCCGCTCGCTCAATGCAGAGCGGCTGGCTGGGGTAAGTCCTTGTTCCAGATAAGCACCGCACAGGAAGCACTGTCTCTAGAGCCTTTGGAGTGAGTCCCTCCTTCCTTTCTTCAGACGGAACATGTCACACGAGGTCGCGCACCTGCTCAAGCCGCACAGGCGGCAATGCAGAGCGGCTGGGGTGAGTCCTGTCTTCACATGTTTAGTTCCTCCTTCACATGAATTCCGTAATGCATGTTGAGATGGAAGTGGAGTGGAGGTGCGTATAGTGCGAGGCAAGTCAGTGCCCCACACGCTCCTGAAAGAGGTGTTCCAGCCTCACCCTTCCTCGCCCCTCCCCGTCCTTCCCCTCCCTCCCTTCCCCTTCAAATGGAGGTGGAGGTGCGTATAGTGCGAGGCAAATCAGTGCCCCACACGCTCCTAAAGGAGGCCGCTTCCCTCTCTGCAACCACGCTGCTGCTGGGGCGGAAGGGCAAGGGCAAGGAGAAGGCGCAGTTCAATGCCCACGCAGACCCCGTCAAATGAGGTCCTTGCTCCCTCCTTTCCTCCCACTTCCCCCTGCCCCCCCCTTTCCTCCCCTCCTTTTCCTTCCAACCTCCCTTTCCCTTCAGATGGAGGTGGAGGTGCGTATAGTGCGAGGCAAGTCAGTGCCACACACGCTCTTGAAAGATGTCCTTTACACCTTCCCTCCCCTCCTTCCCTCCCCTATTCTTCCCCTTCAGATGGAAGTGGAGGTGCGTATAGTGCGAGGCAAGACAGTGCCACACACGCTCCTAAAAGAGGCTGCTGGGCTTTCTGCAACCACGCTGCTGCTGGGGGGGCAGGGGCGGAAGGGCAAGGGCAAGGAGAACGCGCAGGGGGAGGGGGAGGGTGCACGGGAGGAGAGGCGGAGGGGGGAGGCTGCAGCAGCAGGCGCAGCAGCAGCAGGGGTGGCGGGGATGAGTGTGGTTGGTGGGATGCAGGTCGGCAAGTCAAGGTGAGATTCGTTCATTCACAGGAGCGACAGCCGCAGCTGCAGCAGCAGCAGCAGGGGCGGCAGGGATAGATGTGGTTGGCACGATGCAGGTAGCACACACTACAGACAAGCGTTGTTGGAGTAACTTTTGGGTTTTTTTTTTTTTTTTTTTGGGGGGGGGGGGGGAGGGGTTTAGGATGTGTCTGCCACCTTTCGCCCCTTCTTCATCTCATCCTCTTTAATCAACAGGAAATCTGGCAGCAATACTTCGCGCATGCTATTTCGCCTGGCTGTCCGCTCTAGGGTGCATGATTCTGGTTGTCCTGGTACTGCCTAACATATTGTCTTCTCCCATCCCTTTTCCCCCACAACAGGCAATCGGGCCCCAACAAAGCAAGCTACTGTGCCCGGCGCCCCCCTCTAGGCTGTGTGGTGCCCGTGGTGGATCCCTCCTCCTCATCTGCTCTCTGATGTTCGCCCCCCTTTTACCACCCTCCCAACAGGCAATCGGGCCCCACCACAGCAAGCTACTGTGCCAGGCGGCCCCCCCCCTGGGCTGTGTGGTGTTGGTGGTGGATCCTTCCTCCTCGCGAGTCGTGCTGCAGTCGGGGAACGTCGACTTTCGCTACCCCAACCACCCCATTCGCCCCCTGCTGTCTTCCTCTCCCTTCTCCCCCTCACAACAGCAGGCAATCTGGCAGCAGCGCAGCAAGCTATTGCGCCCGGCGGCCTCCCCTGGGCTGTGTGGTGCTCGTGGTGGATCCTTCCTCCTCGCGAGTCGTGCTGCAGTCGGGAAACGTCGACTTTCGCTACCCCAACCACCCCATTCGCGGCCGCCACCGGCCCAATGCTACCCGCGCCCGCACCCTCGGTGCTGGAGGTGCCGGTGCTGCTGGTAGCGGTGGTGCTGCTGCTTTGGAGGCTGCTGGGAGTGGTGGGGGTGGGAGTGCTGGTGCTACAGGTGTAATTGCTGCTGCTTCTGTTTCTGCTGCTGCTGCTGCTCGTGCTGCCGCTGTTGCCATGGGTTCGAGAGCTCTATCCGCTCATCCTGTTGAGGCTGCCGCCTCTGGGTCATCTGGAGCAGCAGGGGAGCAGCAGGGTCATCTGGGCCACACACGTCCCACTGTGTCGCACAGTGCATCAGCAGCAGCGGCAGCAGCAGCACCAGCTGCAGGGGTGGGGGCAGCAGCAGCACCAGCTGCAGGGGTGGGGGCAGCAGCAGGGCGGGCCTCTGTCAGCAGCGCCGTTGCCGCTGCTGCCGCCGCTGCTGCAGCAGCGATCAGGGTAGGCCCAGGCCCAGGCCCAGCCTCGGGGTCAACCCCTGGCCCAGCAACTCTCCCAGGCAACCGTAGGCAGCCTGGACCCCAACCTTTAGCCCGGGAATGGGAATCCCGTGAGTCGGCTCAGAAGGGACGACCGTCGGCACGAGAGTGGGAGTGTTTGCAAGGGCAGGCCGGTGCTCAGGGTGACGATGGTCAGGGAGTTGGGGACAGCTGATACTGACGCTGCTGCTTTGCGTTCTGAGTCTCCTCGCCCCTCTCCTCCTCTGTCTCCCTCGGGCTCCTCCTCTTCCTCTCAGTCCTCCTCTGCTGTTCCGGTCGCCTACCCTCCCTCTTCCGAGCTCACTGCTGCTCCCATTACAGCTGTTGCTGTTACTGCTGCAGCTATTGATGATGATGATGATTATAATTGTGACTATGATAGTAATGTGTATGGCAACCCAGCAGCTGTAACCGGCACAGGTGGTAACTCAGGTCAAGTTGGTAACTGTTGCTCAGGCACAAGTGCAGCAGCTACAGCTTCAGCTAGAGATGTTACATCTGAGGTTGTATTGAAGGAGCACCGCTTGGCTGCCAGGGTTTCTACCTTTGAGCCTGCTACAGCCAGGAGTTTTCCTGCCAGAACTGCTACAACTAAGGTCGCTACAGCCACGATTGCTGCTGCTGGTTCCGCTGCTGCGGCTGCTGCTGCTGGTGATGCTGCTGGTGCTGCTGGTGCTGCTGGTGCTGCTGGTTTTGGTTCTGTTGGTGGTGCTGCTGGTGGTGGTTATACGCCCGTTACTCACTACTATCACCAGCAGATTACGCCGTCGTCTTCGCTCTCCTCCTCCCCGTCTGTCCTGCACACTCGCTCCTCCCATTCCTCTAACTCCTCCGCTACCCCCTCCCACCCTCCCTCCGCCTCTTGGTCTGTGAAGCCAGCACGGGATAATGGTAGCGTTCAGAGGAGTAGTGGCAGTTTGAGAGGGGTGGAAGGGGATGGGGAAGGGTCTGTGAAGCTAGCACGAAATAATGGTAGCTTTCAGAGGAATAGTAGCAGTTTGAGAGGGGTGGAAGGGGAGGGAGAAGGGGAGGCTCGTCGTGCTAAGGGGGTGGGGATGGGGGCAGGGATGGGGGTGGGGATGGGGGCGGGGATGGGGGCGGGGATGGGGGCGGGGATGGGGGTGGGGATGGGGGCGGGGATGGGGGCGGGGATGGGGGTGGGGACAGGGGTAAGGATGGGGGTGGCTTGTGCGGATGATGGGTCGAGTGTGCAGAGCTACAGGAGCAGTCTGCATGGGGTGAAGGAGGAGGAGGAGGAAGAGGAGGAGGACGAAGAGGAGGAAGAAGAGGAGGAGGAGGATGGGGAGGGGGGCGAGGAGGAAGAAGTGGGGGAACGAGTGGGGAGAAGGGTGGTGGGGGAGGTGGGTTGTGAAGAGGGGGAGGATGGGGAGGGGGAGCAGAGGGAAGTGGATGAGGAGGAGGAGGACGAGGAGGAAGAAGAGGAGGAAGATGGAGGTTCGAGTTGGAGCAGTTGCGGCAGTGCTGGGAGGGAGTTGGAGCAGCAACAGAGGAACCAGCAGAGGGACCAGAGGAGAGAAGAGGAGGGTGTGGTGGTCGGGGAGAGAAGCTTAGATGAAGGGCATGAAGTGAGGATAGGCAGGAGGGGAGACGCGCGGGAGGACAGGAGGGGTGAAGGGAAAGCGGAAAGGAGGGAAGAAGCGAGAATAGAGGGGGCGGAGGGGGGGGGGAGAAAGAGGCGGGCACAGGTGCTTGTGTGTGAAGGGACAGACGGAGAACGAATAAGGGAGTCAAGAACAAACAGTGAATGTGGTTCAAGGCATGAACAATCAGGTTTCTCAGCTAAAGCAGCAGATGCTACTGCTCGTGATGGTGCTTCAGGTGCTACTGTTCGTGATGGTGCTTCAGGTGCTTATTCAGGTGCTTTTGCTAGTGTGGTTGGAAGGCAGGGCAGCAGCAGGAGCAGTGGGAGCAGCAGAGGGGTGATGGCAGGGGCGCAAGAGCGCGTTTTGAGAGATCATAGCAGAGAGGGGGACAGGTGGGGAGGGGCAAGTTTAGATGGGAGCAGTGTGGATGGGAGGAGTGTGGATGGGAGGAGTGTGGATGGGAGGAGTGTGGATGGGAGGAGTGTGGATGGGAGGAGTGTGGACAGCAGAACCACCACCACCACTACAATCACCAGCACATACATGCATAGACCATTAGAGAGCCTTACCTCTTGTTCCTCCTCCCTCTCCTCCCTCTCCTCCCTCACTCCCCCCTTCACCCCTCCCCAGCACCACCACCCCTCTTCCCTCCCTCGCCCCCCTCCCATCCGCCCGTCTTGCCGAGCTAGAACAGGACCCCGGGGGTTGAATGGATCGTACCATTCTGGTAACCTGGTTACCAGCAGTAGCAGGCTTGTTACTAACAGTGGTGCGGTTACCAGCGGCACGAGCACATGCTACGACGAGAGTGGGAGTGTGAGCCGATATGGCGAGGGGAGTGAGAGCGTGAGTCGGTACACGGGGAGGAGTGAGGGTGTGAGTGAGGGTTTCAGTGGGAGTGTGAGTGGGAGTGTGAGGGTGGTTTCAGATCTAGCAAATATAAACATCGAGCACAGCCGGAGGATACACAGGCAGATGCACAGGCAGAGGTTGGGAGGAGGGGCATCGAGGTTGGGAGAAGGGCAAAGAGAGGAGGAGGGGCAAAGGGAAGGGGAGTGGGGAAGTGAGCTTGGCTGCCGAGAAGGGCAGACGGAACGACAGGAAGAGGACAAAGGGGAGAAGGATGAGGAGGACGAGGAGGAGGAGGAGGAGCAGCAAGAGTATGAGGAGCAGGAGTCTGGTGAAGGGCAAGAGCCGGGGGGATTAGGGATAGAGCAGCAGCGGAGATTAGATGCAAGTATGCCCAGGCGATTAGAAGAGTGCGAGGGGAAGGGAGAGTGTGATTGGACGGGGGAGGGAAATGACAGGGAGAGAAATGAGAGAGAGTGCGAGAAAGGGGGGGTTGCGGGAGGGGTGGGAGGCGAGTTGAGGAGAGAGGAAGGCAAGGGTGGGTGGAGCATGAGGGGGTTGCTGAAACTGGGAGGAAGAAGTTTTGGTCATGATGCTGTCACTGCTGTTGCTGCTGCTTCTGCCGCTGCCACTGCCACTGATACTGCCGCCGCTGCTGCTGCTGCTGCTGCTGCTGCTTCATCGTCTGCTGCTATTTCAGCTTCGGGATCAGCTTCGGCATCAGCTTCGGCAGCGGCAGCAGCAGCTACTGGGACCCCTGCTGCTGCTACTGCGACAGCTAACTGCTGCTACCGCTGCTGCTCCTGTTGCCGATTCCCCTGGCCTGACTGGCTGGTACAGAATACCATCCAGCACACACCAGGCAGCCACTCCAGCCGGATCAGCAGTATCAGACTCCCACACCACAGTAGTAGGAGGCTCGGATGCCAAGCCGCCTGCCTCTCTCCACACGTCTGTCTTCGGGGAGTCAAGTGTCCCTCTGGCGGGGCAAGCACAGCATCAGGCAGAGGGGGTGCAAGGGGGTGTGCAAGGGGATTGGGGGAAGGCGGTCTATGGATGGGCTCCTTGCTGCAAATCGGCACGTTTCGCTTCTGAATCGCCGGCCCTGGCCCAAGAACGTGCCTGCTCACAGCCAGACACATCTGTCTGCTGCTGCTGGAGTTGGTGCTGCTGCCCCTGCTGCTACGACTGCTGCTAGTGCCGCCGCTGCTGCTGGCAGCACTGCTGATGAGGTTGCAAGTGCTGATAACCCTGCAGCTTCCACAGCTGCTGCTGTCACAACTGCTGCTGCTGGTGTTGCTGCTGGAGAAGGAATGACTCTTGATGCTGCTGCTTCTGCTTCTGCTGCTGTTGTTGTGGCTGCTGCCGGTGCTGCTGCTGCTGATGCTGCTGCACTGCCTGCTGGCCCACAGGCACCTGCCAGACAGGTGCCAAAGCCGACACCGAACGTTCGCAAACCCAGGCGGAACCTCCAAAAGGGAGAAGCAGCAGCAGCAGCTCCAGCTGCAAACGTAGCAGTGGCAGCAGCAGCAGATTCTGCCTGTGATTCCCCTGCTGTGAATCCTGCGGCATGCATTCCCCGAGAATCTGCTGCTGCTGCTGCTGTAGCGTCTCCGCTTGATGTGCCGATTCCTTCCGCTGCACCCTCTGCTGCTGCTCCTCCTGTTGCGTCTGCTGCTTCTTCTGTTGCGTCTGCTGCTTCTTCTGTTGCGTCTGCTGCTTCTTCTGTTGCTGCTGGGAAGGGCACCACGCCAATATCAGTAGAGCACCTGTTTCAGCTCGTCTTTGCCCACCAGAATCCAGACACACAGCAGCAGCAAGGCCAGTCTCTATCCTCCTCCACTAGCTCCTCTCAATCCATCACAGCCACACACTCTCCCGCCCGCATCTTTCCTCTCAAAGAGCTTGTTGCAGCAACCGGAAATTTCGCTCGAGAGAACATGATAGGGAAGGGAGGGTACGCATATGTGTATAAAGGGAAACTGAAGCTTACTATAGGGGAGCAGACGGGCAGTGGCAGTGCGGTTGGTGGCGGTGGTAGAGGCGGGTTGAGGGGTTCGGGGGGGTCGAGTAAGGTTGTGAGGGTGGCGGTTAAGAGGGTGTATAAGAAGGGGAGGAGCAGGGATAAGGAGAAGGCAAAGCAGGCGAGGGAAAAGGAGGAGAGAGAGAAGGAGAGGAGGAGAGGAGGTGGTGGGGAGGAGGGAAAAGACGGGAAAGCGGAGGGAAAGGAGGAGGGGAACGAGGAGGGGGATGGCCTAGAGGAACAAGAAGGAGAAGAAGAGAGGAAGGCTCGGGAGGCAGAGGAGAATGAGAGATTTATGACTGAGGTGCGGATCGTAGAAAGAGCCAGCGCCCATCCAAACGTCGTGAAGCTTCTGGGATACTGCATGGAGGGAGGAGAGCATATTATGGTGTATGAGCTGGCAGGGAATGGGAGTGTGGAGCGCAACTTGCACTCCAAGACAAGGGATGTGATGCCGTGGGAGCGGCGCGTGCAGGCTGTGGTCGGCGCGGCACGAGGGCTGGCTTACCTCCACAGCGGCTGTAGCAGCTGTAGCGGCTGTAGCAGCAGCACCAGTAGAGCAGCAGCAGCAGGACCGGGAGGGGTGGGAGGAGAAGGATCAGTTGCAGCTGCAGCAGCAGCAGCAGCAGCAGCAGGAGCAGCAGGGGAGGGGTGCATAGTGCATAGGGACATCAAGACAGGCAACATTCTAGTGGGCCACGACTGGCAACCACTGGTTGCTGATTTCGGCCTCGCCAGATGGATCCCCTCCCCTCCCCCCTCCACCTCCGCATCCCCCTTACAAGCCTCCTTGTCTCCCTTACAAGCCTCTCCTTTACAAGCCTCTGTGTCGGCTATAGCTGGGGTGGCGAATAAACCCGCTATAGACGGATCCATTAAGTCGCCTATAGAGGGTACGGTGGGGTACATGGCCCCTGAGTATTTTCTTAGGGGGCGGCTGTCCACCCACACTGATACATACGCGTTTGGAGTGCTGCTGCTGGAGCTTATAACGAGTCGCCGGCCTGTGGATCCGAGGAGGAGCAAGGAGGAGATGGACCTGGTGCTGTGGGTGAGTGAGGGATGGGGAGGGGTGATGAAGGGTGATGAGGGGTGAGGGGAGGTGGGAGGGGGGTGAGTGAACGGAGCAAGGAGGAGATGGACCTGGTGCTGTGGGAGAGTGCGGTTGAGGGCGGTTTAATGAGGTTTAGGGTGGTTGAGAGGGGGTTAGGGGGGTTGAGAGGGGAGTGAGTGAATGAGTGGAGCAAAGAAACAGGAGATGGATCTTTTGCTGTGGGTGGGTTGGGGGGGTTGTGTGGAAGGAGAGAGGAAGAGTGAGTGAGAAAAAGGGGAGAATGGGCGAGAAGGGGGAGAAGTGGGTATGTATGAGGGGTGGGCTGTGGATCCTTGGTGGAGCAAGGAGGAGATGGACCAGGTGCTGTGGATAAGTGGGGGAGGGATGGTGTTGGGAGAGAGAGGGGGGTCGACTGCACCTGCTAGTAGACCCGCAGCTTGTGGAGGGCACGGTGGATGTCTCATCGCTGCACAGTGTGCCTGCTGCTGCCCTGCTCTGCTCAAACTTCAGTTCACATATCATCTCTCCCTTCCCACCTCCCCCACCTACTCCCAGGCTCTCCCTCTGCTGGGATCGGGGCAACTGCATCTGTTGGTGGACCCGCGTGTGGAGGGCGCAGTGGACCTCCCTTCTCTGCACCGCATGGCTGCTGCTGCGCTGCTCTGCCTGCGCCACACGCCCTCCCTCCGCCCCTCCATGCACCAAGTCGCCCTACTGCTGGAAGGGCACTTTCTGGATTACCAACAGGTTGGTGCCTTGTCTTTCCTGCTAGCTAGAGCTTGTTGATCGGATCGCGGTGCTCTGCTCTGCTCTGCGCTGCGCTGTGCTGCTCTGCTCTGCCTGCGCCACACGCCCTCCCTCTGCCCCTCCATCCATGTCTCAAGTCGCCCTGCTGCTGGAAGGGCACTCCTTGGACTACCAACAGGTGGGTGCCTTCGCTTTGTGCTGCCTGGGCTCTGCTGTTTTTATCTGTCTTGCCCTGCGCCATACACCCTCCCTCCGCCCCTCCAGAGGTGTGCTGTGTGCCATGCATCATGTGCCACATGCCATGGGACATCCATCATGTTCCATTTGCCATGCGTGATGTGCAATATTCCATGCAACAGGTGCAATATGCCGTGCGCCATGTGCCATATGCTGTGTGCCATGTGCCATATGCCGTGTGCCATGTGCCATGCATTCAACCTGGTGTTAGCAACTTCGGTCTCTACTCTACCTCTCATATCGTGCATCATTTCCCGAAGGCCCCAATGCACTCACCATCTCTTATACTCCCGTTTTTATTCATTGCACAGTTGTACCTACACTGGCCGAGCCTGCGGGACCATGCTCGGCCCACTTCAGCTGAGAGCAAACGAATGGCTGCTGCCAAAGCTGCTGCTGTTGGAGGAATGCGAAATAAAAATCCAGAAGAGAAGGAAAATGAGGAGAATAAAGGGGGTTAACGATTCAAGAGCAGGCCATGTATCTAATCGAAGTTGTATTATCATCAGAAGTGTGTAAGCCTTGTGTATCGTTATATATAATAGCAGAGCTGTCATTTTAGGGCTGATAGTATTTTGGAAAGTGCAACACATTCTAACACCACGAACATTTGATATTTTGCATGGCACGACAAGCCACGTGTGCAGTCTTCTATTCGTCACATTCTCGAATGTGCCAGTTCAGCCCTCGGGTCCGTCGGACCAATGCGAGGCGAGCAATTCCCACGGTTCCTTGAGTCAAGTCAGGCAGGTCCGTCACTTGGCTTCGCTAATGTAACACTCGCGCCGTCACATTCTTGCTTTTCCTCTCCGTTTTAGTGTCAACCTCCCTCCTTGTTCCTCCATCATTGCCTAACACCATTTCCAGAAATTCATCTTGCTCTCACTTGCTTTATGATATACCAGCCGAATTTCTCATTCAAATCCGCCACGATTCTTCTCCTCCATTGACGATTCTTCCAGCGACGTCTTCTGGTTGTTCCTCTGCAGCCGTTCTCACGTCTGGTTGTCCCCTCTCCGTTGTCTTGCTGTCCCCACGTGTGCAATCTAGCCAGCATCCGATCGTGCTTTCCTCTGTTGTTCATTCAGAAGGGCAGGTTCTGGTTCAGAGCTGAACTAGAAAAACACGTCAAGAGCTGCGGATTCGTGTATTGGTTAATCGGTACGGCTGCTAAGCATGGGGAGGTACACGAATCTTCTGCTTATCGTCGCCGCTGCGGCCGGCACGGCAGCGGGAGTGTACCTCCTTCGGCGCTACTACTGCTGCCAAAAAAAGAAGACGGACCGCGATGACGTCTCGTCGAAAGAAATTTCAGCAGTTTCGACTAAGGAGCTGATCGATCGGTTAAGGGAGGAGTGCAGCACGAGCAAGGAGAAGCTGCTGCAGATCGCAGCGGACATGAAGGCGGAAATGGTTTCTGGACTCAGGAGCACGCAGGGAAGCACGCTCAAGATGCTTCCTTCCTACGTCGACCAACTCCCTGATGGGTACGTACCCTTGGTGTTCTCTTTTCACGAATTCACATAATAACATGCTGGACTGAGGAGCACGCAGGGAAGCACGCGCAAGGTGCTGCCTTCCTACGTTGTCCGACTCACTGATGGGTACGTTTATTCGCGCATCTTTTAGTTGATGTGAAAGGCAGCCCGAGCAAGGGCGCCCGCTGCAGATCGCGGCGGCCATGAAGGCGAAGATGGTGGCCGGTCACATGGTGGTTCTTGAGAAATCTAAAAAAAAATACATGTAAGGCGGAGATGGTGGCCGGTCACATGGTTGTGCATCCTGAATCCGTGGGCTTTTGTTGTAACATTCGGTTGCGAGCAGTCTTCAACGTATTGACAACAAAAACTTCTTGGGTGACCATTAATTTATTTACCCGCATGCAGGTCGGAGAAGGGCATGTTTTACGCGCTGGACCTGGGCGGGGGCCAATGGGTTGCGAGAAACTAACAAAAAGAGTAGCAATGGTTCCATCTGTGTTAAAAAACAAAATGTGTGTGTGCAGCTCGGAGAAGGGCGTGTTCTATGCGCTGGACCTGGGCGGGACCAACTTCCGCGTGCTGCGAGTACCTCTGCTGGGGAGGGACGGTGGAATCGGCAAGGTGGACTCAGAGGGTGCCTCCATCAGCCCCGAGCTCATGACCGGCACCACTGAGGTGGGTTGTTGTGAGGAGCGGCATGGATGCGAGGTAGCTTGGGCGTGACCAACTTCCGAGTGCTGCGAGTGTCTCTGTTGGGGAGGGACGGCGGCATCGGCAAGGTGGACTCGGAGGGTGCCTCCATCAGCCCCGAGCTCATGACTGGGACCACTGAGGTGGGTTGTCATGCATAGAGGTGAGGTTACGAGAAGCAGCACGGAGGTGGGTTGTGAGAGCGTTTTGAGACGCGTCAGAAGTTCTCTGGATACGGATTCTGGAATCGGCAAGATGGACTCAGAGGGGGCTTCCATCAGCCCCGAGCTCATGACTGGCAGTGTGGCACCACTGAGGTGGGTGCTTTTGCCCAATTCACACAATCGTCCTTCACCAAGGGTTCTAATCTTCTAGAAGTATTCACATTTGTTTTCACAAATTTCCCTCACCAAAAGTGCTTCTTCTTTGGTTTTTAGAAGTACGAATGCTATGTTTTCTGTTCTCTTTGGCAGGCTCGCTTTGACTACATTGCACCGAGGCTGGCGGCTGTCATGGCAAGAAAAGGAGGAGTACGATGTAGAGGAGTACCACTCCTTACACGGATTTTCCATTCCGTTTCCTGTTCTCTTTGGCAGGCTCTGTTTGACTACATTGCATCAAGGCTGGCGGCGTTTGTAGTAAAGGAGGAGGAGGAGTTCAAGCCAGCAGAGGGCTGCTACTTACATGGAAAAAAAAATTCCCCGTTCTTTGTTTAATACGGCAGGCCCTATTTGACTACATTGCGTCGAGGCTGGCGGCGTTCGTAGCAAAGGAGGAGGAGGAGTTCAAGCCAGCAGAGGGCAAGCACAGGGAGCTAGGATTCACTTTCTCGTTCCCATGTGACCACACAGCTATCAACGCTGGGAGGCTTATCAAGTGGACCAAAGGATTCAACATCCCTGAAACTGTGAGTGGGGGCAAAATTGATGTTTCTATGAGGTGTAGTACGTTACTAAACTAAGGAACATCTGTCTCTTTGTGGTCCAAGAATGTAAGGGAAATGCAATTTCGGTGCTGCTTTTTTCTGTTTTGTTGATTTCATTGTAAGAGCTCGCAGGCAACTTTCATCGCTAAGTGTGTTATTCTGTTGAACAATTTCGCTGGTGTGTTTGCAGGAAGGGAGGGACGTGGTCCAGGTTCTAGAGGAAGCTCTTGAACGGCAGAAGCTTGACATGAAAGTCTCGGCACTGGTAAGATTTTTTCTCAAAATGACGTTTCATTAACGTGGTTTTGCAACGTGCAATGTTACACCATCATGAACGTTGCATAACATTAACATTGCATAGCATGAACAGTGCACAGCACGAACGTTGCGTTACATGATCATTGCGAAACGCTAACATTGCATAATTTCAACGTTCCACATAACATCAACATAGCGTAACATCAACATTGAATAGCATCAAGATTGCATAACGTTAACATCGCATAACTTTAGCATGGCATAATATCAAGTTTCCAGAACCTGAACTTTGAATAACATAAGCATTGACTGTCCATCCCATTCACTCAGAGGTGAACGATGCAGTAGGCACACTGGCAGGAGCATGGTTCGGTGGAGTCAGATGTGATGCTGGGCGCGATTCCATTCATTAGAGGGGCCTCAGAAGGTATTTCCAGTGCACAGTGGCAGTAACGTGCAACCTGAACTTTGCCTTTCTATCCCACTGCAGGTGAACGATGCAGTGGGCACACTGGCAGGAGGACGGTTCGTGGAGTCAAATGTGATGCTGGGGATCAGCAGAGGTGCTCCGAATTCAATGCATGCTTTAACCATCCCGTTCCGTTTCTCTTTTTTTTGGCAGGTGAACGATGCAGTGGGCACACTGGCAGGAGCACGGTTTGTGGAGTCAGATGTGATGCTGGGGGTCATCCTAGGCACGGGGTCCAACGCTTGCTACGAGGAGATCCAGGACATGAGCGTCAGGCAAACCGGCCATCCTCCAGCCTCTGGCCGCATGGTATGCTATGCTTCTAGGGCTAGTCTGCCTTAGTCTGTACATGTGATGTTGGGGGTCATTCTGGGCATGGGTTCTGATGCATGTTATGAGGAAATCCATGACACCAGCGTCAGGCAGGCCAACCCTTCACCGGCCTCTGGTCACATGGTACAGTGCCTTGCCGTGCGTCTTGTAGAACAGTAAACGGATTGATTGGGTAATTCTTGGCACGGGGTCCAACGCGTGCTATGAGGAGATTCTCAACACCAGCGTCAGGCGGACCGGTTCGCAGTATCGGTAACTGCGGCAATTTTGTTACTCGCATGTGTCATGAAAGGTCTGATACCTCAGATGCAATGTCAATATTATCCATTTGTTCTGACGAATATGGTAACTCTAGGCAGAAAGAGGCCAAGCTGCCATAGTTATATCTGGATCAGTGCCTATTACAGCTGCTGCAGGAAAAGGTTGTGCCCGCGCCCGCGCCCCTCCGTGCTTCCACTTTCCCTTCTCCTTTTCCTCTTGACTATCAGGTGATCAACATGGAGTGGGGCAACTAAGGCCTTCTGCATTGCTCTGATCCCCTTTCTGCCCCTTTCTGCCCCTTTCTCCCCTCTCTTTCCCCTGCCTGTCTGTTTTTGTGCCTATCTGCCTGCGTCCCATCAGTTGATCAACATGGAGTGGGGCAACTTCTGATCTGCCTTGCTTTCTATGCACTTTTCTGCCCCTTGTTCGCCCCCCTCTGTTCCGTGATTGCCTGGTGTGTCCCATCAGGTGATCAACATGGAGTGGGGCAACTTCTGGTCCGGCCATCTGCCTGTCACGGAATACGATGACCTTCTTGACTCCAAGAGCGCCAACTGCGGCCAGCAGGTGAGGCTGAACCTGCATCTTTGCATAGAAGGAATTGAACACATTTATAAGGAAACTCGCTCCAGGTTTTCAGAAAAGAACCGTTCAAGATAATGTACTGAAGGGTGGTAAGCACGTCTTACACTGAAAATCAATCAAGTTTTATAATCTCCAATTTTTGTATAATCTTATGACTTTAACATTGTTGCGTGTGGCAGCGCTATGAAAAGATGATATCAGGCATGTACGTGGGAGAGGTGGTGCGCCTGGCCCTGCTCTGTTTCTGTTTACCAACTCTCACACCTGTAATCTTCCCCACCATCCCAATGCTGTTACACATGTGTCACAGCGCTACGAGAAGATGATATCCGGCATGTATGTGGGGGAGGTGGTGCGCCTGACTCTGCTAGACATTGCTCAGAAGTCAAAGCTGTTTGGCGAAACTGTCCCCGCCAAGTTGCTCCAACCCAACTCCCTCCCGTAAGACATTCTTCATTACTCACCTCATGTGTGTGGAAGGGAGGGAGGAGAGGGGGGAAAGGGAAGAGGGGGAGGGGTGGAGTTGGGATGGGGGAAACGCGACTGGGAGGTGGTACGTCTGGCCCTGCTTGACATTGCCCAGAAGTCGAAGCTGTTTGGGGAACCTATCCCCACCAAGTTGCTCCAACCCAACTCTCTCCCGTAAGCAGTCATTCTGTTGGCTGATAGAACATGGAATCATGTTTTCTCGCAACCCTTTTTTTTTATTAGCTGTGTCATCCCAACTCGCTCCCACTGACTTCTCTTCATGAGGGTCCAACCAACCATTCTCTTTCGAGCCCAACCATGCTCCTTTAATTTCTCTATCCTATTGTCATCATTGTGACTTTTGAGTCGACTCAAAAGTCTTCTCTATCCTATTGTCATCGTTAGCATCTCTTCATCGTTGAAGCTTATGGTGGAGTCATTTCTATCGCATAACGTATCACAACTTATTCGCCTTTGCTTTCTGTTGCCATCGTCGCGTCTTCCTATGCTGTGGAATGCAGGACGCCCAAAGTGGCCATCATTCACGAGGACACCACTTCAGACCTCTCCAAAGTTGGATCTGTGCTTGCAGACGCTCTTGAGGTGTGTGAATCGTATCCAAAGCGTATCGTGTGCTTTCTCCTCGTTCTCCGCACTCCCTCGAACCGTCAAAGGAGCATGAGGCTCCATTCTAGTATCTAATGCCCACGTTCCTCTTACTGTCAGGCACATGGAAGAAGAATGTTTCCGAGACGTCTCAAAAACACTTTTCTTCCTCAGCCCTTCAAAGGAGCATGAGGCTCTCCATCCTAGTATCTCATTTCACGCTCACCTTCCTCTTACTGTCAGGCTTTTTTGCCTTCTTCCCTTGTTAACTTCCCTTGCTCACTCCAGGTCCCTCCTTATCATTCGTGTTCCACAATTTGGCTTCCAAGTTCTTGCTTCACATTCTTGCTTCACATTCTTGCTTCACATTCTCGCATCACCCAAAGCCGACGTGTTTACGCATTCCTCCCCGCTTACAGCTCCCAGACACCTCACTGCCCCAGCGCCAGGCAGTGCAGGAGGCGAGCTACATTCTGGAAGAGAGAGGTGTCCGCCCTGTTCCTGCCGCTAATGTGAGCACACTCCCATTTGAACATGTTCGCTATCCCCCCCACCTGCAGCTCCCAGACACATCGTTGCCACAGCGCCAGGCAGTGCAGGAGGTGAGCCGCATCTTTGGCGAGAGAGGCGCCCGTCTTGTGGCCGCTGGGATCGTGGGTGTGCTGCAGAAGCTAGGGCGTGATGGGAAGGCCCAGCCAAGCACAGGAGAAGCAGCAGCTATTGATGGGGAAGCGGCAGGAGGAGAAGCAGGAGCACCAGGAGCAGAGGCAGGGGCAGGTCTGGGGCATGTGCCGAGGACAGTGGTAGCAGTGGACGGGGGTATGTACGAGCATTACACTCCGTTCCGCGAGGGAATTCACGAGACGCTCAAGGAGCTGCTTGGCGAAGAGGTGGCGGGGTTTGTGAGCATGAAGCTGTCGAAGGATGGATCGGGGATCGGTGCTGCTTTGCTGGCCGCCTCGCATTCCGCTTATAAAGAGTGATGCGATCATGCAAGGGGGCATGCGAGGAGGGACGGACAGGGGGGTGGTGCAAGGAGGGGCGCTAGACATTAGACCGTGTGTGGTTTGTGTAAACTCAGATACGTAGGGCTTCTTGGGGAGGAGGTGGCGGGGTTTGTGAGCATGAAGCTGTTGAAGGATGGATCGGGGATTGGTGCTGCTCTGCTGACCGCATCACACTCTGCATACAAGGAGTAATGCAGGGGGGACGGGTTAGGGGATGGGTTGGGGGATGGGTTAAGAAGAGCCGTTTGTCCATGTGGGTGATTCTTTGTTAAGTCAGATATGGAGCGGGGCTTCTTGGTGAGGAGGTGGCAGGGTATGTGAGCATGAAGCTGTCTAGAGATGGATCGGGGATCGGTGCTGCCCTGCTGGCCACCTCGCATTCAGCTTACAAGGAGTGATGCATGGGGAGATGTTGCACAAGGGATGGGGCCAGGAGGTATGAGACTCTGTTTGATTTCGTGTCATCTCTTGAAGGTTCTTGAAAGCGTGAAGCTTCTTGGAAGGAGGGAAGCGCAGGGTGTGTGAGCATGAAGCTTTTTAAGGACGGTTGAAGGAGTGGTGCTGCCGTGCTAGCCGTTGCATTCTGCATACAAGGATGATTGAAGGATTTGTATTGTTTTTCTTCTGGTTCTTATGCCATTCACACCTAGATTGGAGATGTCCGCTCAGTGAGGGTGTGATTGGAAGGTGTTGTCTGACTTGCTTGTTTTGTACAGGGAGTGACTTTACCAACATTGTGTTTCCGTGCCCACATTTTTTTCATGGACCTGTGTTGCTCAACATACGAAATTTGGACTTACCAAAGTCTCTGTCGATAGCTTCGTCTCTTGTGAATTGGTTTTTTTAAGTACAGTACTGTCCAACACCACCATCGCTAGATAGATACTGTATGTCTGGCTAACCTTGAGTTGATGCTGCATTCTTGTATACAGTTAGTGCAAATTGTGATGCCACACATGCTAGAAGCTATACACTGCCTATCTGCCACAACCCTTCTCTCTGCCACATCTCAGGAACCTGGCAAAGTGATCAGACCCAGCTACAGGGCGACCATTGACAATCATGAAGAGGATAAGTGTGAGCCAAGGCGAACAGTGATGCCAAAGGGATCACGAAGGTATCCAACAGTCTGACCCCACTCTTTGGGCTCTGGTTTGGCAACTTCCTTAGCTCCCGCCTTTAGGGCTCTCTGCGGAAGACAAATTAGGTTCATGTCAATCCATCCTTCACCAGGTCAACTTCGGGATATCTAAAGTCACGCTACCATAAGACGCAAGGGATTCCAGCCAACTGGAGAAAATGGCATGAATGTACCTCAAAAGTATCTTGGACGTCGAAAACGCTCATGCTTATTTCCACGTTCTGCCGCTGCTCCTGCTCCTCAGGAGCATGCACGCCACCTGTGATCTTCGTCTCCCTTTGCTCCAACGGGGTAAACGCCAGAGTTGTTGACCCAGTCTCCAACTCAGCCCATCTGACAAGCAAAATGAGTGACTCAAAATGATGTAACATGCATTTCAAAAGGGGAAAACGGAAAAGGCAGATAGAAACCATTCAGCAGTGCAATGAACAACAGACGGGAAAAAAACAAGATACCGTTGAATACCTTCTGCTGTTGTCCACGCGCCTCACATCGAACATGAACACGTCCTTGTAGAACTTCACCGCTGCGTCGATGTCTTCCACGTATAGAATCACGTACGCGAGACGAGCTCCAGTCGGCGGTGACATGGCTACCTAGCGCTTCACTTTTTGCTAGAAGAGAAGAATATTACTGGTGCAAGATATCTGCCTCACTAAGAAAGCACGCTGCGGAACGCGAGCAATCAGTCGGGCTTTGGGGAAAATGGCGCTACGTTTGCCAAGGGGAGCCAGATAAAAATCCGCGAGTGGCACCAATGAGGCTGTTCGCGCGAAGGCTTCCCTGCACAAGACGTCCATTGATTTGCCATGGCCCGAAGCGCAAAAACAGCTCGAGGCGTAATTTTGCTACGCGTTTGACTGAGACGGTGCTCAGCATGCGTGCCACGTCATGACAGCAACTTCTACGAGTGACCACGTATTATAAGGGGCTGGTGGAGTTGACTTGTGGCAGGACTTTCAGGCTGCGTTACAGTACAAGTAAGCGAGGTCGAGTTACGAGGTCAAATATCCATCAAATATATATGCAAAGTAGTTACAGAACTTACCGAACCATGTCGAACCCTTGTGTACGACATTTCGCTCAAACATTTTTCTTCACCCACTCCCAAACCAAGCAGGCAAGTGTGCATGCACCGTTGAACCACCTACACTGCACTCGAGCTTTTCCTGCAGCAACCCTTTTTACTGGCAACAGCGTCTTCAGTGCAGCGTGTTTCACCACATACGCGAAGTCGCGTTGGTTGCTTCTGCTATGCGAAAATTTGTGCTCCTTTTGGGCTAGAGTCGTCTCAGGGTACCCTGACGCGCCGGACGTCGACGATTCAGGGTTGTCTGGTCCATCCTTGATTCTTTGACGTGTCCGCAGCAACACTACCTCCCCTTCTTAAAATTCGCTGTACTATACGGCCGTTTCATACTTCTGAGGCAGTGAATCTAGTTGGGTGCACTTTTCCGCGAACTCTCGTTACAACTCTCTGCGTCCACCATGTCGTACGACGAGGTGGAGATCGAGGACATGGAGTGGAACGAGGAGTTGGGAGCGTTCACCTATTCCTGTCCATGTGGCGACCTTTTCCAGATTACTCTTGTAAGCTACTCTGTGCTTGGAAGCGCGTAGCTGCTCTCATCCTAGGTGCTATGCTTAGGGTTTCTCTGATTTATTACTCTTGATACTATCACGTACCTACCCTTTTCCAATGCTCCCTTCCATGTGCCACGTTGATTGACGATGTTTCTTGTGATGCGTGTCGTTGACTTCTTTGTGGAGCAGGAGGAGCTTAAGAATGGAGAGGAGATCGCAAGATGTCCAAGCTGCTCCCTTTTCATCACAGTCATTTATAATTCTGTGAGTTTTTCTGCAATTGGTTTGTCAAGCTTTTCGTCTTTACTTGACAAGCTTACCAATCTTCTTTGTTGGCCTAATGCAGGAGGACTTCCAGGGAGATGGCCCTGGAAAAGTGCAGCCTGTGAGTCCAGAGGGTGTTTTAGTGGCCTAGGTGATATTTGTTTAGTTCAGCTGCCTTTGCTTGATTGTATGTTCCTATATCTTGGCATATAAATGGCAAGGCAAAAAGTTTGGTGCAAGACATAATTGTGAACTGAAGAAGTTTCTACAGTGCGGAATAATAACGAATCGTACCGAGTTCACAACTCACAAATCACGTGCTGGCACTTATATCGCTTCAGCCACCTTTTCAGTCATTTTAGGTGGAAACTGCGAGTTAGCGACAGCCGTTCTGACTCTGGATGCTCGCCAACCAGATATACAACAATGAGGCCTGTAATTACTGCTTCAAAGCAGAGGTCGTTACAGGTCAGCTGCTTCCCTCGCGCCAGCTCTTTAAAGCCGCGCCGTAATTTTGTTTAACTCTCTTTCTGGTAAATTCAGGTCGTAGTGAGGGTGCGGCCATTATCCAATAGGGATTTAGGAAGGAGCAGGCATGACATCGTTCGTGTACTGGACGACAAGGTGCTGTCTGCATTCCCATGTTTTCCTTTCCAGTTCTTCTCGTTACTAACTTGCTGAGCTCGTACAGACTGTCGTTGTGCTGGATCCGGACGTGGATAAACAATACCTTGATAAGATTCAACACCGAACAAAAGAAAAGCACTTCTCGTTTGACAGGGCCTTTAATGGCGTTTCGTCCAATGTGGTGAGTTGCGGGACCACTATAAACCTGCACCTCGAGCACCTTCTGAGATTAGGGAAACATTATTATGACAATGCGCAGGAGATATACGCTCCCACAGTGCAGCCTATGATTCAGGGCCTTACAGAAGGTCTAAATGCCACAGTAAGTTCCGAAAGCCTTACCCCATCGCAATCTGTCAAGTGTTGACACGTTTTCCCCAATTTCAGGTCTTTGCTTATGGTGCAACTGGAAGGTGAGCTATCTGGAGGCTCCTGTTCTTCCTCTAGATGTTATTTACACGCTTGACACGGGTATGTGGCAGCGGGAAGACATGGACAATGGTTGGTAATGACGAAGATCCGGGACTCATGGTGCTAGGTTTCAATGACATTTTCAATCTCGTGAAAGGCATGCAAGTTGACCCAGGAGAGAGTGTTGACATTTCATGCTCCTACCTGGAAATTTACAATGAGGTTAGTTGACATGGCGCAGCAATTGCATCGTCAAGATGCAAATCCATTACAGCCTTGGATTCTTCGGGCAGATCATATATGACCTCTTGGTGGAATCGTCTGGAAGCTTGGAGTTGAGAGAAGATCCTGGTCAGGGAGTTTCTGTTGCTGGTTTAAAACGCATCAAGGTAATGTCAGCGGCACGTGTATGAGTGCCGTATTCTTTACCTAATCATACGTTTCGCAGGTTCAAAGTGCTGGAAAGATATTGGATTTGTTGAGACAAGGGAATCTTCGGCGGAAAACTGAGAGCACGGATGCCAACCTGACATCATCTAGGTATAAATTTCTGTTTTTCACACTGCACCCCATATGTGCCCGATTAACACAACACAAGTATGGATATTCCAGGTCGCATGCTGTCCTGCAGATTGATGTTAAGAGAGTGGTCTCGTCACGCTCAGCTGAGCGCGTGATGGGAGCGAAGCTTTGCTTGGTGGATTTGGCTGGAAGGTAAGGACCCTGTCTTTTTTCCTATGTATTGTATCTTGTGCACTGGTTTTGACACACTTGACAGTGAACGAGCTTCAGAGACAAACAACATGGGACAGCAGTTAAGGGATGGCGCCAACATAAACAAGTCTCTACTTGCACTTTCTAACTGCATCAATGCTCTATGCCAGCAACAGAAGCGAGGGGTTGGCTACGTTCCTTACAGAAACAGGTAGTTTGAGATTTAAGTCACAAAAGCATCTGCTCGGGGTCTGACTATGTATGGTTGCGTGCAGCAAGCTGACAAGATTGTTGAAAGATGGCCTCAGTGGCAATTCACGAACTACAATGGTGGCTACAATCTGCCCTGCTGCTGACCAGTACCATCACATCATCAACACTTTGAAGTATGCTGACCGTGCAAAAGAGATCAAAACACGAATCAGGGTGAGTTTGGATTGTGACGTTCTTCGTTTTTCTTCAGAGTGTGCTAATGCGTATCACATTCAGACCAATGTGCGTACTGTGGACTCTCAATCAAGCGACTACCTCAGAATGATTGAGAAGCTTCAGGTGTGTACTTGTTCAGTTTCCTTGATCTTTTTTGTGAATGCAAATCATGATTCTTTGTCTAATGTTCCTGCCACCCAGGAGGAAGTAAGCATGCTGAAGGGTCAGTTGGCTGAGCAAGCAGCCACTTCCAGTATGAACCCTGTTGCTCATCCCTCTGGCACATCATGGCTAGACGACATAAGTAGGCAGCTGAACGAAAACGTCCAGGAGCGAATCAACATGCAAAAAGCCATGTGCGAGCTTAACGAGTGTTTGAAGAGGGCTGGTGATGAAGTTTGCCGATTGGATCAGAAGATTGCTATTCTACAGGTATTAAGTTTTTTTCTGATGAGATGAGGAGGAAACATGTTATTGAACGATTGGTTTTTTTGTTCCGGAGCAGAACGAGGATGTTTCTATGAAGCTGGACGAATTGCGCCATCAGAGAGCAGCTGTCGTGGAAAGCATGTGCGAGAATGAGGAGCTGAAACTGTTATATGCGAAGGTATGTGTTTAATGATCTTCAGCAATTCAAGAAGGTGGCCTTTTGACTTCTGGGTCATGTCAGGACATCAACAACAATGAGGCCGAAAGGGAGCTTCTCCAGAAAAGGCTGGACTCGTTTGTCAATAACCATGAGAACTCCTCATTCTTGCACATCCTCAACCAGTTCAGGTTCTTAGTAAGTTTCCAATGTTTTTGTCATTTAGTGCTTTGTTGAATCCTTTCTCAAATACTGTTCATTGCTAGCAGAGTGTGGAGATGACAGAGATGCAATTCCAATTGGCTCTGAGAGATCAGTTAATAGCGGAAAAAACATCAGCAATGAACAGCCTTTGGATGCTACTCCAAGCATCGGATGTTGATATCGAGGAGCTCCTTGACGCAGCCGTCCAGAAGGTAAGCAGTGTGCTCTCGTTTTGGATTCGAAGAGTCGGATACGGTCTAATTTTCCTTTTAATGTGATCTTCAGGGTGTCCCTCTGGATAGCTCTTTGTCTTCCTATATTGACGTGAAGCTGAAGGAAGCTATAGCTACCCCGAACGGCAGTCCTAAGTTTGCACTATCAGTCTTCAGAGCTGCAACACGAACTGTCCACTCAAGATTGCATCGGGTCAATACAGATCCAGCAGGATCACTATCCCGTCCATACCTGCCATTCAGTCCGAGTGATCAAAGGAATCTTGCTGACTTTCCAACTGAGGACAAGATCAATGCAAGGGAGGATGGGGAGCAGGGCATTCCTGAAGCACCTGCAGCGAATGTGCCCTTCACCCAGAATGCAACGAATGGGAGCACGTCAGCTATACCAATCCATCAAGAACGAGACATTGACACTCCAGTTACTGAGCCTAATGCAGGAGAAGTTGGGGCCATTACGGTCCGTGAAGCAGTGCTCGCCAACACGCTTGTGACGCCTGAGGCGATATTATGCATCTATCCGATGGAGTTGTCAGGCGCTGAGGCTGAAATGCATGGCTGTCCATCTGGAAGCTCTTCTCCACCAAGAACAGCGGCTATTCAAGCTTGTTCAAAGGTGTGTGAACACCATACTGACTAATTTCAGACTGGTGGATATACATCATCACTGTTTACTGCCTTATCAACCCTTATGACTGCATTCCCATTCTTCCCTCCTTCCTTTGACCACTGGACTCATGGGCAGGTTGTCGGCGAAGTCCCAACCTCCATGCCCAAAACAAGCTCCCCTCGAAAACGCTCAGTTTGGCATGAGAAGCCAGGCACTTCATCAAGTCCAAGCTCACCAGCACGACGAGCTGGCTCGCCTGGTGCTTCGGCCACTGGACCAAGACGACCAGTGCCAAAAGAGCGAAAAGTTAGCGCTTTTCACACGAAATGTTTCTGCACCCACCATGGCAAGGATGAAGCAAAGAAGTAGCTGTTGCATGGATGCATGAAAGATTTTAGTTTTTTTTTTGTACTTAAATTACATGGCATACGGTAGAAGAGTACTAGAAAATCTTAGAGACTGTCTATACCTGGAGCTTGTCAAGCATCATGTGGAAGTCCAGCATGTAAGTTGGCAGTTGATTTGTAGTGGCATAAGGCGATTCCAGCCGGTGCACTAGTGGTTACTGAGGTTCACAGAGTTGCACCATGACCCAATGAGATTAATTGGTCAGCCATGTGTGCTTTTCATCCTTATGGTACATACCGAACAGCTTGAGCACTATACTTCAACATCCACGGGCTTTTATCGATCGGACACCGTGAGTGTGAATCGCGCCGCATTGCGCGCCAAAGTCAGCGCTTCGCCCATATGCTGGCATGTGACGCGATCAGCCACAAGCCTGGCAGTCAACCTGATAAACTCGTGGGGGTTTTGTCGAGGCACTCTGGCGATTCACGAACGACGCGCAGACACCTGCTCAGACGAAATTTCGGCATCCCACGGCAACCCCTCCAATAAGCCCGACTCGCCCAATGAAATGGCACCGCCTGCTACGCGCACACACTTTCCGTCAGCTAACGGGCTCCCCATCCATCACGTCAGTCAGCTCAATCCCCTTCCCACCCCAGCTTTACCGTCATGCTGTGCTGGCAATCCCGCCGGAAATGTGTTCAGGAGAAACACAGCTTCTCCATCCGTTAGAAACCCAGTTGTTCCCATACGCAGACCGTCAAGTGCAGTTGACGGAACCCTCGTCGCCCCGTTTGCAACAATGATTGAAGGGGCTGGATTTGGAGTAGGGTAGGGTGGTGTGCTCCACCTCTTTTGTTCACCCTGGCGCCCAGTTCAGCCGTACAGCACCATTTTCTCACCGCTCCCTACCCTGCTTTAGTGACTCACCACAAAACCTGTTCTACTTCCTCCAGTGCAGTGTTTTCCTTTCTTTGAGCTTGGTTCACGAATTTTAGTAGCCTCCGTCTATCGTTCTGTTTTTGAAAGACAGTCCGACGCCTTAGTTCGTAGTCAGTGTTTTGCGGAGCTAGCGTGTGTTGACGTTCACCATGGTTGCGAAGTGTTTAGAAGTGACTATAGGATCAACGGCTAGTTTGAAAGAGAACAAAACGGTGAATAAAATCGATCCATATGCGGTTCTATGCTACAACGGGGTGGAACGTCGCACTGACGTCGAGTGCGGTGCAGCAGGTCGAGCAGTATGGAACCACCGATTCAATTTTCTTCTCCCTGACCGCGAGCAAGATTACCCTCCAGTGAGTATTGAAATCAAAACAGTTTTCGTTTCACTCAGTTTGTTTCTATTCTCTTTAGGGCAAGCTCTTTTTGTATAATCATGTAGTAGCCAGTTTTAAGTCGATGCAGCATAGTCTTGATTATTCCCTTATTGTCTTTATATTAATATTCTCGATTCCCTTCATTCACTACATTACTCGTCTGCAGGAGATGGACGTTCACATCTGGGACAAGGTAAACGGCCAGGACAAGTACATGGGATTCTGCAAGGTGCACCTGGAGCAGGTCTATCTTCGCCAATCCATGGACGCTGTCTGGCCGGTGCACCAACGAAACGGCAAGCTTCTTGGTCACATCAGATTCCATTTCTCAATTCTTGTAGAAGATGTAAACGGCGAGGGTGCTCTGCCGTCCGCTCCTCCGGAAACACCTACTCCTCTCTTAGAACATCCACGTGGGAATCGGAGGACCAACACGAGCATAGCAAAGGTTACGACTTCTGTTCAAGGGCCTTCAAATAAAGCTACTCGGCTGCACTGGAAACGCGCTTGGGGCGCATACTAAAGGCAAGGCTGCTGATTCTTCAGTGACTGCTGCTGCTGCTTCGAACGAGGCTTTGGAGGTGCTTCTGCTGGCCATGCGTCAAGCTCTTCTCCAGCAACAGGAACAGCAGCCACAGCAGCAGCAGAAGCTGCAGCCACAGCAACAGCAGAAGCAGCAAACACAGCAGCAGTACCACCAGCAGCAGCAACATAAGCCAGGGAATAGCCAATCCCCGGACATTCACCAAAATGCTCCGAAGATATATCAGCCTCAGCCGAAGCGTATCAACCCTGCTTCAGCAGCACCTCCTGCTGCTATGCCGTCGTCCCCCATGGGACCTCCTTCTCCTAGCTCTCTGAGGTTCTCTCCGTCCAAAGCGTTCAAAAAGGTCACTGCGACTTCTAGACATGCCGTCCGTCCAGCTTCCTGTAACGGCGCTGGAAACACAACCGATTGCACTGACGGAGGGAGCGGTGCCGTCACTGCAGTTGACGGACGTCCGTCATTCGCTGACGTCAATTCGCGCGACAGTCAAACGACCCTTGCTTCGTCCGCCGTGCAGCGGTTCACTAATAATGGCGGTGCGGGCTTTGCGCCAGCCAAGCCTCTTCCGCCTCTCAGCGTAATTGGCGGCGGAGATGGCGCTAACGACGGACCTGCAGCCACAGAAGGAGCCTCTGCTTTCGCACCCGTGCAAGAGCGATCGGGAGCAGGTGCATCTTCTAACGGTCCCGCTTTAGCTTCTGCTCTTACCGCTTTTGCTTCTAAGGCTTCCGCTTTTGGTGCTGCTCCTCCTGCCTCTTCTGCTGCTGCTTCTACTGCCGATGGAGGCAACCGCTCTGCGGCTCAACCGCCTTCAACTCCTGATGCTCTGGCCGCCGAAGTCCTTAGCAAGGGCTGGGACCTCTCCGCCATCGCTTCGCTGACGTCAGCTGTTTTGTCAGCTTCTGGCAAAGGAATACCACAGGGCAAGAACTCCACATCTTCTGTTGCCGCTGCCGCTGCTGGGACTAGGCCTGGTGGTGTATCTGCTTCCTCTGCTGCTGCGAGTGGTACTCCTGGTGCTCGTGCAGGCACTGGGGCGAATCGTCAGGCGATCATGAACCAGGAGCTGATTGCGGAAGCTCTCTGTATGGCTCTACTGGGGGAAGCAGGCAGGGCTGAGCCTGCAAGGAAGCAGGGGAAGAGCGCTGGCCCTGGTGCTGCTGGTTTAAATGGCTCAAAACGGATCTGGGAGCTGCAGGAGGAGAAGAGGGGAGAGGTGGGGGTGGGTGCAGGTATTGGAGCAGATGATGTGGAGGATGAGGGTCCCAAGCGGCAACGCGTTGCTTGATTACGGATGGGAAAACCGCTGTCAGGCTATCGCCAGCGCCATTAATAATGCACGGACCAGTGCAGGGGCAATGAGAGGCCGTAATCGGAATCCGTAGCACATGATGCTGCTGAAGTTGGAATGAGCTGGGAGCTGCTTGCGTTACTCCATAATGCTGCAGCATCAGTCCCAGTGATTTTGTCCAAATAAACGGAGGCACATAGGCATAGGCATAGGTTGCTGTGCGTTGCTAACCGCAATAAGTGCCATGCCATCGCTTGTTTGCTTGTTCATGTATTTAGCATCTCTGCATCTTGATGTGTAGGATCAGGTTAGTTCCAGTAAATCAATCAGACTGGTTGTGTTGCAGAACCAGAAGGATGGAAACATTAGTCAAGGCCAACCTACAGAGTCATGTATATGTAGTGTTTTCATCGCCAGTAGCTCATCCATCCACACTGGCTTTGGAATGTTGAAATTCTTGAAGTAGAAACTGTTATCCACCTTCTGTGGCCCATACCTTGCCTGCGGACAGTTACGAAACTTTGGCCGATGCTTGTAAATCACCGACTTTTTAGTCACTTCAAACTCGCCTTTTCTCCAGCTCTTGAAGTGTAGCTTTGGCAGGGCCCGTAACGTGAAGTTGACAAATAAGTGTGTGTTAAGAAGCGGCATCGCAGGCGAGCGTTCGCAGTATCGATACTCCATAGGCTTGTTGCTCCCGTTGACTATAATAATATCAAGGTAGTTGTTAGTGGCCAACCCGCTGCACTTGCCAGTCTCCCATGGAAGATAAGGGTTGGGAACGTTTCCCTTCATGTTACAGTACACTCCGTTGATGTGACTCTGGTTGCAGACTGTTTGGAACCACGGCCAGCGCTGCAGGCAGAAGGGGAAAGTATGTGAGGGAGAAAGCGTTCAAAGAATGTGTGCGTGTGCATGGGAGAGAGGGGGGTTTGGGGAGATGTGGGGAAAGGAGTTGCTGCATCAGGGTGTATGTGCAGGATGTAAGAGCAGGATAATGAAAGGATATGTCCTGGTTCAGGGGACTCAATTCACTCACACAATGTGTTTAAAAGTTTTCAAATGTAGTTTACTCCCATTGACTCTATATTTACTGCAGAGCGTAACTACGTTCGTGCCATACCTGCTTAAAGACGGGTGTGTTGTAATACTTAATCCTCATGTTCTCCCAGTAGTTTCCAGGAAACTTGTTGCAGTTGTTGACGGTGGGGGTGAGGCAGGTACACCAGCCAGGGGCCTTGAGTGCATTCACCACCAACACATGTTTCAAACGGTTGCTGAAGGAGTTGTTGGGAGGGGGAGCAAGGGGAGTAACTGTTGATCATTCTCAAAAGTCACCAGCCAGGGGCCTTGAGAGCGTTCACCACCAACATATGTTTCAGACGGTTTCTGTAGGAATAGTCGGGAGGGGGAAGAGAGGGAAGCAGGGGATATGGCGGTAAGCTTCAGCGGGTTGAGGCAGGTGCATCAGCCAGGAGCTTTGAGTGCGTTCACCACCAAGACATGTTTCAGACGGTTGCTGCAGGAGTTGTTTGGAGGGGGGGGGAGAGGGGAGTCATTTTGTATAATTCTCATAAGTCACCACCAGCCAGGGGCCTTGAGAGCGTCCACTGGCAACACATGTTTCAGACGGTCAGGTAGGCGGTGGTAAGCTTCAAATACCTGCTGCAGAAGTTGTTGGGAAGGGGGTGAGGGAGAAGGGGAGGGGGTGGTGGTGGTGGTGGTGGAAGTGCTGTTGAGTGGGGATGACGATGATGCCGCTGACATGTAAAGCAGACCCATGTATAAACAGGTACACCACCCCCAACCTCTGTTATCGTGCACTATTCTCTTGAACCCACAGGCAAGTCAGCCAAGCTGTTAGAGGTAGGAAAGTTATTACAGGTAAGGACTCACAATTTTCCATTGTTGACTTTGAGCCCATCCCAGTTGTCGTAACACACTCCTCCTATCACCTTCACTCCTGACGTGTTGTAATCGAGGTAGTAACAGTGGTCACCCCCCTTCACATAGTTACACTCAGCCCTGTTACCTGCGAAAAAACATTATCGTAAACTCATGAAGCACCGAGGGGAAATCTCCCGCTTGTAGACATTGTATTACACAGTTCAGCCAGCGAGCAGAATGGTTGCAGCGGTCAAATTGTAGCCATAACAGCTTGCTGAACAGCATTACCTGCCCAGCTGCACGCCTATAGGGCGTACCAGTCTGTGCTGTCAGAAATTTGACCGTGGGAGCTTATAGAGAGGGTGAAAATTAGGAGCCACGTCACGTCAGATAATGGGCGAGTATACAAAACGAGGAAAGTTGCAAAAGGTGCAGCAGGAAACAGAGAGGCGAAACAACAAAATGAAAGCAGCAAAAAGCGGAGGATGATAATCTTTACCTGGATTGAACCAATGTGTGCAGTAGTATATCCCGGCAGAATCCGCGGCTCCAGTCATATTCCTCAGTCTGCTATACACGTAGTTGTACCCGATAAACCCCAGCATGCAGTCACCTTGATTCCGCACATCCGCACCGCACCGAATCCCCGCGAACCCATAGTCATGCACGAAATTTTGCACAACCCTGACTCCGACTGCACCGTTATACACCACTAGCGGTGTATCCGCTCCAAAAACATCATTATTCGAAACCGCGATTCCAGATCTTACTAGCTTCGTTCCGATGCCGCTAATTCCGACTCGCAACACGCCGTTGCTCTTAGCGAAGTCCCACACGCCCGTGACTTTCATGCTGTCGATTCGCGACTTCATACATCGGTACATGTCGATCCGACCGTACACGTATCCCTTCGCGATTTGCACACCGTACGATCCATATATCCAGACCGCCGGGCAAATTACGCCTTTTCCGACCTCGGGCAGCACTTGCCGGCAGGAGGGAGAAAACTTCGTGGTCTTGATCACGAAGTTTATCCCCATTATAAGCACGTTGCTGGTGTTGTGGACCTTAATCGCAGGCTGGTTCTCGCCTGGATATGAGACGGTGTAAGCGCCGAACTTAGCGGACTGGAAGATCGTGCAGGAGAAACGCTTATCAAAGAGAATCCCTTTGCCAAGTACCATGCTGTTTTGCAGCGTCAGCACGACCGTTTGCGTAGGGTCGTGCTTCACTCGCGCCTGAATATCCGCTGGCTTCGTCACTGCGATCCTGACAGCTGTCTTCACTGGAGAACATGGCCCTTGGGCCGCAGGTGGTGCTGACGTGGAAACGGTTGGAGCTGACGTTGACATAAGCGAGGCAGATGCATATTCCATCCCAGCTGCTCCTGCGTCTGTGACTTCCGCTGCTGCTGCTACGTCGGCTCTTAATGAGTGTGACTGTAACGAAGAAAGACCGTCTATAGTGTTCTCGCTCCCACCAACTTTGATGAAGTCTCCGCTCCATGGCTTGCCGGCGTGCCACCTTCCAACCTGTCGGTGTACGCGATTGTAGCCGCCCCACTCCCTCCCTCTCCCACTATCCTCACTCAACTGCCCCCTCGCAAAAAACTTTTTCTCCAGGGCGTGAGAAATAACCGTCCCTTGTTTCCCCTCCTCTTCCCCCTCCACGCCCCCTTCGTCTTCCCCTTCCTCTTCCCCCCCCGTTTCCCACTCCTCTCCCACCTCATCTTCCCCCTCCTCCCCCGCATCCTCTCTCGCTTCTCTGTGGAGCCGACCAATTCCTGGTGGCAGCGGCGTTCCGGCGAGGACGTCCCACGTGTCCTCCACGTCACCCGCGGCGCGGGCTTCCGTTATTCGGTTGAAGCCGACTCGGCCGCCGTCGCGATGGTGGCGGTGGAAAGAAGTGTGAGTGTAACCGGTAGCGACCCTAACGGATAATAACTGGGCTACTAGCACAAGTACTAACGACATGGCGAGGGGTGTGGCGACAAACGAGCGAAGAATGCCCATTCTGCACGGAACTCTGGATACCGAATCCGTCATAAGGGCGAGTTTAAACCGCGAAGGACTTCGACCATAACTGGTGCTGGTATAGCAATTGGCAATGCTCTGGTGATGGGACTAGCCAGCGGATAACAAGAGAAAGAAGCCGGTGTGACAAAAAAACTACACTCGTAGAGCTACCGAATGCGTGGACGTCTCAACGTTTCTCAGGTAGTCAAGCTGAGGCGCTTCCGCGACACGATAAAATAGTTAGTTCTTAGCGTTTGGTTTGGTGTCTGGGCGGGGAAACTGTCCTTCGAACAAGCCGTATCTGCCTATGAAGTTATTTTCAGTGCTGTGTTGCTACTAGTAGACCGCAGCGCCCTCCCATCACAAATGCTCTCGCGAAACCCTCTCCGCGGTTGAGTGTAGGGAGATGGAGGGTGTGTCGAGTGGTTGGTGTTGGCTGTGCTGGAAGAGCTGGTAAGGTAACAGTGTCGTTATGCACTTAGATGCGTTAGCGAACATCGTCAATAGATGTAAGGATAGTACACCGCAAGGAAAATGCTGGTTTTAGCTTTGTTGAACTATGAGAACCAGAAATGTGGGTTCCCATTGGCGATTGTGGTTCGATAAGTGCACACGCACGTGGAGCCAACGTGCCCCCCGAACCGAACCAGGCAGCGGCACCGAGACGCACCGTAGAACTTCGACAGAATCCACCAGACGTGAACCGAGCCTATACAAAAACATGTCAAGCCCTCAAGGTATGCTTTTTTGCACATTCTGTCTTGAAATGTTCAAGTTTTGTACTGCCCGAGAATCAGCACGTTCGGTTGTGTGCTCCGAACCTCCGGGGCTGGCACTGACAGTCGCACCGCCGCAAAACAGAACGGACCGCGCCACCGACTGCCAGCACTGCCGTGAAGTGAAATTGCCCCACGTCTGGGGAAACCATTCTTGGCGGACTGGCAAAATGGCAGCGCACCAACAGGGTACGGAAAAAGGTTCCCGTTTTCTCGCCCTTCCTCACTGCTTGCTTCCTTTCCGTCTTCCTAGTCAAGGTAGCACACCCATCAATCTGTTCTAGATATTAAAGCACTGTTTCTTGGGACGTGTAGCAGCCTTGTCAAACCGCTGCTCAGCTGGTTTTTCCTTGAAGGATATGATAGCAGCATTGATAAGCGAGTAGCTCTAAGAGCATCCGGTTTAACTTGCAAGCAAGCTCGAAGTGTTAAAATGCGCGGCATTGTTTTACAGATAGGCATCCTGCTCGTTGCAGCCTCGGTCGCGTCAGCATGGTCAGGTCAGTCAGTCTCCTATTCAGCACGTTCGATAGACCTCGAACCTTGTTCATCGTGCCAGCATGGGCTCGACCATTATCCTCTCTTTCTACATCACACTCCCCCTCCTTACTAACGCACTCTTCCTTCCCCTATCAACCCACTCCATATCCGCAGTCATTTCGCTCAACCTACTTCCCCTCCCTATTAGGTTGAAGTGATTTCTTCGTCCACTCACCTTCAATGACATTCGGAATCTCCACGAAAAATAGATACAATAAATTGCTACATTGAAGATACCGCGGAGCAGTTTATTGTATATATTTATTGCTACATTGCTACATTCGGTTAAAATCTCACCTACATACAATAAATTGCTCCGCGCCGTTACAGTCACATGACATCATCACGCTTCAGCGTCCTAACCTCTGCAGTCTCATCTCTTCCTCTACTCCCCTTGTTTCTTCGTTAATGTCACAGGAAATCATCCCGCCTCGATGGGCCATCATGCAGCGGGCATTGGCCACCATCACGACCCGAACAGCCACCCCGATGACCCTCGTTACAATCACAATCACTTCCTCTTCCATCAGTCTGGTAATCAGCCGCCGCCTCTTTTCGCCGCCGTCGCCGCTGTCGCAGCTGCTGGGAGACCTGCTTGGGAGAGTCCTGGATTCGCAGCTGCGTCGGATGCCGCAACAGTCGCGACTGCTGAGGCAACAGCAACGGGCGAAGGAGGAGGAGGAGGAGGGGGAGGAATAGCCTCGATTTCCGCCGCGGCGGGCGGAGGAACAGTCGCAGGGAACGAGAGGGCTGTGATTGTAGGCCCTGTAGATATCGAGAAGCGGTTCCTTCCGGAAGCGGGCAATGCGGCGGCATCTGCGGGGCCGACAGCGAAAAAGGGACCCCCGGGACCGTGCACGAGCCTTAAGAAAGTCTACATTATCAATGTTACGAAGGTGTCGCACCTCACCACGCGAACCATGCTTCCCCCCACCGCCACTGTTGTTCTCTACCTGAAAAACAACCTGGCGCTGACCAAGGGCCTGCTGTTCAACGCGCCGTACTCGTGCACGATTCTGATGAGCGAGAAGTGGCCGGGTTTTACTATATCGAGTACGGACCTGACGAACCCGGTGATTCGCGTGTGGAATGCGAATAACTTCGTGTCGATGAACGTTAACTACAAACTGCCCGTGACGGAGGGAAGCCCGGAATGCACCAACGTGCCGGAGCTCGGGTCGGGCGAGACGTGTCCTGCTGTGTCGGTGTACAAGTCGTACGGAGTGCAGATCGGCATGGTGAGTGATGTCTGAGGCGTATCATCTGTATGTTTGGTCATGGTGGCTGCCAGTGAGGGAGAGCTCGGGTCGGGCGAGACGTGTCCTGCTGTGTCGGTGTACAAGTCGTATGGCGTGCAGATCGGCATGGTGAGTTATATTTTGACGCGCCTCATAGGTAGGCTTGTTAAGTGACCGTTGCCGAGTCCCCCTTCCCGGCGGATCAGTCGTACGTAGGGCAGATCGGCATGGTGAGTTACATTCTGAGGCGCTTCATTCGAATACTTGTCTAGTTCGTTCGTATGGAGCAGATTTTTATGATTGGACCTAGCTGCTTTCTCCCTCTCTACCCTAGCTCCACTACAAAGTACCACATGCCTCTACCGTTCTCTTTCTTTTTACTCCCCCCACAGGGCACGGTCTACGGACGAGTGGACGTGCTGAGGAGCATGGTCGTGCGCGTGGACTCACTCAAGGTCACGGGAGTGCCTATCTTCAACAAGTCGCCGGGCGCCATTCGCGTTGCGATGTCGGGCTACGGCCCTGACCTCCTGCGCGCCCAAATCGTCCTCTCGAGCAACGAGGTCTTTGGTGAGTTTCGTTTCTTGGCGCTATAATATTGATTCAAGTAGGAAGATTGTCGCGTCATACTCGTTGCGATGTCGGGCTACGGCCCTGACCTCCTGCGCGGCCAAATCATCCTCTCGAGCAACGAGGTATTCGGTAAGCGAGTGAATGGGACGTGTCTTCTTGCTGTTTGATTGAATCGAGTTCTGACTTCATCTCGCTTTCAGGAAAAAATGTTTTGCCGTTTCTTCTTGCTAATCATATGTTTCAATTAGCGAGGTCTGACTTGAGAAACTAGTTTCCCAACCCAAGGGCATTTTCTTGTGCTTATCACCTCCCCCTCTCCACATCCCCCCTCCACCACCTTTCCTCCCCCCCCCTCCCCCTCCTCCCCTCTCCCCCAACCCAACCCCTTTCCCCTCCTTTCTCGCCCCCCCTCCTCCCCGCCTCCCCCCTTTTCCGCACAGGCGTGGACACCCCGATCGTTTTGCACAGGGGCGCCGTTGGCATAACGGTTACGAACAACTTCGTGCACAATTTCATTTTCGCGGGGATCCGGTGCGGCGCGGACGTGCACTACAGCGGCGACTGCATGCTGACGCGGATCAACTGGAATCGCGTGGTGGCTTCGGGGAGGAACACAAACGGGGATCAAGACGCGGCGGGAATTTATTACTGCACGCACTGGTTCAACCCTGGTAAGATAGAAAACTGTCAATATTCAAGACTCACACTATTGCGCATATGCTAAGCGCACCGCATTAGGGTTTGCCGTTTTGGGGTAGTCGGTGGTACTCATGTTGGGAGCAGGTGGAAGTGGGGGAAGAGAGGGGTGGGTGGGTGGGCTGGGGAAATCGGGTGTGCGCGGTTTTTGACTTGGGAAGATGAGGGAAGGGCACATGGAGGTATGCACTGTCACAGAAACATTTGCTTGTACATAGAAGTACAATAATTGTTCACAAGGCAATTTGGCCATAGCTGGTGGTGCAGTCACACAGCACACTCCCGCTCACCCTTTCCCTTTTCCTTGTGTGCACCCATTGGTATGCAGGCAACAGAGCGTTTTGCAACTATGTGTTTAACGGAGATCACTGTTATTATCTGGACTATTGCACATCTGGCGTGCTTGTAAGGGGCGGAGCTTGCATCAACACGTACGACGGCATGAAAGTGAACAACGGCAAGAGGTGAGAATAATGTTCACATGAGCTGTCGTTTTATTGGCTGACCAATCTTAGCACGGTCTACCGTTATAAACTACTTGCATCAGGACTCTCTGCTGTTTATGTTCATGCTTAAAACTTGCTCAGGCGTACGTGCTTGTCACTTGCTCACATCACATGATAGGCCGCACTCTCGTGCCCGTTCGCATTCGTTCCCTCACGGCATTGTATTGCACGGCATTCGTGCCCGATATGGGCGGATTGTATTGCATCAGTCGATGAAGGAAATCTGCCTTATGCACGCAGTACTTGCCGTAAATATTTGCGACCATGCTCAACTGCTCGTTATCCTCCTTTTCATCCCCTGTATTTCCCCACTCGTTACAGGAACGTGATTAAGCACGTGGCAATGAAGGGCACACAGGGATCACCTGGTTGGACCACATGCTTGACAGTCACGCTCAACAACTGCCTCAAGGATCCTGGCAGCTACTGGGAGGCCATGCGCGCCAAATACTACAACACACCTGCAATCAATGCGGTAAGATCAGCCAAGGAAATCAGCATGTTTGGTTACAGTCTAGCAAGCACATACCTTACAGTCACGGTCAGCAAGCACATACCTTACAGTCACGGTCAGCAAGCACATACCTTACAGTCACGGTCAGCAAGCACATACCTTACAGTCACGGTCAGCAAGCACATACCTTACAGTCACGGTCAGCAAGCACATACCTTACAGTCACGGTCAGCAAGCACATACCTTACAGTCACGGTCAGCAAGCACATACCTTACAGTCACGGTCAGCAAGCACATACCTTACAGTCACGGTCAGCAAGCACATACCTTACAGTCACGGTCAGCAAGCACATACCTTACAGTCACGGTCAGCAAGCACATACCTTACAGTCACGGTCAGCAAGCACATACCTTACAGTCACGGTCAGCAAGCACATACCTTACAGTCACGGTCAGCAAGCACATTCTTTACAGTCACGCAACTTCCTCGAGGACCCTGGTAGCTACTGGGAGGCCATGCGCGCCAAATACTACAACACACCGCGATCAATGTCAACTGAGCACTATACAGTTCACAGTAATGAACTGCCTCAAGGTCCCCTGGTAGTTAACTACTGGTAGTGGTGATTTTTACCAAGTTCAAGTGAGTACCTTTTGTACAGTCACAATCAGCAAGCACATTTCTTGCATTCACGGTCAGAAAGGTGGGTTCTTTATATTCATGCTCAACAGCGCTGCCTGGAGCACCGTGGCAGCTACTGGGGGGGGTGGGGGGGGTATTTGAGCCAAATTTCACTACCCACATAAACGCAGTGCATTTCAACGCACCATAAGGGTCGCATCCATAAACACATTCTTCACATTTAAATGCTTCTTGCTCATATCCGTTCCCAATATCCGACCTCGTCCTCCTCAGAGTTTCCCGTTGCAAGCTGTCTGTGAAGGGAAAACTGTGCGTTTACTAGGATCGCCTTGCAGCAGCTACTTTGACCAATGCCGTCGAGTCTACTACTCGGAGCAACATCTCTTTCCCAGCCTCTTTTTCATCTCTCACCGCTTCTCTCCCCAAACTTTCGAGGTGACTTTTGAGTCGACTCAAAAGTCACCTCGAGAACATCTCTTTTTCATCTCTAACCTCTCCTCCCCAAACTTTCTTCCCCGCTCTCCTCTTCCCAGAGGTGGCCGTGGATGCAAACTGTCTGCAAGGAGAAATCTGCTTTCAACGGAGTGCCGTGTAACCCACCGGGTGAACCTCCTGCTAGTGAAACAGGGGCCTGCAGCGGTTACGGCACGGACAACCTTGTTGATCTGATCACAGTGAACACTTCTGGGAGGGCTCCGGATTATAAGTACTGCGAGAAATACCCCGCTGTGCCGCGACTCAATAAGGAGCATCATATCCCGGTTCGTCCATTTGCTGCGAAGTTCATTAACTACAAGCGCAACAACCTTGGGCTTCAAAAGGGTTCGCCGATTTTCAACAGGCGTCCGAACTATCTGAGCTGCCCGAAGGGAGCGACGGGGCCCCGGAGGTTTTCGACCAACTCGTATTACTGGAACTACAACGTTCCGATGCCTGCAGGATTTCAGAAGGTGGTGGCCATGGATACGAATCACATTATTGACCGTGACCTCATCCCCAAGCAAGTGCGAGCACAGATGATGGACACTTCTGAATATTCCTGGCTGAGGAGCCAATTGGTGTGACGGGGCCTGATAGTTTGAAGTAGGTTTATAGGAAGGTCATGCAATGGTAGAAAAACTTGACTGTTTGGACAATGGGTAGCATACGGCCAATATATATTTGAGCTATCTATGCTAATAAAAAAAACATATTGGATGCAAGACTCTTATGCAGTACTCTCGGAGATGGTTTCTGGACGAGAGACATCCTCGCTTCGTGCACCCCAGCCAGAATCCAGGCCATTTTCATTTCCGTCGGTTTTCGCAGAAAAGTGCATTAGCTGTTTGCCACGTCGGTGAAGTTCGTAGAGTCAACGGGGTTCGGCTTCTGCACTCGGTCAGATAAAATTCCGCATGTGCGACTCCTGCCGCTGCTCACCGACTGCGCGCGGCTGACGTACACCCGTCCCTGAACCAAGCCAAGCCGCACATCGCAGATCCGACGGCGTAAATCACATGGTAACCGCGACGCGCCATCACTTGTGATTCAGATCGCGGCTCCCTTGTTTCAACCTTCCCGTCACCTCCCCCTTCACCGCCAACTTCCTTGCTGATGCCTTCCTACTTCGCAAAAAATGTTCGCAATACATGTCGGAGATGTGCCCTCCCCTGATCATTCTCGCGAAGAAACAGTTACGAACTTTCGTCCACACCGCCAATCGAAAGTGCCCGCCGTCACACCCACCAAACACCAAAACCTGTAAGCATTTCTCGGCCACGTTTCGAGTCAATCACCACGGAGCAGCAATTTCCGCTGGCAGTCACCAACTGCAGCGCTCTTTGCAAACGACCATGGCGTTGTTATGACCTCACCCGTTCCCGTGCCGTACATTACTTCGATGTGAACTTGTCAGCCAGGCAACGTTTTCTCTACTTGAGTTGGCGTAGTAAGTCTGTCCGTAACATCATGCGTTAGTTGCATCCCGCGAACTTTCCGACACGTCAAGCCAATTAGGGTTTCTGCATCAGCCGGCTGATGAAATCCAGCCGTTCTTCGTTGCAACACATCTGAAAGCAATTTTTGTAGCACCGAGTCTGTCGTGGAATCTCGATGGTGGCAGCGCCACACGTAGATTAGTGGGATCGACGTGTGGATTGTTCCCAAGGGATCGTTCTCTATTCGTTTTGGGAATCAATCGGTCGCGGATGCCTGGAAGAAGAAAAGTCGGTCGCGCTGCGGCCTGCAAGAGAATGGCGATATCTAACTCCGTGGCAATCTGCGGGATCTTCGCCGTCGTAATCGGCTTGTCGTCCTGCGCCGCTGTGACGGCATGGTCAGGTACGCGTTGGCATGGCGAGGTACGCGCTATAATGCACTGTCAGTTTCGCGTTGCAAGGTATGGCGAGGTACGCCATATTAGGCGCGGTCAGGCACCCGTTTCAAGGAATGCTGAGATTCGACTCAAAAGGAAGCTTATAACCAGCCAAACTAATTAGTGCATTTATGACGCGCCGAAAGAAAAAGTGCGACCTCTGCTGGAATCAGCTGGTCCTCGCTCCCACATGTTTCCATGACAACCCCCCAACGCCCCCCAACCTACCCGTTTCATCCTCCCCCCCCCCCCCCCGTTACAGTCATAGGGCACCACCCAGCTTCAGTGGGGCATCACCCAGCAGGCGTGGGTCATCACCACCATTATTATCACACCGCCAGCCCCCACAGCCAATCTTTCAGCCAAGCTCCCTCTCAATACGGTCACACTCAGTACAGTCCCGGTGACGGATACAGTCACGACGAGCGCGACATGCTGCGTCGGGTTGAATCGGTGCGGCAGCAGCAGCAAGAGCGGGACAGTCAGCCACCACCGCTCTTCACCGCTGTGGCTGCCGCTGCTGCGTCAGGCGAACCCTTCCTCCTCGACTTCCCTCTCAAAAGGGCTTCTTTTGCTGCTGCTGCTGCCGCTACAACTGCTGCTACAACTGCTGCTACGGTTACTGCTACAGCTGCTGCTGCTACAGCCGGAGCAACTAGGCGGCAGCCCAGGAGAAGGCGAACAGTGATCATTGGGCCAGTCTCCCTGCAACGCGCCGCTACAGCCGCAGGATACCAGCCGTCCAAGTCCCGCCCACAAGGCTCCTGCTCCTCGCTCAAGAAAGTCTACATAATCAACGTGACCTCTGCTGCTGATTTCGCCGCCCGTGCCTCCCTCCCGCCCACCACCACTGTTATTCTGTATTTACGGAACGATCTGACGCTGCCTAGAGGGTTGTTTTTCCGTCGGCAGCAGTCGTGCACGATCCTCATGTCGGCGAAATGGCCCGGTTACACGCTCACGGGTGGTAACCCTATGTACCCGGTGCTGCGCGTGTGGAACACAAACAACTTCCTGTCGCTGAACGTGAATTATAAGCTGCCGGTGACAGAAAGAAGCCCCGAGTGCACCACTGTGCCGGAGCTGGGGAAGGGAGTCACGTGCCCCGCGATCTCTATCCATCGGGCCTATGGCGTGCAGATTGGCAAGGTGGGTCCCTCCCTTCCACCTGCTTTTCCCCCTCCCTTGCTTCTCGCTGAACGTGCATTATAAGCTGCCGGTGACAGAAAGCAGTCCCGAGTGCACCACTGTGCCGGAGCTGGGGAAGGGAGTCACGTGCCCCGCGATCTCTATCCATTGCTTGTACGGCGTGCAGATTGGCAAGGTGAGTTGTTAGCGGCCTGTGTGCGGTAAGCTGAATGCCGCTGAACGTGAATGATTATTTGCCCGTGAAGGAAAGCAGTCCCGAATGCACCACTGTGCCGGAGCTGGGGAAGGGAGTCACGTGCCCTGCGATTTCAATCCACCGGTCGTACGGGCGTGCAGATTGGCAAGGTAGGTCTTTCCACCTGCTTGTTTGCATCCTTGTATTCTGGTTGTGCGCTCAAGAGCCTGGTTGTGCGCTCAAGAGCCTGGTTGTGCGCTCAAGAGCCTGGTTGTGCGCTCAAGAGCCTGGTTGTGCGCTCAAGAGCCTGGTTGTGCGCTCAAGAGCCTGGTTGTGCGCTCAAGAGCCTGGTTGTGCGCTCAAGAGCCTGGTTGTGCGCTCAAGAGCCTGGTTGTGCGCTCAAGAGCCTGGTTGTGCGCTCAAGAGCCTGGTTGTGCGCTCAAGAGCCTGGTTGTGCGCTCAAGAGCCTGGTTGTGCGCTCAAGAGCCTGGTTGTGCGCTCAAGAGCCTGGTTGTGCGCTCAAGAGCCTGGTTGTGCGCTCAAGAGCCTGGTTGTGCGCTCAAGAGCCTGGTTGTGCGCTCAAGAGCCTGGTTGTGCGCTCAAGAGCCTGGTTGTGCGCTCAAGAGCCTGGTTGTGCGCTCCCTTACCTCGCCTCTTTCCTCTTTCTGTTTCCCTCCCACAGGGCAACATCTTTGGACGAGTGGACGTTCTAAGGAGCATGGGTGTGCGCCTGGACTCACTCAAGGTCACCGGAGTGGCTTCCTTTGACAAGTCGCCTGGGGTGATCCGAGTGGCCCTGTGTGGGTACGGGCCTTCGCTGCTGCAAGCCAACATTGTCATCTCCAACAACGAGGTGTATGGTGAGTGGGATGTTTTCTGAGTCAACGTAAGTCAACCAGAGTCAACCATGTGTGGGTACGGGCCAGCACTGCTGCAAGCCAACATTGCCATCCCTAATAATGGGGTGTATGGTAGTGAGTGGTTCTGTAATAACCAGAACTATGGTGGGTAGATCGTGACACGTTCACTAGAGGCTCTTGTGCTGATGAAGGCCTTTGCTGGCCGAAACGCGTTCACACGTGACATCCAGGCCTTTGCTGGCCGAAACGCGTTCACACGTGACATCCAGGCCTTTGCTGGCCGAAACGCGTTCACACGTGACATCCAGGCCTTTGTGGGTAGAACGTGGCACGTTCACTAGAGAATCAAGTCGAAGTCGCCTGGTGTGATCCTCTCCTCTCTCCCTCGTTTGCCCCCTCTTCTCGTTTCGCCCTCTTCCACTCTTTTTCCTTTGTCTGCAGGCGTGAACACCCCCATTGTCTTGCACAGGGGAGCAGTTGGCACCACCGTAACCAACACCTACTACATCCACGACTATATCTTCTCCGGCATTCGGTGCATTACAGCGGCGACTGCATGCTCGCGCTAACCCACATCAACTCCAACCTTTTCCTTTCCCTCCTCTTATGCTCAATCCACTCTTTTCTCCCTGACCTCCTGCCCCCACCTTCCATGTCCCTTCAGGTGTGAACACCCCCATCGTGTTGCACAGGGGAGCAGTCGGTGTTACCGTTACCAACAACTACATCCACGACTATATCTTTGCCTCTCTCCGCCCCTCTCACTCTTCTCCCCTATTCCCCCATTCACCCCTGCAGGCGTCAACACCCCCATTGTCTTGCACAGGGGAGCAGTGGCATCACAGTCACCAACAAAACAAGTACATCCACGACTACATTTTCACGGGGATCCGATGCGGCGCTGGCGTGCATTACAGCGGTGACTGCATGCTCACTGATCAACTCCAACCTCATGATTTCCTCTCCTCTCCCCTCACCCCGTCTGCTCTTAACCCCACTTTCCCCATTCGCCTATACAGGTGTCAACACCCCAATCGTCTTGCACAGGGGAGCAGTCGGTGTTACCGTTACCAACAACTACATCCACGATTATATATTTGCGGGGATTCGCTGCGGCGCGGACGTGCATTACAGCGGAGACTGCATGCTGACTCGCATCAACTCCAACCTCGTGATCTCCTCTGGGAGGAATTTGAACGGGGACTATGACTCGGCAGGGATCTACTATTGCACGCACTGGTTCAACCCTGGGAACTCCGCCCTCTGCAACTACGTGTTTAACGGCGACCACTGCTACTATCTGGATTACTGCACGTCGGGCGTGCTTGTGCGGGGCGGCGCGTGTGTGAATACATATGACGGCATGAAAGTGAATAACGGCAAGAGGTGAGACGATTGGGCCATGGGGCATGGAGGAACCTGAACGGGGACTATGACTCGGCAGGGATCTACTACTACACGCACTGGTTCATTCTCTGGTTCATTCTCTGGTTCATTCTCTGGTTCATTCTCTGGATTATTGCACGTCGGGGGTTCTTCTGAGCGGCTGTCTCACCTCTTCCCATTGTTGACTTGCAAAACTGGATCGCTTTTTGAGGCGCCTCAAAAATCGTCTGAGCGGGTGCCTCACCTCTTGCCATTGTTGACTTTCAAAAGCTGGATCGTGGTCCCAGCACCTCTTGAGACGTCTCAAAAGATCGTGGTCCCAGCACCTCGGGACATTCATGCCCCACGACACCCGATCACTGTTCAGTTATGTGTTCAATTGCTCCTTCAAGACACCCGCTTCGTCCCCTACCTTGCCTCGGCAGCCCGTCTGCCCAACAACTCTCGCTGTCCCTCCTTTTGAGAATTCTCAAAAGCGTTTTCTGCCCGACAACTCTCGTTGCCCCCCCTTTCTGCCGTACTGCCTCCACCCCTTTTTCCCCTGCGTTCACCACAGGAACGTGATGAAGCACGCGGCGATGAAGGGCACTCAGGGGTCGGTGGGTTGGACGGTCGGTGGGTTGGACGGCATGCCTCACAGTCATGCTCGAGAACTGCTCAATTGACCCCCCTCCACCGCTCTGCACCGTGTTGTCCTTCCTTCCTCCTGTGTAGGAACGTGAAGCACGCGGCAATGAAGGGCACTCAGGGGTCGGTGGGTTGGACGGTCGGTGGGTTGGACGGCATGCCTCACAGTGACTGTCAGCAACTGCCCCATCCATCGCCCCCTGCTCCCCCTCTTCTTGCCACCCCTTACATTCCCTTTGTTCATGACAGGAACGTGATAAAGCATGTCGCAATGAAGGGCACACAAGGGTCGCTGGGATGGACGTCGTGCCTCACAGTGACCGTCAACAACTGCCTCAAAGACAACCTTGACCCCTCCCCTTTTCCCACCGCTCTCCACCGCACTGCACTCCTTTCCCCCATGCAGGAACGTGATAAAGCACGTGGCGATGAAGGGCACACAAGGGTCGCTGGGATGGACGTCGTGCCTCACAGTGACTGTCAACAACTGCTTGAAGGACCCCGGGGACTACTGGGAGAGGATGCGCGTCAAGTACTACAACAGCGACCGCATCAACCGGGTATGCGAGGGCAATGCAGGTAGCGAGCATAGAGCAAGCACGTACATGGCAGTAGCTCACAACATTTGAGAGACGTCTCAGGAGTACAGTAAGGGACTACTGGGAGGTGATGCGTGTGAAGTACTACAACGGTGTAAGTGAGAGCAGCGCAGGAAGTGAGCACCACCCAGGAAGTGAGCAGCGCAGGAAGTGAGCAGCGCAGCGCATACACACATAGAGTAAGGGAATATTGGGCAGCGACACAAGTGAAATACTCTTCCCCCTCGTCCTCCTCTCTCCTCGCTCCTCACTCCAATCTCCTTTCTCTCCTTTCCCCCGTTATTGTCACATCCAGCTATGGCCTTGGATGAAGAACGTGTGCAAGGAGACATCGGCCAATGGTGGCGTGCCATGTAACCCGCCAGGTCAGCCTGGTGCTGACGTCACCGGAGCATGCAGCGGCTTGGGAACCGACAATCTCATCGACGTTGTAGCAGTCAACACCACCGATTACGGTCTTGATTGGAAATACTGCGAAAACTACACTGTTACAGAGAAATTAAATACGCAGATTAACATTACGCTGAATCGGCCTTACGCTGCGGGATTCCGGAATTACAGGCGGAATGATTTGGGGCTGAAAAACACGTCGGTGATTCTGAAGTTCCGCCCGAACTATTTGAGCTGCCCGCTGGGGCTCGCTGGGCCGAGAAAGTTTTCGGAGAAGTCGTTTTACAGGGGTTACAATATTCCGATGCCGTGGGGGTTCCGGAAGGTTGTTAGGATGGACACGGATCATATCATAGACCAAGATTTAATTACGCCGGCGGTTAGAGCTCAGATGATGGCGGCTGGTGAGGGGGAGTATTCGTGGTTGGGTAGGCCTTTTCTTGTAGGGAGTTAGGTGCATGGTCAGTGCTCTGTGGCATATAATAAATAGGTGTGGTATGGTGAACCATCATATTGTAAAACTAGTGCTACCGTACCCATTTGCATAATGGTCACCTACTACAGATTGAATGCTTTATGGGGCCATGTATTCCAATGCTTCCAAGATGGGTTCCTGCTTCCAAAATAGCTTTGACATAGACGTGGCCACAGTTGTGAATTGCCTTCTTTGTGAAAGCACTAATCTAGTCCAGTTTCATATCATAATTGTGTAAAGGAGGATATTGTAATCGAAGCTGCCAGAAGATGTTTTTTGGAAGCAGTTGTTGAGTACATAGACGTGGACGTGGTCTTGGGTGAAGCGCCGCTCACGCGGCCCAAACCCCACCGAACCGAACCAAACCCGTAGCGAGCTTCCGCACCGCCACTGCCTGCACGCCACGTAAGTTCAGCGCCCTCCCCAGCCAACGAGGGAGCTGCAATCTGCGTTCGGTGAGCCGCCAAGGCGGACAAAAAACGCGGCTCGGCGTCGACACGGAAGAAGAATTTCCGCTAGTTCGATAGAAGTCCCGTAACCTTGCTCAACCACTCTAATTAGATTTTCATGATTTCGATATCTACTAGCACCGTGCCAAACCACGGTTGGAGCTTCATTCTGCTTTGATTAGTATGCGACAGTTCTTGCGGAGGGGCAATGGCTAACGAGTGCGAGAGTTGAATTGTTCGCTTTCGCTCAGTTCTGTTACCTTCGCGCCATTAATTATTCCGTGCTGCCAGTTAGTAGTTCCTGCCAACTCCAACTCAGCGTGTAGGCCGATAGAGCAGGCGGGTGTTTCTATCATCCAGCGTTCCTTCCAAGAGCTTGTGTCAGTCTTTCGCAAGTAGTCTGTTCTTAGAGCTCGTGCTCGTACGTTCGTGCTTAGTCTGCTGCCCCGCTCGAGTTCAATCAGTTAGCGTTGCTCTGACCTGGAAAAGTCTGTTAGGGTGGCAGATTACCTTTTGCTCACCAGCCTAGTCATCACGATCGCCAAGTTCGGGGTTTTCTTTTAACGGGCACTGGAGATCGATGCACCAGCTTCTGGTATTCCATGCTTCTGGTCCCCGCATGAGACAATGTTAAGAGCCTCACAATCGCCTTATCGAGAATGACTCTCACTGGTTAATTAGTTACTGACTTGGCAATGAACATTAAAGCCGATATATCAAAAGGGGCTTCACGTATAATATTCATATTATCTCTTTGATTATTTTCCTTGTTGTCTTAGAGGGTGACTCGGTACGCGTTTCGGTTCAATCCTTCTCCAGATGCGCATTCCAAGAATCATGCGCCCGTTGCGTCATCGGCGCGAATCCTCGTTATTAGCTGTCGCGTTTTTCTGCCTGTGCTATTGTCGGCTCGCGTCTCCGTCCGGCGCTGCTATTGATGGACACTTGACACGTGGCAACCGCAACAGCTTTTTCCCAGCCCCTCGGCCGCATGGACGCTGGTTATCTGACACGTGGCAAGCGTCGGAATTGAAAGAGTCGAGAAGTAGTAGGGAAGCCGACACGGAAAACAGAGGCGCACAGAGTAAATACGGTTCGCAGTATGAAGAATTATGGAGCCTCGAGTCGCGCTTAGACTACGAGACCGCGCCGCCATGGAATCAGGATGATTATGCGGAGCCTATGTCGCAAGGGGAGGGGGAAGAGGAAGGGGAGGGGGAGGGGAAAGGGGACGGCATAGCGGCCGGCAAGGGAAAGAAAGCGGAAGTAGCCGGAGAGTTTAATTTAGAGTCCTTGGAGGGGTTGGGTGAACGACTCGGGGACAGTGAGGGCAGTGGGGGCAGTCGTGGGGAAGGGCAACGGGGAGGCGGAGGGGGAGCAGGAGGGGGAGGGAGAGGGGAAGGCGGCGGAGAAGGAAGGGGAAGGGGAAAGGGAGGCGGGAGGCGGAGAGGGGAGCAGCGGCGGTACAAGGGGGACCTTGCGGGCGGGCTGTTGGTGCGGTGGCATGGCGGTACAGGCGCGAGTGACCAACCCAGTGACTCGACCTCAGGTGGTGACTCGTGGCAAGGTGGTGGTGATTCAAGCAACGGTGGTGCTGGTGATGGCGATGCTGTTGCCACTGCTGCTGCTGTAGGTGCTGGTGCTACTGGCGGTGGTGCTGCTAGCGGTGATGTTACTAGCGGTGGTGCTAGTAACAGTGGTGGCAACGGGGATAGGCAAGACAGGGACTGGTTTATGAGAGAGTGGGGGCGCAGCGGTATGGTGCAAGATGGTGCTGCGAACGATGGGGGTGATGATGATGCTGATGGTGCTGATGGTGATGATGGTGATGATGGTGATGATGGTGAAGGGCGGGTTGCTGTTGCTACTGCTGTGGATGTTAGTTCGAGTAACGGTGGTGATAGCACCATCAGTCGTAGCAGGGGTGGTGGTGGTAGCAGCAGCAGGGGGGGGGACGACAGGGACTGGTTCATGAGAGACTGGGGGCGCAGCGGTATGGTGCAAGATGCCGCTGAGATCGATAGGGATGGTGATGGTGGTGATAGTGCCGATGGGCGTGTTGTTGTTGCTGCTGCTGTGGATGATAGTGCTAGTAACGGTGGTGGTAGCACCACTAGTCGTGGCAGGGGTGGTGGTAGTGGCAGCAGCAGAAACGAAGGGGGAGACAGGGATTGGTTTATGCGAGAGTGGGGGCACAGCGGTATGGTGCTAGATGGTGCAGTGACCGATGCTGATAATAATGGTGCTGGTAGTGATAGTGATGGTGATGGCAGTGTTGCAGTCGCTGCTGCTGTGGATGATAGTGCTAGTAACGGTGGGGATGACAGTAGAGAAGACAGGGACTGGTTCACGAGGGAGTGGGGTCACAGCGGCATGGTGCAGGATGGTTCTGCGACCAATGGGGGTGATGGTGATGATTCGGATGCTGATGATGAGGAAAACGTTGTAAGCAGCCACGCTTTTAGGGATGAAGGCAGGAAGGATAATCCCATGGCTACAGTAGCATCCGCGTTTGAAGCAGCTTCTGCTGGTGCTGATGTTTCTTACTATGATGCGGATTATGGAGTCAGCAGTCAAGGCTTAAGGGATGAAGGCAGGGAGCAAGACCCTATGGCTACAGTAGCATCCGCGTTTGAAGCCGCTTCTGGTGGTGCTGATGATACTGCTGCTGCTGATTATGATGATAATTATGATTATGGAGTCAGCGGTCAAGGCTTAAGTGATGAAAACAGGGAGGAGGATAACCCCATGGCTACAGTAGCATCCGCGTTTGAAGCAGCTTCAGGTTTCGACTATAGGAGTGACAGCAGCAGCAGCAGCGGTGATAGTAACGAGAGTGATATCATCAGCGGTGATAGAAGCGAAGGTGCTAGAATGGTAGCTATGGCAGCACGAGACGTTGCCGAGGCTCGCACCGAGCCTAGCCTAGGTGCGGGTCCGAACCTGGTGTGGCCTCTGGACGACAGAGGTAACCAGGTCAGCAGGTACGGTAGAAATGACGATGGTTCTGGTGACTCTGCGCTTGATGCTGCTCCTGGTGAATCTGATGTGGGGAGTGCTGCTGCTAATGCGGACGGCATGGGGTGGAGCAATGAGTACGGATTAGAGAAAAGCGAAAAGAGTGAAAAGAGTGAAAGGAGTGCAAGGAGTGAAAGGAGTGAAGGGAGTGAAAAGGGTTCTGGACTATTCACACCCATGTTTGGCCCGAAGTTTACAGATGCAGAATTGACAGCACTGGCTGCAAGGGATGCGGCCGGGGCTATTGGGCACCCGGGGTTGACCCCTCAACCCCGGTCAACTGACTCAACCAAGTCAACCGAGTCAACTGAGTCAATCAAGTCAACCGAGTCAACGGATGAAGAGCTAGTAGCAATGGCTGCAAGAGATGTGGCCGGGGCTATTGGGCACCCGGGGTTGACCGCTCAACCACGGTCAACCGAGTCAACAGAGTCAACAAAGGGGAGCTCTGGCTTGGGGCCTTTCACTTGGCCTTTGGATGTTTCTGGCACTGTTGACTCTGCTGGTGCTGGTGATGCTTATAACGAGGATGGTTATGGTGGAGTGCTTGATGCTGCTGCTGTTGATGGAGCTGACACTACGGAGAGGAGCGGAAGTGACTATAAGGAGGATGTGGTTAAAGAGGAGAGTGACAATAACGGGGATGTGACTGAACGGGGTCGTGATTATATGGCTCTTGCTGCTAAGGACGTCTCGTTTGCGCTCATTCCACGTGGAAGCAGCCCATTGGACGAGAAGAGAGGGGGGAAAGGGGACAAGGAACAGTGGAACAAGGAGGGGGCAGCGGAGGGAGGTGTAGGGGGAGCAGAGGAAGGGAGTGTGAAGGAAGCAAAGGGAGGGAGTGTGAAGAGGGAAAGGGTAGAGAAGATGAAGGAAGCAGAGGGATGGAGGGTAGAGGGGGCAGCAGCAGGGAGGGTTGAGGGAGCAGCAGCAGCAGCAGGGGGAGGGTTCAAGCGCCATCCTAACACACCCATGCAACCACAACGCAGCAGCAGCAGCAGCAAACAAAGCAGCGGTCAAGGCAGCAGAGGCGCTACGAAACAACGCTTGCCGGCCAAGCTCAAAGGCCCCGTCCCGTTCCCATTCACCATCCTGCCGCCCACAACCAACCCCATGGCCGGCATTCTCACGTGGCCCGTCACTTCAGTCCAAAACAGCAACAGTGCCGGCGACACCTCACCACCCCCCTCCTCCTCCCAGAATCCCTCCCCTTCTCGCCAGCCCGCTGTCAAACGGCCGAAAGGCGGCTGCACGAGCCTTAGAGCAGTCTACGTCCTAAACATCACCACTCCCGCAGATTTCAACCTCCGATTACAGATCCCTCCCAACGTAACCGTCGTCATGTACCTTCAAAACAACCTAGTGCTCTCCTCGGGATTGGTGTTCGGCGTGGGGTTTTCGTGCTCGCTGCTCATGTCTACGGTCGGGATGTGGCCTGGGTATACCATAGAGTATCCCGGGAGTGACATGCCAGCTTTTAAGGTGGAGAATGCGAGTAACATCGTGTCAGTGAATGTGAATTGGAAGGTGGGGGTGGCACCGGGGTCGGCGGCGTGTGTGGGGTTTCAAGGGGCGGACAAGACGTCAGTATGTCCGGCGATCGCCATTCACCGATCGTACGGCGTGCAAGTGGGAGCGGTGAGAATTGACCTCGCCTCCTCTTCCCTCACCTCCCTTGCTACCATCTTTCCGCCATCAGTCTGCTTCTGCTCTGACGGCAGCCTCCATCCGTTGCCTCCCCTGCGACCCCTGCTCCTTCCCTCTCCTCCTCCCGTTGCCTCCCCTGCGACCCTGCTCCTTCCCTCTCCTCCTCCCGTTGCCTCCCCTGCGACCCCTGCTCCTTCCCTCTCCTCCTCCCGTTGCCTCCCCTGCGACCCCTGCTCCTTCCCTCTCCTCCTCCCGTTGCCTCCCCTATGACCCCTGCTCCTTCCCTCTCCTCCTCCCGTTGCCTCCCCTGTGACCTGCTCTCTCCCTCTTCCTCTCCTGCAGGGCACGGTCTATGGCGGAGTAGACGTGGTGCGGAGCATGAACGTGAGGGTCGACTCAATCGAGATCACCGCGCCAGCCCTCCCCCTCTCCATCCCCTCCTCTTGCTGTTACCTGTGGCGTAACCCGTTTCTCTCCCCTCTTCTGCCCTCCACCTTTCCGCACCCAACAGGGTACAGTGTACGGCCGAGTAGACGTTGTTCGGAGCATGAACGTGAGGGTCGATTCCCTCAAGATCACAGCCCCATCCCTCCCCTCCGTCGCCTCCCCCGCGCACATCCGCGTCGCGCTCTCCGGCATCGGCCCCTCCCTCCTCAAATCGAACGTGCTTATAACGAATAACGAGGTGTACAACGCGCGGATCGGCATCGTTTTGCACCGGGGCGCGGTGGGGGTGGCGGTGGCGAGTAACTACGTGCACGGGTTCACAAGCGCGGGCATCATGTGTGGCGCCGGGCCGCGATTCGTGGGCGACTGCATGCTCGTGAATGTCTCTAACAACGTGGTGCAGGCTCCCTGGGGCGCCATGCCTGGTGCTGGGAAGGCCATTGGGATCGTGTTTTCCACTCACTGGATCAACCCAGGTAAGGCCACTTTCTCTCCTCTGAGTGCACTGGGCAGCAGGGGTACGAGCAGTGGTAGGAGCGGTGGGGAGTGCCAGTGGTGGGAGTGGTGGGGGTGGCGGTGGCGAGTAACGACGTGCACGGGTCCACAGGCGCGGGCATCATGTGTGGCGCCGGGCCGCGATTCGTGGGCGACTGCATGCTCGTGAACGTGTCTAACAACGTGGTGCAAGCTCCCTGGGGGGCCATGCCTGGCGCTGGGAAGGTCATGGGGATCGTGTTTTCAACGCACTGGGTCAACCGAGGATGCCACGTGATTTTACTTCCCCCCCCCCCCCTTTAAACCCCCCCTTCTTTCTCCCGTTCTTCTTGCCCTTGCCCCCAGGTAACATTGCATCATGCAACTATGTCGTCAATGGCGGCCTCTGTTATGGCCTGGACGCCTCACCAAGAGTCCAAGGATTGTTCTCAACTTCCCTCCCCTTCACGTTTCCCCGTTCTTCTTGCACTCCCCACCAGGTAACACTGCATCGTGCAACTATGTCGTCAACGGCGGCATCTGTTATGACCTGGACACCCAATGCAGGCACTCAAGGTGTTGTCCTCATCCTTCCTCTCCCCTCTCCTCTCCCCCCAACGTTCCTCCAGGCAACATTGCGTCATGCAACTACGTCGTCAACGGCGCGCTCTGCTATGACCTGGACGCGCAGTCATCGGGTGTTTTGGTGTGGGGGGGTGCATGCATGTACGCGAAGCAAGGCGTGAGGATCAACAACGGGAAGATGTGAGTGTGTTTTTTTCTCCTAGTTCTTCATTGTGTCGCCGAGGCTCCTCAGAGTCATCAGGTGTTTTGGTGCACGGGGGTGCATGCATGTATGCGAAACAAGGCGTGAGGATGTAAGTATGCATGGAAGATGCATGCATGTATGCGAAACAAGGCGTGAGGGTCAGCAACGGGAAGATGTAAGTGGTGTTGCCCACAAAACTGTTTGTTTAGGCAACCCCATGCGAGATGATGCATAATGACCACCCCCTCTGATGCAGCCTCACTGGTAACGTTTTGAAGCATGTGATAATGAGGGAAGACAACTGTTGAGGCGCCTCAACTTTTGAGGCTCCTCGATGAAATTGTGTATGTCAGTCCGTCCCCCAGTGATACAGCCTCCCTGCAATAACGTTTTGAAGCATGTGATACTGAGGGAAGTCCCAGGAGCAAGGGTCAATCCTGGGCCTTACAGAGCTTTTTGGGTGGACAAAGTGAATGTGTTAGCGGTCAACTGTTATACGAGCCAGGCGACTTTTCTTGGCCCTTCTTCTCCCCTTCGTTACAGGAACGTTGTGAAGCATGTGATAATGAGGAAAGTGCCCATTGCAACAGGGTCTCTTCTCTTGCATGCCCCACAGTGTTTCACATATTTTTGAAGCATTGTGGTCCAATGCACGTCCTTTCTTGCCCCTTCCACCTTCCACAACCCTCGTTACAGGAACGTTGTGAAGCATGTGATAATGAATGAAGTGCCTGGAACCGCAGGGTCAATCGCCTGCCCTACAGTGCTCCAGATGATGTGAAGCATTGTTAAGCAATCCTTTCGTGCCCCCTCCACTCTCGCCGCTTCAGGAACGTTGTGAAGCATGTGATAATGAATGAAGTGCCTGGAACCACAGGGTCAATCGCCTGCCCTACAGTCTCCACCGTTAACTGTCTCAAGAAGCCAGGGTCCTATTGGGAGGCGATGCGGCTCAAATACTACAACTCCGCTGCTATAAATACTGTAAGCTCATTATTATTGTTTTCTACTGTCTCTACCGTTAACTGTCTCAAGAAGCTGGGATGCTATTAATAAACCCATGCGGCTCAAATACTACGACTCCCCGGCAATGAACACTGTAAGCTTGTTACAGTCCGTTCTATACTCTCTCTCGGATCTGCAGTTGTACATTACTGTGCAGTAATGAAATTGAGAGTACATTACTCTCACAGCCTAACAACCTGCAGTTCTACTCCGGTACAGGTTGTTAGGCCGTGAGAGTAACATTCTCCGTGTTTTAAACAATTCAAATTTATGAAATTCTCTGATGCAGCTAGTCAGGAATCACTTGAGCATGTGCATTTTCCCAAATTAGTGAGGTGCATCCCCCTACACGCGCCTCAAAATGCACCTCACTACACGCGGAATCACTTGAGCATGTGCATTTTCCCGAATTAGTGAGGTGCATCCCCCTACACGCGCCTCAAAATGCACCTCACTACACGCGGAATCACTTGAGCATGTGCATTTTCCCGAATTAGTGAGGTGCATCCCCCTACACGCGCCTCAAAATGCACCTCACTTCACGCGGAATCACTTGAGCATGTGCATTTTCCCGAATTAGTGAGGTGCATCCCCCTACACGCGCCTCAAAATGCACCTCACTACACGCGGAATCACTTGAGCATGTGCATTTTCCCGAATTAGTGAGGTGCATCCCCCTACACGCGCCTCAAAATGCACCTCACTACACGCGGAATCACTTGAACATGTGCTTTTTCCCGAATTAGTGAGGTGCATCCCCCTACACGCGCCTCAAAATGCACCTCACTGCACGCGGAATCACTTGAGCATGTGCATTTTCCCGAATTAGTGAGGTGCATCCCCCTACACGCGCCTCAAATTGCACCTCACTACACGCGGAATCACTTGAGCATGTGCATTTTCCCGAATTATTTAGGTGCACCCCCTACACGTGCCTCAAAATGCACCTCACTACACGCGGAATCACTTGAGCATGTGCATTTTCCCAAATTATCATTCAAGCTTATTCTTTTCTCCTGCCACACCTTTCCACCCTCCTATCGCTCGTGGTACCCAATCCCTCTTCCCTCCTTACAGGCTTACCCGTATCTGCAGCAAATCTGCACCCAGACCGAAGTGAACGGGGGAATGATATGCAACCCTGATTTTGGCCTTAACGCTACAACCTCCGGCAACTGTAGCGGGCTGCCCACGGAAAATAATATTGACGTGGTTACCATCAGCAACAATACCGAGTCAATGGGTTACGACAACTGCATAGCAGTCGATAATATTGACATTTTGAGCAACCTGACGCAGATCCCCATTCCTTACCCGAAGAAGGCCGGTTTCCGGAATCTCCGCCGCCATGACTTTGGATTGAAGACTAGCTCGCTGCTCTACAAGTTCCGACCAAGATTTAAGAGCTGCTTGAGAAGATACTCTGGTCCTCGCAGGCTATCGCTCAATTCGTACTTTTGGAACTATAACATCCCGAGACCCGCTGGCTTCTATATGCTGCTCTCTATGGGATCTAACCATCTCATCGACAACTCCTTAGAGTGAACTTCTGGCGGTTGTACCATGGTGCAACGTATCTGTAAATTCTCCACTATTTATAGTTTGCTGGTTGCACCTTCTCCCTTGCACACGCATTCACTTTTACAAGTGAACACCAGTAGGTTTCAAAAGGGGAATAGACGCATCTTCTGACGCGGAAACCATTTACCAAATCATACCCGAAGCTGAATTTTGTTCCCCTCCAGCAGACCGCGATAGGCGCGCACCTGCGGGTCGTCTGTTCGCATATTCTTCTGAAGGTCCACCTGATCTGCTCCTCCCTTCCCCGCAAGAACCTCCGTCAACAATGATGACGATGACGGTTTGGGTCGCAAACTAGTTCGCTTACGCCATACCCAGTAACTTATCCCAGCATAGTGCAAGAAACAATGTTCCCCACGGCGACTCAGGGTGCGTTCCTGGTTCGTGGCAGGGCCACTGTAGATGGCAGCCTGCCACGAACACATAAAACGCCAGGTTGGTGTCAGGAATTTTGGCGCGCAAATACAGGTGCGTGATTGGGCAATGTCCCAAAAATGTCATGTCAATTCCACCAAAATCGTGTCGCGCGCGACTCGGGCAAAATGTTGGTGGCATGCGGTTTTCCCGCATGCCACCAACAGTGCCTGCTACAGTGGCCCTGCCACGAACCAGGAACGCACCCTCAGGCATCATGCAATGTGTTTGAGGAAGACTTTGTGGGTGCACAGTGCTTTTCTTGAAGAGACTCCGAGGGGAGCCAGCAACAACCATGTTCCTCTTCAGCTGTTTTTTTCGAGATCAGGGTTTCAGGACCAGCCCCATCCAACAAGCGCAATTTTCGGTGGCTTTGACTTCACTGAAACAACATATCAAACCTGACCGCATTCTCCATCCATCCAGAATCGCAGTTGCGCGTGTTGCCTGCCCACTCGCCACAACACCGCATCACCACAACAGCCAATCAAGCATAGCGTATCAAACTCATCCTGCCCGAAGTGGTTGGCTTCCTCCCCAACCCCCTCTAACTTATCAACTTCATGTTTCAAGGAAACGCATAACTTCCGGATTACCTGCATCACAAAAAACCAGGCTTGAAAACAGGCGGTTTTGGTAAGGTTTTCTACCCAACCAATGGAAATCCGTCGGAACATTCTCAAGTTGTTCCGACGGAATTCCACCGAGTGGCGCACTGGTATCGCCACTGTATTTTCCGTCGGTTTTACATCTCAAAGGGATTGGATTCATTCCGATGGAAAGCAGACACGGTTTCCGGCGGTTTTCCACCACCATCGCGCTTCGGTCGAAATGAGATACCCTAGCAATAAACATGATAATGTATTTTACTGTACAGTCAAAACATGGACAATGTAAGCGTTGCAAGACCCAATTTTATTTCCTACATATTTCATACCAATAATTATTAATACGTAGCCAAACCTGAACGATTTCAAATGATACTAATTGGCTGTTTTGCTTCACCTGAAGAAAATGTGTCTACAAACATAAATTATTCAGTCAATAAAAGCAACAGATCCATGAAACATGTTGCGCTACTGCAGAACTATAGTCGTCTTCTTGAATCCAGCCGCGTAGTCACTCGCATCAATGAGGATGCCGTTGCCAAACACAAACACGTCCCTGTCTTCATCATAGCCCACCCCAAGGTTGGTGACGGCATGCTCCACCCACCTCCGGCACCACTTGACTTTCTCCTCGTACAATGGCCTGTTGTAGTCGGGTTTGCTGCTCAACTTCCCGTCGGCAGTCTTCTCCAAGATCGGGTATTCCAACTGCAATGAACGATTATGGCAATAAGATTCTGGACAGGATGGAACAAAAAAAACAAAATCTGAATCAAGGGGCTTGTACTTACAGCGAACAATGCAAACGCAATCTGGCGGGTCTTCCATACCCCCAGTGCCATGCCCGATCTCACGAATGCAGCGAAAATTCCCGCACTGAAGATTTCGCTTGAAAAAGGCCACTTCGTGTTGTCGTCTACGTGCCAGCCCGGTCCCCACTCTTCTGTAAAGTTGAAAAATGGAGTTCAGGAAAGGGTGAGTAAGGCAGGGGCGGGACAGAGACGGGGGGAAAGGAGCAGGTTAGGCACGTTATACGCCCTGCAGTGGCTCTGCCAGGCAGAGAGTAAGCCAGGGGCGAGGCGGAGATGGGGGGAAAGGAGCAGGTTAGGCACCTTCTACGCTCTGCAGTGGTCCTGCCAGGCAGAGAGTAAGGCAGGGGCGAGACGGAGATGGGGGGAAAATAGCATTTTAGGCGCTGCCGTGCCTTGCAGTGGCTCTGCCAGGCAGAGAGTAAGGCAGGGGGGATAACGGAGATGGGGGGAAAGGAGCAGGTTAGGATCTTTCGTGCCTTGCAGTGGCTCTGCCAGGCAGAGAGTAAGGCCTGGGCGAGACGGAGATGGGGGGAAAGGAGCGGGTTAGAATCTTCCGTGCCTTGCAGTGGCTCTGCCAGGCAGAGAGTAAGGCAGGGGGATAACGGAGATGGGGGAAAGGGAGCAGGCTAGGCACCTTCTACGCCCTACAGTGGTTCTGCCAGGCAGAGAGTAAGGCAGGGGCGAGACGGAGATGGGGGGAAATAGCATTTTAGGCGCTGCCGTGCCTTGCAGTGGCTCTGCCAGGCAGAGAGTAAGGCAGGGGCGAGACGGAGATGGGGGGAAAGGAGCAGGTTAGAATTTTCCGTGCCTTGCAGTGGCTCTGCCAGGCAGAGAGCAAGGCAGGGGGATAACGGAGATGTGGGGAAAGGAGCAGGTTAGGCACCTTCTACGCCCTGCAGTGTTTCTGCCAGGCAGAAAGTAAGGCAGGGGCGAGACGGAGATGGGGGGAAATGCGCAGGTTAGAACCTTCCGTGCCTTGCAGTGGCTCTGCCAGGCAGAGAGTAAGGCAGGGTGATAACGGAGATGTGGGGAAAGGAGCAGGTTAGAATCTTCCGTGCCTTGCAGTGGCTCTGCCAGGCAGAGAGTAAGGCAGGGGGATAACGGAGATGGGGGGAAAGGAGCAGGTCAGGCACCTTCTACGCCCTGCAGTGGTTCTGCCAGGCAGAGAGTAAGGCAGGGGCGAGACGGAGATGGGGGGAAAATAGCACTTTAGGCCCTGCCGTGCCTTGCAGTGGCTCTGCCAGGCAGAGAGTAAGGCAGGGGGGATAACGGAGATGGGGGGAAAGGAGCAGGTTAGGCACCTTCTACGCCCTGCAGTGGTTCTGCCAGGCAGAGAGTAAGGCAGGGGCGAGACGGAGATGGGGGGAAAATAGCATTTTAGGCGCTGCCGTGCCTTGCAGTGGCTCTGCCAGGCAGAGAGTAAGGCAGGGGGGATAACGGAGATGGGGGGAAAGGAGCAGGTTAGTATCTTCCGTGCCTTGCAGTGGCTCTGCCAGGCAGAGAGTAAGGCAGGGGGGATAACGGAGATGGGGGGAAAGGAGCAGGTTAGGCACCTTCTACGCCCTGCAGTGGTTCTGCCAGGCAGAGAGTAAGGCAGGGGCGAGACGGAGATGGGGGGAAAGGAGCAGGTTAGGCACCTTCTACGCCCTGCAGTGTTTCTGCCAGGCAGAGAGTAAGGCAGGGGCGAGACGGAGATGGGGGGAAAAGAGCAGGTTAGAATCTTCCGTGCCTTGCAGTGGCTCTGCCAGGCAGAGAGTAAGGCAGGGGGATAACGGAGATGGGGGGAAAGGAGCAGGTTAGGCACCTTCTACGCCCTGCAGTGTTTCTGCCAGGCAGAGAGTAAGGCAGGGGCGAGACGGAGATGGGGGGAAAATAGCATTTTAGGCGCTGCCGTGCCTTGCAGTGGCTCTGCCAGGCAGAGAGTAAGGCAGGGGGGATAACGGAGATGGGGGGAAAGGAGCAGGTTAGAATCTTCCGTGCCTTGCAGTGGCTCTGCCAGGCAGAGAGTAAGGCAGGGGGATAACGGAGATGGGGGGAAAGGAGCAGGTTAGGCACCTTCTACGCCCTGCAGTGGTCCTGCCAGGCAGAGAGTAAGGCAGGGGCGAGACGGAGATGGGGGGAAAATAGCATTTTAGGCGCTGCTGTGCCTTGCAGTGGCTCTGCCAGGCAGAGAGTAAGGCAGGGGGGATAACGGAGATGGGGGGAAAGGAGCAGGTTAGGATCTTTCGTGCCTTGCAGTGGCTCTGCCAGGCAGAGAGTAAGGCAGGGGGATAACGGAGATGGGGGAAAGGGAGCAGGTTAGGCACCTTCTACGCCCTACAGTGGTTCTGCCAGGCAGAGAGTAAGGCAGGGGCGAGACGGAGATGGGGGGAAAGGAGCGGGTTAGAATCTTCCGTGCCTTGCAGTGGCTCTGCCAGGCAGAGAGTAAGGCAGGGGGATAACGGAGATGGGGGAAAGGGAGCAGGTTAGGCACCTTCTACGCCCTACAGTGGTTCTGCCAGGCAGAGAGTAAGGCAGGGGCGAGACGGAGATGGGGGGAAATAGCATTTTAGGCGCTGCCGTGCCTTGCAGTGGCTCTGCCAGGCAGAGAGTAAGGCATGGGCGAGACGGAGATGGGGGGAAAGGAGCAGGTTAGAATTTTCCGTGCCTTGCAGTGGCTCTGGCAGGCAGAGAGTAAGGCAGGGGGATAACGGAGATGGGGGGAAAGGAGCAGGTTAGGCACCTTCTACGCCCTGCAGTGGTTCTGCCAGGCAGAGAGTAAGGCAGGGGCGAGACGGAGATGGGGGGAAAATAGCATTTTAGGCGCTGCCGTGCCTTGCAGTGGCTCTGCCAGGCAGAGAGTAAGGCAGGGGCGAGACGGATATGGGGGGAAAGGAGCAGGTTAGAATCTTCCGTGCCTTGCAGTGGCTCTGCCAGGCAGAGAGTAAGGCAGGGGGATAACGGAGATGGGGGGAAAGGAGCAGGTTAGTATCTTCCGTGCCTTGCAGTGGCTCTGCCAGGCAGAGAGTAAGGCAGGGGGGATAACGGAGATGGGGGGAAAGGAGCAGGTTAGTATCTTCCGTGCCTTGCAGTGGCTCTGCCAGGCAGAGAGTAAGGCAGGGGGATAACGGAGATGGGGGGAAAGGAGCAGGTTAGTATCTTCCGTGCCTTGCAGTGGCTCTGCCAGGCAGAGAGTAAGGCAGGGGGGATAACGGAGATGGGGGGAAAGGAGCAGGTTAGTATCTTCCGTGCCTTGCAGTGGCTCTGCCAGGCAGAGAGTAAGGCAGGGGGATAACGGAGATGGGGGGAAAGGAGCAGGTTAGTATCTTCCGTGCCTTGCAGTGGCTCTGCCAGGCAGAGAGTAAGGCAGGGGGATAACGGAGATGGGGGGAAAGGAGCAGGTTAGTATCTTCCGTGCCTTGCAGTGGCTCTGCCAGGCAGAGAGTAAGGCAGGGGGATAACGGAGATGGGGGGAAAGGAGCAGGTTAGGCACCTTCTACGCCCTGCAGTGTTTCTGCCAGGCAGAGCGTAAGGCAGGGGCGAGACGGAGATGGGGGGAAAATAGCATTTTAGGCGCTGCCATGCCTTGCATTGGCTCTGCCATGCAGAGAGTAAGGCAGGGGCGAGACGAAGATGGGGGGAAAGAAGCAGGTTAGAATCACTCTCGTCCTTGCAGTGTCTCCGCCAGGCAGAGAGTAAGGCAGGGGCGAGACGGAGATGGGAGGAAACTCTAAGATCCTATACATGGCTGCTTACTCACCGTTCCCAACAGCTCGGCGTCGTCAAGCTCCTTGGGGTCCTCGAGAGGATCGTGGTCGTTTCTTCTCTTGATGCCCAGTGCTACAAGCACCTTCTTGCGAAGCCTTTTGGCGATGAGGCATCGAGTGTTCGTGTAAGTGTTGGAGACCGTTCTCAGGCTTCGCTTGCATCGGAAAGTCCACAAAATCTCTAGGTGTGGAGCAGCTGCCGGTGACATCATCCTTTTTAATCCAATCAGGGTTTCGTTGTCGTTTGGGTAAAACTGGATGCCGTTTGCGCTGTTTGTCCAGAAGAAACACGTCGTCAGCTTGCTGCAAAATTTCTGCCATGGAAGCAAGGTGATGCGCGGGTATGTAAACGTTATAAGGAGGTTTGAAGTCACAACGTCCACGACACACAAAATAACCGGCACACCGGAACAGTTAGAGTTTGGAGTACACTTGGGTTTAGAAAAGATGCGCATTCCGCATGACTCACCTGCCAGCCCCCGGTTTCCGCGTTGATGTAGTCGCGGGCAATTTCCTCCGGGGACTTCACACGCACCGGCTCCTTCACCGGTTCATCCTGAGTTCCGCCACCCTCCCCGTTGGCATCATGCCTGTCACATCCGGCACACCGCCTGCAGAGCTGCCCTAGCAGCTCATCCCGTAGTGCATGCAGATCAGCCATTGTTGCATATGTATTGTGCTCACCAGAAGTGCTCACCAGAAGTCTCTGCCATCTCATGTGCTCACCACTCTCTCTGCCATCTCATGTGCTCACCACTCTCTCTGCCACCATCTCATGTGCTCACCACTCTCTCTGCCATCCCATGTGCTCACCTTCCTCTCTGCTATCACATGTGCTCACCACTCTCTCTGCCATCTCATGTGCTCACCACCCTATCTGCCATATCATGCCTACCCGTCCCCTTCCCCTCCCCTCCAATGCGCCCCCCCTCCTATCATCAATGTTGTAACACTTTGCCTTTGCTTGCAGTCGTCCTTGTGGCTGTGGGACGTTTGGGGGAAACCGTGGGGAAATCCTTACCTCGTCATCATGCCCGACATAATGCACCAAGCGGACCTTGGGATTCTCCATCACATAGTTGCTGCGATCCGCTTCAACTACGAAAAGTTGCTGCCATTGTTTGACAGGTTGGATTTGGTGGTTGTGAGATGGCATGTGGTCGAATATGCATGGCTATACGACACGGCAATCATTGATTTTACATGTTGTTGTGCCAGTGGATCGTCGTTGGTAATGTACCGTGTTTTCACCAGGCGGAATGTCATTTTGTCATGTTCAGGCGTTTGAAGGACCTGAGAGAAATCATTCGCATGACTCATCTACGGCTACCAAATTCCTCGTACTTCGTGTCAGATGCACAGGTGGCGGCCTTTGAGCATCGGTCTGTCCTGCAGGCAAGTGTCACTAATCTGGGCACAATTTATAGTCTTATGCTCCCCACCCCGTTCTTAACTCATACCACGTTGACCTTAAACACCTACACACCACACGCCCCCTTACACAACTCATGGTTTGCGAGATTCACGTTTGATGTAACCTGGACTGTATATTACCTTCCCTGAGTCCACAGGTGCTGATTTTTGTGGTTGCGGACAAGCTCGGGGACCTCCAGCTGAGCGCCATTCGAGCATACCTCGAATGGTATCACTATTGGGCAAGGCTCCCCGGGCACACAGAGAGCACCCTTCAGCGTCTGCAGGAGTTGACCGACGAGTGAGCCCTCGCCTTCCACCCATTCGTGCATATCATTGTGCCCACCCTTGGCTGTTTCGATCCATCTCGTAGACACGCTGCCCCCCTTTTGCTTTTGGCCCGTCATGGTTCGGGGCTTAATTTACATCCCTTCAATGAACACAGCCGCTACTAGGGCATATTTCTTCCTGCCACATGGACGAGTGGCAAAACTGAGGAGGGCAGGAAGGGCACCTCCCTGCGCGGCACTTTGTCATGCTTCTGACCTCCCCACACGTACTCGCAAGTCAGCCCCTTGTATGCCCTTCTTTCCCTGCTAATAACAGGTAGGGGCAGAGGGGAGTAGGGTGAGAGAGGCAGAGGTGTGTGTGGAGCTTTGATATGCTCATCTTGCATCACTCTAGGCTGCTACACTTACCAGCCCCTTTTGTGCCATTCACCCCATTCACTCCACACCGTATATGAACAGTCTTGTGGCAAAGTTGCAAGATGCGTTTCCAACGCAAAAATCGGCATGGTGCATCATCAAGACTCACCTCCTCTCGCATTATGTTCCCGCCATTCGAAGGGCGGGTCATGTGTCGGAATTCTCGACAAACATGTGGGAGCACTTGCACGGTCCTCTTTTGAAGAGAATATACCGCAGATCCAACAAACGCAACGCAGACGCACAAATCATGAAGCATCATGAGAAAAGTGCGGCTTTCATCACGCTTGAGGACGAGGAAGGGGTTCGGTACACGATAATGCAGCAGGTAACTAGATCATTCGAAGCTGCGTTTTGAATCAAACCTCTCTTTATGCTATGGGGTGATTTGAGTTCAATGTCTCTGCCCTCTCATGCCACCATCAACAAGTTTTATCCCTCTCATGCCATCCTAAACCTGATTCTTCCACCCCAACCCATCATCATCCTCTCCACCCTCGGATGCCTTTCTCAACATCCCTGCCCTACCATGCCATCATCAACATCCCTGCCCTCACATGCCATCATCAACAGCTTTGCCATCCCATGCCATCATCAACATCTAAGCCCTACCATGTCATCATCAACATCCTTGCCCCCCCATGCCATCGACAAATCTGCACTCCCATGCCATCATCAACATCTTTGCCATCCCATGCGCATCATCAAAATCCCTCCCCGCTCATGCCATCATCACCATCTCTGCCCTTCCATGCCTCCTTCAATCTCCATGCCATCCCATGCCATCATCATCCTCTCCACCCTCTGATGCCTTTCTCAACATCCTTGCCCTACCATGCCATCATCAACATCCCTGCCCTCCCATGCCATCAACATATCTGCCCTCCCATGCCATCATCAACATCCCTGCCCTCCCATGCATCATCAACATATCTGCCCTCCCATGCCATCATCAACATCCCTGCCCTCCCATGCCATCATCAACATATCTGCCCTCCCATGCCATCATCAACATCCCTGCCCTCCCATGCCATCATCAACATATCTGCCCTCCCATACCATCATCAACATCCCTGCCCTCCCATGCCATCATCATCATATCTGCCCTCCCATGCCATCATCAACATCTTTGCCATCCCATGCCATCATCAACATCCCTGCCCTACCATGCCATCATCAACATCCATGCCCTCCCATGCCATCATCAACATATCTGCCCTCCCATGCCATCATCAACATCCCTGCCCTCCCATGCCATCATCGACATATCTGCCCTCCCATGCCATCATCAAAATCTTTGCCATCCCATGCCATCATCAAAATCCCTGCCCGCTCATGCCATCATCGCCATCTCAGCCCTTCCACGCCTCCATCAATCTCCATGCCATCCCATGCCATCATCATCCTCTCCACCCTCTGATGCCTTTCTCAACATCACTGCCATCCCATGGCATCATCATCCTCTCCACCGTCTGATGCCTTTCTCAACATCACTGCCATCCCATGCCTTCACCCACACTTCTTGCCCCTATTGAGTTCATTCCATTCGCATTCCTGGCGGTAATTTCCCTCCCCTTCTAAACTCACCCATAGACAATGGACTCGGGGCGGCCAGTCTTGACGAGAGAATCAGAAGCACTTGCTGTTTCTCCGGCAAGTGACCCGACATCGGCCAAATTCTTTGCATCACGGTGGTCGCAGCAGCACCAGCATGCACACAGAGCTCTGACTGATGCCCTTGCAGATTACGGCATTACCTCGCAAACCATTCAAGTATGTAGTGATGGTGTTGATAGCCTTGCTGTCTCTTGCCATTCCCCCACGTGCCTTCCCTTCCCTTCCCCCCCCCCTCTCTCTCTCCCCCTCTCTCTCTCTCTCTCTCTCTCTCTCTCTCTCTCTCTCTCTCTCTCTCTCTCTCTCTCTCTCGCCAACTTATGCCCTCTCAACTATTCTTACCATGCGAGTTGTACGTACATATACTTATGCCAACTGTGTGGTGTTGTGGCAGACACATACAACATTGGCAGTGCCAGCATCCAATGCATCAAACGCCTCAAGAGTTGCTCATTTTGTGAGAGCAACTCCCGAGTGCCACAAGAGGCCCTGGTTTTCAGACATCGCTGTTTGCTGTGAAGGGGGGACTGTGGCCTACGCAAAGCTGTTGTTGTTGTTTCATTGTTTCCAAGGTGGCCAGCGCTATGAACTTGCATACGTCGATTATTACAGGACATTGGGCAATGACCCAAGGACTGGATGTGTGCGCCTGGGTCAGTATACCCCTCGCGCATTCATCGTTATCCCTATCGATTCTATTCTAGGCCATGTTCATGTAGTGAAGTCCTTTGATGGGGATGAAGGTGATGTATACTATATGAATAAATATATAATGTAGATTTTATTATAATGACAAGAATGATGTTGCTTCTTTTGTCCTTTTGCTAGAACATGGCACTTTAAAAAACAAAACCCTCAAACCTTCATATTTGCAACTACAGTATGGCCCCGGATATAGGCGCCGGCCTATTACAGGCGCCGGCGCTTCTATCTGGAGCATGGCGCTTATGGCCGATTCTCGATTATAAGCGCCACCCCTTTTGTACCCTTCCTTATTATAAGCGACACCCTCAATATTAACATTTGTGTTCCCTCCACAACAAAAACAAACAACTGTAACATCGTTCGCTTCAACGAATACTACAAATTGGTACACAAATTTAGACTTAATCTGCTATTCTACCTAGGTGCTAGTACCGGAACTACTCCTCGTCAGACTCGGGCTCCTGGCAGTTGTTGCCAAAGAATCCGTCGGCGATGATGCCGTCGTCTACATCCACTTCCGCCGTCAATTGGCTCCGCCTGTGCGCCATGGCGAGGTGGTCCTCACTGCCGTCAAGCGCGTTGCTAATGCCGCAGGTGAGGAAGGCGCGCTTGACGAGGTCGGAGGGTACTGCTTTCCAGGCTTGTGAAATCCATTTTCAAGACCACTTCTGGGGGGGGAATCTTCAGATTCCCTGCACCGCAACAGAGACACCCGCGAAAGCCATGTCAGTGACCAAGGGTGAAAGGTGGATAAAGATGCGTGTTTAACGGAAACAACGTACCTGCAGCTGTCAGTTGCTCTTGGCCCTCCTCCTCAAACCACTTCTGGTACTGCTGACGAACAGATGCTTTGAAGCTCTTGTTGATGGAGACGTCGAGTGGCTGAACCTCACCCTTACAACCCGACGGGATGACAGCAGGCACGCAGTTGATCTCGCGGAGCTTCTCCTTCACCCCCTCGGTAAGGTGGCCGCGGTAGGAATCAAGCACTAGCATAGAGCTCTTCGCACACCTGCCAAATCGGGGCGTCAAGAAGGGCTTGACACACTCGTCTAGCCAGCGGATGACGCCTTCTGCGTTCATCCACCCGTTCTCGTGGCAAGCCACGACCACATCTGCACACAGAAATGGCACTTCAACTGTTACGTGACCACATCCGTCACGTGACCAGTACTCGACACCATCGTCGTCGTCGCCACCAGGTACGCCCTCAGGAAACACATCCTCTGCGTACCGCCCTGCGCGCCACCTTCCTCAGCCTCGGAGCCGTCAGCACGGCTTGCTTCCTCGTCCTCAGCCACGTCGTCGTCAGCTACGAGTGCAGATTCGTCCCACGTGGTGCAATCATCTGGCCGGCCCCAACGTGGTCCAGATAAGGTGCGCCGCGTACCTCAACATCTTGGGCCTTGTTGCTTTCCGGTTCCTCCAGCCACTCGTCGAACGCAGTCGGGAGCAGGAGCGTGAGCACGGGCGGATCCCCTGTGTTGTGAGGACATCCCAGAATCGGGGGAGACGGAGGAACAGAGGAGCAGGAGGCGCAGGCGGCAAAGGAGGAGCAGGATGAGCAGGCGGCGCAGGAGGCGATGGAGGCTGTGGTGGCTCTGGTGGTTCAGGTGGGACACGGGAGTACCATCCGTCGGCGTCGACTACAATGGCGGGCCTACGCGCGGGCTTCTTTTTTAACAAGAAATGAGTGCCAGCGAATTCCGCCATGGCTTCCGCAGCATGGCGGGCGAGACCAAGAATCTGAATGAAAAAAGGGAAAGAGAAGGCGAAGAAATGAGGGTTTGGAGGGGACCCCTTCTGGTGTGCGACTCGAGTTCCTCTTCAGGCATAGTCAGACTCCCCCTTGCCTAAACCCGCAGAGGAGGGAATCGCGGCACATATCTGCTGCACTGGCAGGGATATGCCACCCTCTTCTCGAAAGTTCGGGTGAAATGTGGCACCATGGCAGCGCATGTAAACCCTATTGGGCCGCACGCCAGGATGCACGTCATCGCTGGCAGGTGCGTTGCTCCAGGACAGGTTCTGTGCGGTGGGAAATCGAGTCGCGGCAGTTTTCGCCGGAATTTCATGCACGATCCCATGCGCAACGTTCACAGTTGTGTTCACCTTATTGTGGGCTTCACTTTAATACTTCGAAAACCAAAATTGGAATTAGACATTTTATAAGCGCCGGCGCTTATGGCCGTTCCTCAATTACAAGCGCCACCCCTAAAAAATCATTACTTATTATAAGCGCATATGCGCTTAAATCCGGGGCCAAACGGTATATGGAGCTATAGATCCACCTTAAAAACCGTTGTACAACCTAAAAAGCATGTAAATAGCTTCCTGCATTAATTTCTATGATGATAACCTATTGGATAGAAGCAGCTTTTAAAACTAAGAATCATAAGAACAGAAATATCTGACTGCGTCAAGTGTGATGCGAAAACTGTACGCATTCTAAATATATCACTGTTCCATCACCAAACCATCCCTGTTTTTCCGATGAGAATCCGCCGGAAATCAGGACCGCCCGTGAAGAACTTCGCGCGACTCGGTTTTGCCTCTCAACCTCGCGCAAAACAAAACCTGGCGAGTGGATTTCCGTCGGAACAGCGATATGCTCGAGGGTTGGAAATCAGCCAGAAAACCAAGCACGGCAAATTACCTTGAGTGCCACCTTCGGACCCTCCAACTTTGACTTCGGTTTTTTGTGATGTGGTCGTCGCAGTTAGCCATTCCGTCCCCACGGCATAAAAGCAACGAGAAAGTCCCTCTTCCGCAGACGAAACATATAGACACCGAGTGTGAAGCCTCGCCGCGTAGGCTGTGTTACTCCGAACTTTTACGAAATGCGTTCCCCGCCGCAGTAGCCCATCGTTCGCACTGGTTTTGGGAACATACTCACCGTTTACCAGGCCATATCAACCTTAGAGGAACGGCTCAGAGCACGGCATAAATTCCACGCGGCAGGCGGCAGGTCTGCGGAATCGCCTTATTTATTTCGCTCGCTATGACGACACGTCGTACGCAGCTGCGTGACGTTCCTCTCTCGCTTCTCGTCTGCCTCTCCGTCGCTCTCGCGCTCTCTCCCGCCCTCGCCTTCGCTCCCTCAGGTATGTGCTTCCCGCAGTGTGCGTCGAAGTCGTTCTACTACTCTTCTTTAGCGGTTTCATACGCGAAAGCAGGCTCCCTCATACACCCGCTCATATGAAGCATTCTCGCTTTCCCTCTCGCCCTCCCACCCGCACCTTCCACTCGCACCCTCCGCTGTGGGCTTTCACGATTTGTCAACTGATAGACCAGGCCCTATTCGAACCTGCTACTTCCTCCCATTCCACCCATCGGCTCTCGTCGCTTCTCCCCCTCCCCCACCTATGCCTTCCCCGTCATCTTCTCCATCTCCTCCTTCTTCCCCTCCCCACATCCCCCCTTTTTTTCCCTGCATTCTTCCCCGCTTCGCCCCTCCCATCCGCCTTCTCCGCACCTTCTTCCCGCCGTTTCCGCGCCATCTGCGCACCGTTTACCCCCCACCCCTGGCTGTTCTCCCCGCCGTCCTCTTCCGCAGACGTAGCAAAGTACCGCGGACTGTTCTGGCGCTTCCTGGACCAATGGCCGTCATTGACGCGTCCACATCAGGACGCTGCTGACCTGAACTCGAACAACGCGGCAATCCCATCGCTATCGTCTGCTTCTTCGTTCGCGGCGGGCAATGAGACCTGGGAGTCGCAGCCGCAGAAGCAGGCGGAGTCGCAAGGGGAGTCGCAAGCGGAGGGAGCTGTCTTGAAGCGTCCCGCCGTCGCTGCCGGAGTGAGCGCTTCGAGAAAACGGCTGGCACACGAGGCGCGCGAGGATATTCAGATGGGGCGCAGGCGAATGGGTGAGTCCTTGAGTCTTCTGTGATAAAAACACCTTTCACCTTTCGCCTTGCGCTCGTCACCTTTTCCGCTGTAGTCACGGGAGATATTCGCAATGCTTCAACGCTCTCATCGGTCTTCTTTCCCCGTGTCTCCACTCACGGCTCCACAGCCTAACTGACCTTTCATAGTTAGCACGGTTTATCTCCACATTTTTGCTTGAAGTGTCATTCGTATTTCCAACATAGCATTCAACCAACGAAACCCCGTTTATGTTTCAAACCCCATTATCCTTCAGCTGACGCCTTTTTGGATGGCCCCTGCTCCGACTACGCAGCAGCTACCGTGATCAACATATCCACGGTAGCTGATTTCAGCAAGCGATTACAGTTTAGCCCCGTTACAACGGTCATTCTGGAGCTGCAAAAGAACCTCATTATAAGCAAGGGCATCCTGTTCGACAGCCAGTTCTCGTGCACCATTCTCCGATCTCCGAAAACCGCAGTGGTTCCGTTTGGGATCACTCATACCGGAGCGAATGAGCCAGTACTGCGGATATGGAACACGAGCAACGTGCTTGTATTGAAGATCGACTTCAAGCTCAGCGTTCGCACGTCGTCGCCACACTGCACTACAGTACCCGAAGTAACGTCCAAAGCACAGTGCCCAACAATTTCTATTATCAGATCTTACGGAATTCAAGTCGCGAAGGGGAGTGTATTTGGAAGAATTGATCTTCACCGGACCACGTCGTCGCGAGTAGACTCCATGCGGGTAACCGGGATACCCGTCTTCAACCAGTCGCCTGGCGTGATTCAAGTTACGTACAGTGGACACGGGCCTACGCTCGGCAAATCCTTCATCGCTATAACGAACAACGAAGTTTACGGTGAGTGGTCGAGAACGTGTTTTCGTTTCCGCAGACGTTTTCATGGAGTTAGCAGTGTGCGTGTTACCGTGTAACGCATCCTCGAATCTGTCTCCCCTCCACCCTCTACCCCTTTTCGCGGGCATCCCATACAACTTCTCGCCCCGTTTCCTCCCCCGCCCCCCCACATCCTCCCCTCCCCTTCTCGCAGGCGTCCACACACCAATCGTGATCCACCGCGGAACCATCGGCGCGATCGTGCGAAACAACTATGTGCACGACTTTCTCTTCGCGGGAATTCGCTGTGGCTCAGACGTGCACTTCGCCGCGGATTGCATGCTCACGCAGATCGACCGCAACCACGTCGTCGCTGCTGGGCGGAACAGATCCGGCGATCAGGACGCAGCTGGCATCTACTATTGCGTGCACTGGTTCAGCCCTGGTACGGCCCGGTTCAGTCTGGTGGGGTCTGGTTAATTCCTTGTACGGAGGTTGAGTCGATCCAATGAAGACTGCATGCTCCATTAACAAACTCCCTGCTATCCGCCCGCCTTTCTATTCCCCTCCACAGACAACAGAGCAGAGTGCAATTACATCTTCAATGGAGACCACTGCTACTACCTTGATATCTGAGGCGCTTCATTATTGAACTCCCTGTTATCCTCCCTCTCTGGCCATCTACACCCTCCACAGACAACACGGCGGAGTGCAATTACATCTTCAACGGGGACCACTGCTACTACCTCGACTTTGTCACCTCGGGTGTGACTATCAAGGGGGGTGCATGCATCAACACGTACGATGGGATCAAGGTCAACAACGGAAAGTGGTACGTGCACCCATCCATCCATCCATCCATCCCGCTATTTCGAATGTCTGGGCTATGATGTATTTTTGGGATGTGACTGTAAATAAGGTCTGGGCTCCTGGGAATAACCCACTTTCATGTTCTGATGTGTCTGTTCCTTTTTCTCATCCAGGAATTCTATTGAGAGTGTGATCATAAAGAAGGTACCAGGCTCACCAGGGTGGAGCACGTGTTTCACTCCAACAGTGCTCAACTGCGACAAGAACCCCGGCACGTACTGGGAGCTCATGCGCAAACAGTACTATGACACACCAGTGTTCAGAGAGGTGAGAAGCACCTGAGGAAACACCTGAGGAAACACCTGAGAAGCACCTGAGACTGTGAGTCGACGTTGATGTCACCAAGAGGCACGTGCTGGGGGGTGATATGCAAGCAGTGGACCTGACATTCTAGTCGTAGAGGGGAGCGAGCGATATGCGGCCGTTAAATTCCATGAGAGATAGAGCCAGCACTTGCAGTGCCATGTGTTGTTTTTACAGTAATGGATGCTCACATCACAATATCTCTGCCACCCTTATGTGATATGATGTGAAGTGATCATTTGCAGTCGTCCTCCTTTTCCCTCTTTTTTTTGTCTGCCCCTCTTTCAGAAATACCCTTTCTGGCCTGATGTTTGCGGGCAGAAGAACATCAACGGCAAGCCATGCAACACCAAAGCCAAGGGAACGTTGCCTGCAGAGAAAACAGGGGCGTGCAGCGGCCTTCCCACAGAAAACTACCAAAACCTTGTCTTGGTGGAGACTGAGGGGAGAGATCTTGGTTACAAGTACTGCGAGAACTTACCTACTGTGGAGGCGGGTCCTCTAAATGATCAGAGGAAGGTGAACCTCACCGACATTCCTGGGGCAAAGTTTATGGATTATGCAAACGACGACCTGGGGGTGAATACAGGCTCATCTCTCTTCACCAGCATCAGTGGCTTTAAGAGCTGCCCAAGGAAAGATGTGGGGCCCCGGCGAATCGATGATGGGCTCTACTATTTGAATTTCAACCGCCCGGAGCCGGATCTGTACAAGCTGGTGGTGAGCATGGCTACTAAACACGTGCATGATCCTGCTATTGTGAAGCTGAGTAAGATTCCCAAGAAAGGGAAGAAGTGAGTTTCATGTCCAAGACAACTGGAACCAAGGCTGACTTAATGTTAGCCTGTATCAAAGCAAAAACTGCCATTATCCTACCCAATTACTTATTCCCCCCTTCCCCTTCTTCAACGGCTTATTCAACGCAATGTTGGTAAAAACGAGGGACACGAAACTCTGCCCCTCCAAAGTCACAGTAACAGAAGACTTACCTTTCGATATAAGTGCTTCAGCGTAGGAATCTTTCCAAGTGGTTCTGTGCGCAACCACCGTCGTTGGATTCCCAACATTCGTGCTGAACCCGTCCAAACCGAAATTCAGCTTCACTTTATTCGCCTTCTGGTTCACCAAAAACACGCTCACGAAATTGTACCTTTCGTTGTAGAAAGCAGCGACGGAATGCCAGCAGGAGTATGGGACTCTCAGCGGCCTGCTCCCCTGCGGCGCATATTTCGAAAATTGCTTAAACACCCAGTAACGCTTCGCCAACACAATCCCCTGATCTTTCAACTTGGCAGCTGCTTTTCCCAGCGGATACTCCCAAGGGATCTTGATCAACGTCCACGCAGGGTGTGGATCGACGGCTTGCCAGTACACATACGCCGAGGCCTCAAGAATATTGATGCTTTCAATGACTTGCCGAGCCACGTAGAGCGTCACGTCAAACGGATGTCCCCCGAATCCGATTGGCCCGCCTTCTGACACCCAAACCTCCTTCTTCATTCTCTTGGCTACGTTTCGCATCCGAGCGTACATTAGGTTTGTCCAGCGAGGGTGAGATACACCTTCAGGGGGTGTCCCGAGATAAGAATGAATGTTGATCCTCTCGAGTAACATTCTCCCAGCTACCCTGGGAAGATTCTCGGTCGTGTGATAAGACCAACTGTCGACTCCAGCCAGCTTCGTTCTAAGCCCCCTCGATTTGAGAGCCATGGAGGTTTTCTGAATCACGCGTCCCATTTCAGGAGGTTGGAAGCTGCATCCTTCATGCGCAGCGCCTGTCTTCCAAAACCCTTCGAGCGGCTCGTTAAACGGATCCACCGTATCAAACGTAAGGTTCCACTTCGGATCCTTGGCAAATCGCTGCACGACGTCCGCTAAGTAGTTCGCGAATGACGACTCGTGCTCTGGCCGCAGATTGGTCTTGGTTGCTACAGTGGCTCCTGCCACGTCACGCGTGTGAGTCATCCACCAGGGAGGGCTGTTGGAGAAAGCTTCGAAGATATTCGCTCCGCGACTCCGTGCTCCCCACAAAACAGCCTTCTGACGTCTATCTGCTTGCCAATTGTAGGCTGCAGCTTGTGTGGGCTTGAATCCTGGAATACCCCTCCAGTCCGAAATCGTTCTTGTGAGGAACTGGGGACTGAAACGCGCGTTGAAACCCCCTCCGATGTTGTAACGGACGATGTTGAAGTTGAGTCCCTCTTTTTTGAAGATCAGATCCATGAGCGTGTTGAGGCGCTTATCAGGCAATCCGCCAATGTAGTTCCCAAACCTGCATCCAGAACAGGAAATGGGTCCTTGAGAATAAGTTTTCGAAACGGGAGAAATTACAAGAAGATGACCTGATGGTTTCGCATTTTCCATTTCCAACATCTCGTGCAACCAGGATCTCACGTTTTCCCCTTGATGATGGAGAGGTCAGTCAAGGCATGCCCTATTTTTCTTCCACGACGGCAATATATTAACAGAATTTCTATTCACCAACGACTGAATCGCAGCATACCATGCAAGCGAGGTCCCCCATCCTTTCCATCTGGTGCCAATGAACGTTGGAGTGATGTTGAAGGCAATGGGTCCTGGGTATTGGATTAACGGGAAAACACGGGGGGCGGGGGGCGGATCACAAAAGGGGACGGGGAAAGGAGGGAAGGGGGGATGGAGAGGGTGGGATAATGATCAATGCTCAACTTCTGGTTGCTTAGTTTTCTTTACAGACTGAAAGCGATACAATGTACTCTAACAGGTTCTTCAATCTGGTCTCACCAACGACGCATGTCCTAGTATAGATCAGAAAGAGACGTAACTCGTCCCCAGCCAAGCCCACCGTCATTCATATCCCCCCCCCCCCCACGGTTGATCTTTGATCGCTGACACCTCATACCAGTCCGCGACACCTCTGACAGAATCTTCGGCACCTCAACTGCTACCACCCATTCACGTAAGCATAACACGAAACTTCATTCGCTGATCCGACCTCTGTTTTCGTAACGAGCTCACCTTTCACGTAGCACACTTCAAAGAGCCCCTCGGACGGACAAAGCGTGGGGAACGGCGGCCGCGGATAAGTCGAGTCGTTGAGAAAGGGTGCGGTCCTGGCATTGCACGCGTCCAAGGACGATTGCGCGGTCGGTGTGACGGCGTTCGGTACAGCGGAGAGGTTCGGGTCCGGGCGAACGTTGCGGTTGTACCAGCTATCGTCGACGGCGTTCGCAAATGTGGTTCCGGAACGTGCGACAGCAACGATCAGGAAGAGGAGGAGGGTTGGAAGGTTGCGGGTCGCGAACAGCGAGATGGGCGGATAAGCTTGGGAATGGGAGCGAGAGCGAACGAGCATTGTGGGGAGTGGCATGGTGGTCATTTTTAGTACGACCAATCGGACCGCTGGCAAATGCGTGGCTTGGTGAATGGAACTGAGGCTTTCGCTCGGGCACCTCAGGATATTGGCTGGCCAGCGAGGCTGCAGTTCATCAAGGTAGTTTCCGCTTTCTACGGCAACGCGAATCGGCAGTCGGTACGGGCACTGCGTGCTGGCCGTCGGTTCATCCTTGGGGGTTAGCAGCTGCGAGTTACAGCTTTCCCCTAGGACTAACAGCACTGCAGGTTTCCTCTAGGTGCGTGAGCTAACCACCGAGGCGAATGGCCTGTCAACTTTGAATGAATCAAATGACGAGTTACGTGGGCATTGTGGGAAAGAGCACTTCGGGATGATCAGCTGGAGAATGGTTGTCGGCGGCCTGCTGACCAACTGAGGGGAGGGGAGCGGGGGAAATGTGAACTTGGGGAATTGCGCTTTGCTCTGCTGTATTCAACTTGAGGTGGGGAGGGGAGGGGAGAAGGGAACCACCGCCACATGACTTGCTCTTGTCCGCAAGAGAGGAAGACGCTTTGAACTTGCACGAGCGACGGAATGGCAAAATCGGGGTTGGTTGTTGGATTGGATGGTGGCATGATGCAACTTGGGACGAGGACATGAGGAGGCGATGGGGCTGAGACAGGCGAACTGCGAGAACAGAGATGCGGGGGGAAGGGCGGCGGGTTCGCCGAAGCGCTTCTTCACCTTAACTGCATCGTGCGGTGGTGAGATGCCAGGGTGAGGATGGATAAGGAATCGGGATGGATCTGGAGCGTTGGGGGAGGGGCAGGGGGGGCTGAGCGTGCGTAGCACGGCGAATGAAGACATGCTGCGGATTGGCGGAAGAAAATATACCGTGTGCTGATTGGTGCGCGTTTGAGTCTGGTCGGTGCCCGGGGGGGGCTCGTTGACTTTCTAGCGCGCGAGACTCGAAGCTGTAATTTGTGCGAGGAAGGGTGAAGGGTCGGGTCGGGTCGGCGGGGGACATTCACGGGTACTGTACTTTCTAGCGTACGAGAATGGGGGATGAAATTTGTGCGGGGGAAGGGGGAAGGCTAGGGAGGGAGACAAACATAGGGAAATGGAGCGGAAATGTGGGGCAGGGCTGGTCTGTCTTCCAATCGACGACGACACCTACAGAGTGCGACTCGGTAAGGCAAGCAGCAACAGTGCGGCAGCGCTTCGTGGGAAGAATCGGGACATGGGAGTGATAGGGAGGGGCGGAATTAATGGGGGCAGGTCAAGGGGGGTGGGGGGTTTTGGGGGGGAGGTGTTGTTGGGACAGAGACGGAAAAGCAAGGGCTGGCACGAAAAGCGGAGCGGATCTCGACACTCGAGGCGCTGGGGTGGGGAACAGAGCTGAAGATTCAAGGGCAAATGCCCTTAATGCCATGAACATTAAGGGTTGGGTTCGGCCCAGCTTCCGAAGTTTAAGGGTTGGGTTTGAGGGCAGCACGTCCCCACAAAGTGCTGGCTGTGGGCCTAACTCGGATTTCAAGTGCCGATCCCCCGGCTAGCCCTTATCGTCCCACACTAATACCTCCCTCCCTCCCATTCCCTCACCAGTCCCCCCGCCTCTCCCAGCTACTCCACTACTTCCTTTTCCCATCCCCGTCAAATCCATCGACATGGTTCGTACCTCAGCCTATTGCCTAGCTGGCTCTTAGTAGTTTGCCTAGGATACGGACCCGAATAGATGTAGGTTTTTCTTAGCAAAAGTGCAAAAAACTTGGTAGCCCCGATTTCAAGTGCCAGGTTTGCTCTCAGCCCGTACATTTCAGGGCAACTTTTGGGGCACCTCAGCCTCTCAAGTTCTGGCTCCAAACCAATCGACAGCCCTGGTGGGGAATCCCTCGAGGTAAAGAATACACTACGGAACTGTAACAAAGCCACCGCAGCGTGCGACTCGGATTACAGTACATCATGTATTGCTGATGGCAACCAGCTGGTAGTCACACGAGGATGACATGGCAACATGCCATTCGGTGACGCGAAAGTAAATCTCGGAGTTTGCTGTTTTCGCTATAAGTGTTCGCGTGACAAGGGCGCGACTAAATAATTCAAGGCTATATACATGTTCTTACTTGCCAAACCAGTCGGTGACACGAACGAAACTCCTGGAGTTGGCTGTTTTCACACCGACTGACGCTAAATGAATGCTCCATGACTTTCTTACAACGTGCCGCGTTATCGTCTGCTATTTTTTCCATCAGTGTTTGCTCACATGCTCACTCAAATTTTGTACTCAGTCTTTTATTCTTTTTTATTATTAATATTTGTACTTTTTAGTGCAATCTTTACTTACTTCTTCAGTCGTACACGTTACCCTTAGCTATCCGAGCTAATTTCCTTCAAGCCGCGCATTTGTATGCAATCAGCACTCTCCAACGTTTGATTTTTCACTCGGAGAGACATACGGTACGCCCCAACTGTCAAAATGAGGAAT